ACAATGCTACGACGGCTCTGGTCGACAAGAACATCTCCTTAAGCGGCATCTTCGAAACAGCCTTGTGTAACGCCACTTGGCAATGTCATTCAGAATTTATTTGTGGGAGTTCTTCGATACACACGCTGTCTCTTGGAAGGTACACCATCAGTATTGCTAATTTACAGGCTCGGAGTATTGACAGCTGGATTATTCAGTTTCTTCTGCTTGAATTTCTCCGCTAGTTGAGAGGTCCAGGACATATGCTGTTTAGCCTCTGAGGCATCCATCTGCACTAAGCTCAAAATGCGGAGACTTGCTTATGAACACAAGAGATACGGAGACTCACTTGGTTCTGCAAGACGTCTCCCAGTATAAAAGCTTACCGCACTAAAGAACGAATCCATTAAACCCTGAACCGTAAGGTGGAAGTCCCTGGCCACATATTTGAACAAAACGTTAAGGCATCGACGTTTGTTCACGGAGACTGTAGAAGAGTTTGAGACCTTTGCCTATAGGTAGACTCGTTTTACTTACAATAAGTCTTAGACCTAATCTTTTTTTTAATCTCCTCAGTAACCTATTAAAAGGCAGTTATCCCCGAGATCTCCAAAGTCTAGGCTATAATTAGCAATGTAGGAGACATGATTTATTCCCAGCAAGTGTCAATCGTGTAAACAATGTGCAATCGACTTGACCTAGCGTGGTATGGATAAACTACCATAGTCTTCATAACCTATGTTAAAGCCATAGAACTCAAGTGCCGACATGACAATAAACCTGAGTCTCTAATATGGAAACAGTTCGAAATTCTGCAGTTTGCTTCGGTCACAAATATAGGCATCATTTTGGACCTGTTAATTTAACCACATCACGTGCTATCTCTTCCCCGGTCTTCTGGTGGTCTAGGTGGTCTAGTGGTATGATTCTCGCTTAGGGAAAACCCTATAGCTTAGCTTGCGAGAGGTCCCGGGTTCAATCCCCGGCCAGACCCTTTCTTTTGCCATACGTATATCCTATCTATAGCTCTGAGATGTCCTTCCTTCTTTTTGCATTTACACACTGCTTCAATGCCTTTGCAAAACAATATCACGGTAAGACAGACTGATGAAACGGAAACCTCGATTTAAAGCCTAGGTAGCTTATAGTTATCGTTTTGGTGTGACCACGTAAAGTCACGCTAATCTTCCCTTTGTTAAGCTCTCACTGTGTTCGTAGCCTAAGCTTAGCCTTGTAGGCGGCAGTCATCCCCATAGGTGTCTTCCAGTACTTGCTAATACCACCGTCCTCTCCGGTAAAAGGATCAGCGGCAGGGTTCTTGATGCCCCATACTGCTTTGAAGTCGTCTGCACTATCACCTCCCTCGTCCCATGTCCATGAAAACCCTCTGGGATAAGCCCCCATCATACAGAATCCCTCCAGTGGTACCTCTGCAACAGAAATTCTCGGGTTTTCGGCAGCAATACCACGAGCGTCTCCCGTCATACAACCAAAAGATGCCGTGTTAGCTAATGGATCATATGATTTGTGTGCAACACCTGCTGGGATGACAAAAACATCCCCCACGTTGACCTCGAGCTCCAGTCCACCGTCTTCGTAGGCCGTTCCATAAGTGTGCTCTTGTGGATCATCGCTCAAGTCTGCAACTCCCCAGCGGATACGGCCAGGACCTGAGACAACTATCATAACTTCGTGGGACTGGGAATGATAATGGGATCGCTGATGTTGGCCATATCTAACGACCCATTGTACGTCCCAGCCATTGCCGCAAAAAGTATCGAATGCTTTGGTACGATCGACTTGACCGTCTTTGACAAAAGCGTTCTTGTAATGGAGTAGTGGTTTGGGTGAATTGGGGATCAGCTTGGTTGGCTTCAAGTGGTATAGAATGGGTTCTGGTAGCGTCTCCATATTGATAGTGGATAGATAGTACGCTCCAGGTCTTTGTAAGATATGAAGTAGAGCAGAAGAACAGAACTGAAGCTCAATGGAACATAAGTCGTAGCACTTGTCGTTCAAAGACTCAACAGCACGATTGCGTGAGATGATGGTTACACAATGCTCCTTTCTTATCCACTCCTACTTATATCTTCCAGATGTCAAGCGGGGAGAGATTCCGTTCTACAATTTCCAGTGACCTATATCACATTGGTTTGTGTGTCAGTGGTTCACAAGGCTAACGGTTAGCCATTCCGAGAATTGCGGGGAGATGGCGCTCGGAGTCGCTAACCGCTGATAATCGGAAACCTTAACCGTGATATCCTTAGCCTAATGAAGAACAGAATACGCGACATTTGCATCTAGAACCGCGGGGTAATGCGTCGGGCCTATCTCCTTTCGTATCTGCCGGCGATTATGTGGCATGAATGCTATGATAAGGAGCAGCCAGACACCAACGCACGGAGGGTCCTTGACTCGGCAACTGGGGCCTTGTGTTGCTTCGCCATGGTTTGGCCCCGTGATAAAAGCAAACTGCCATGGCAGATAAGCTCTGCTCACCCATATAAACCGTCAAGCCGCAAGTCTTATCCTTGGACCAAATCATCTGACCTAGATCCTTCGCAACTCACGATGCCAAACGCTCTTGGTGACAGTGCCGGCAAGTTGCCGAGCTTCCTTTCCAACGGCAACTTTGCCAGCAATACTTCGTTTCCAACCAAGGAAGGACATCATAATACCGGCGGGAAAGAAACTTCACAGCCAGCAGTGAAGGAAGTCCCTAAACCCTGGGTCTCGCAGCGATGTACAGATCAGGCTCGGCCTCTCAAGGTCATCTACATTGGTGCTGGAATTTCCGGCATCTGCGGTGCCATTGAGTTTAGAAAGCAAATCCCTAATCTAGAGCTTGTCATCTATGAGAAGAACCCTGAGCTTGGAGGAACATGGTATGAGAATAGGTAAGTCCAAGCAATTTTGAACGGCCGAAGGTTAAAACTGACATGATCTTCTATAGATATCCTGGCTGTGCCTGTGGTGAGTATCTACTACCAAAAGCCTATGTGCAAAGTTGTATTGACGAACTTTAGATGTCCCCGCACATGCATACCAGTTGACCTCCGAGTCTTCCCCACGATGGACTTCCTTCTTTGCCTCTGCGCCTGAGATCCTCCAGTACTGGAAAGATGTTGCTACTAAATATGACATCAGGAAGCACATGAGATTCCAGCAGAAGTGCACTGGTGCTCGGTGGAGCGAAACCACCAATAAGTGGTTTGTCCAGCTCAAAGACTTGACGACAGGTCTCGAGTATGAAGACTCGGCCGATGTGCTTGTTACAGGCGAAGGCGTTTTGAATGAGTGGCGATGGCCTGATATCAATGGTATCAATTCTTTCCAGGGTCAGCTCCTTCATAGTGCAAATTGGGATGCCAACGTTGATCTCAGGGTAAGAAATCACGCTCAAGCAGGCTCTGAAGAACCTTTCACTGACCACAAACCATTAAACAGGACAAGTCTGTCGCTGTGATTGGAAACGGCAGCAGTGGGCTTCAGATTGTCCCCGCAATATTGCCCGATGTCAAGCACATGGATCACTACATTCGCGGCAAATCCTGGATTGTTGGCCTCTTCGGAGATCCAGAGACCAGACAGCGCATCAAAGAAGCAGGCGGAAACTTCCAGTATTCACCAGACGAGATTCAAAGCTGGGAGACAGATCGAGAAGCATATTTAAAGTACAGACGATCCATCGAGCACAACATTAACAAGAACTTTGGTGTTCTCTTCAGCGGGACAGCACAACAGACGAATCTTCGGCTTCTAGCCCAAGAGTCCATGACACAAAGGCTCAAGGAGAGGCCTGACATCTACGAGCACCTCCAGCCTGACTTCTCGCCTTATTGCAAGCGCATGTCACCCGGACCAGGATACCTTGAGGCGCTTGCATCGCCAAAGGTCGATACCATCACCTCCGGCATCACCAAGATTGACGAGACAGGAATATTCACTTCGGATGGTCAACATCGTCCAGTCGATGTGATCATCTGCGCGACTGGCTTCCAGACATCACCCGCAAGCCGAAGCTTTCCCATATACGGTGTCGGTGGGGTTAACCTACGAGAGCGCTTCCAAAAACGCCCAGAAACATATCTGAGCGTATGCACAGATGGCTTCCCCAACTTCTTCCAATCAATGGGCCCCAACTCTATGCCTGGTGCAGGCAGTCTCTTACTCGTGATCGAAAAGACAAATACCTACATCGCCAAGATCCTGGCTCGAATGGCATACGATAACATCGCGCGCATCGAGCCAAAGGAAAAAATGGTTCAGGCATTTACTGACTACTGTGACAATTTCTTTAAACAGACTGTATTTGCAGAGGAGTGTAATTCTTGGTATAAAACATACGAGACTGGTGCTTCGCGTCAGGAGCAGAAGCGCGGACGGATCACGGCACTGTGGCCGGGCAGCAGTTTGCACTGCGTGCGGACTTTGAGTCGTCCGCGATGGGAAGACTTTGAGTACAAGTATTGTGATGATAATGAGTTTGGCTGGTTTGGAAATGGATGGACGCTGGCCGAGAAATTTGTTACTGATGAGTTGGAGTCCTTGACATGGTATCTGAATGATACCAATGTCATGGAGAAGATAGTGACATAAGATACTTCGACGGGAAATATGTTATTGAATTCTCACGAAGTCAAGAACAATACCATACATTACGTTAAATCCTCAAGTTATGGTGACTCTTCTACACGTATAGTATATTGGCCTAAACTCAGAAGCGTCTTCCATTCAGTTAACTAAGTTTGTAAAAGCTTTCAAAGTCTTAGGCGTATCTTAGGGTATTTCATGAATTTGGGATTCAGTAGCTCAAGCTTAGGTTAAGATTGAACACGTTTAAAGACAAGAATAAATTGATAACATTAAACTATGCCTATTGTAAATAAGAAAATTACTAGATGTAAAAAGAAATAGTAAAAGCAATCTAAACTGTGTGTAGTACTCTATGGTAATGCGAACCTTGCAAAAAGGCAGAACTATTCCTTTTTGTCCTTTCTCCTCCTAGGGACACGAGCCAATTAGTAAATAGCAACTGCGGCTGCACAGTTGAAGACCACATAAACCCAAAGTAGCCCAAAGTCTCTCCAGCGATTGTCGAAGCTAACGTTGATCCCCTTCAAGAACGTGTTGGTATCTGCCATAGGACAGTATTGGCACTGAGTTTTGCTGCCCGCACTGTCACCAACAAGATACCCACCCATATTGGACATATAGTCCGACAGAAACTCTCCACATGTGCCATTCGCAGGTTTGAACTCCATGATCTCGTTGTCGGCGCAAGTGACAGGTGCATTGGCAAGAGTTGTGCCGAGGAAACCCTCTACCACGTATGTGAAAGGATTAACGCGGTACATGAAGATCCAAAAACCGGGCAGAGCATCAGGGCCAGCGAGGACACCACAAAATGCGAACATCATGATGAAGAGCAGGTTCATGACGCCGCCTGCAGTATCAGCGTTGGGAAGTCCGGCGATAATCATGTGGGCGAAGGACGAAGTCAGGAGGAAGAACATCCAGACGTGAAGGAAGATGGTGATGCCACGAGAATGGACCTCGTTCGTGTACTCAGCGTTACGGTAGAGGCCGATGGGGAAGTACCAGCAGATGAAGGCAAATATACCGGTGAACTAGACGGAATGTTAGAAATGGTCTGTCTAAGGAAGTGGGGATCGGGGCATAGCTTACCGAGTTCCAGACTATCTCGACTGTCAGATTTGCAAACATGAATGACTGCCAAGAGTATGTCTTTGCGGGACGCTCGCGAGCCTCGTAAAGAGTCCTCTGCTCCACAAAGGCTGGCATCATTTGTTCAGCGACCTGCGAAAAGATGGTCAAGAAGATGAATACTCCAAACATCTGGTTCTGAAGACCACGGACTGTATTCTCGCCATCCATGACAGAAAGGCCGATGAATAAGGACTATATAGATGGAGGTCAGCATGTGTGGAAGGATAAACAGTAACGATGGTTGACTGACTGCACCGACTGTGAGAATGGACTTGGAGTACATATAGCCCGGGCTTCTCCAGTACTGAACAAAGAGACGTTTGGTGACCTCCCGTAGCTGCGTGAACAGAGGAGAAGCATACTCGTCATACTCGGAGGGGTCAGCTTCGCTTGATGCAAGTGTCGCCGACGGTTGTGACGCCTTGAGAGATTGGAGTTCCTTCTGCATCTCCCTGTACTCTGGAGACTGCCTCCATGCGGCTGGCCAGTCCACGTCAGTATGCGTACCCGGTGCCGCCCCAATGACCTCAAGCATATGCTCCGCTGGGTTGGCCTTGGGTGGCAAAGGGTGGCCTCCGTTGCGAGTGAAGTAGTCCATCAAGATCTGTGAATTCTGACCGATTTGACCAAAATAGACAGTCTTTCCTCCCTTCGCGAGCAGAAGTAGGCGGTCGAATCGTTGGAAAAGCATAGCAGAGGGCTGATGAATAGTGCACAATATTGCTTGGCCGCTCTTGGTCAATTGCTCCATCAAGTCGCAAATAGACCATGAAGTCTGACTGTCCAGTCCAGAAGTAGGCTCATCAAGGAAGAGCAAAAGCTGCGGACGTGCAACAAGCTCAACCGCGATCGTAAGTCTCTTGCGCTGTTCAACATTCAGGCCTTCACCAGGGACACCGATGATGGCATCTGCATAGGCCTCCATCCCGAGAAGCGAAAGGACAGTCTCGACGTAGTCCAGACGTTCTTGCTTGGAGTACTTGGCTGGCTGCCGAAGCATGGCACTAAATCGAAGCGCTTCTCGTACCGTTGAACTGGCTTGGTGCAGATCCTGTTGAGTCACATAGCCCGTCTTTCTTTGGAAGGAAGAGTCGCGAAAGTGACCATTAACAAGCATATCGCCAGAAACAACTCCCATGGTCACTCGACTAGCGAGGACGTCAAGAAGAGTGGTTTTGCCAGCACCCGAGACACCCTATGAATACGTTAGTCAGTATGATAGAAGAAAGGAAAATAGAGTGCAGTGTAAAAGGTACTCACCATGAGAGCTGTCAGGGTTCCGGGCTTGACCCAGCCATCGACATGATCCAAAATCCTGCGCGTCTCACTCTTGATCTTGACGTCGTAGCAGACATCTTTCCAATGGAAGACGGACGTTTGCTTCTCGACCTCGACCTTATCACTCGATGAACCAGAAGCCTCTTGCTTTCCTGTAGGCGTAGGAACACCCGCCTCTTCATCGCTGACGCGCTTGCCAGAGACCCTGTGCATGGCCTCACGAAGAAATACCAGGACTTCACCTTTTGACCGCTCCGAGGCGACATACTCGGTGGTCCAGAGATGAAGAGCCATGAAAAACACGGTCCAGGCGATGATTATGCCGAAGTTCCTCCATCGGTGGCTGTTGACGAACCCAAAGGAGGCCTTCAAGTAATCCTCGCCCTTGACGAATGATTGCCCAGGTACAGACCCAGGCACGTTGCACACGTATTCGCCGTTTCCTAAGTTCTCGTAGCCAGGACCATGGGGGACAAAGTCTGAGCAGGGAAACTGTTGACCAACAAATTCGATCAGAAACACACTCTCGAGTCCATAATAAACAGGGTTCACCCATCGGATCCAGCCGAGCCAGTTCGGCATGTAAGCGGGTGGGATCGCAAATCCCGAATACAAGACCAAGGCCAACAGGATGATGCAGGCGGGTGCCAGAGCCTGCGCAACGGACTTGGTTGCAGAGCCAATGAACCGGAACATCATCGACATACAAAGAGTTATAGAGAATGATAGGAGAAGGAATGCGAAGAACGGGCCTGCTTCACGGCGCAGGTTACACATGAAGTATAGTGTGCAATTGAGAAGGATCGAGTTGACGATTTTGTACGGAAGATCGGTTGTCATCGGACAGGGCCTCGGCACTCGGGTGATAGAAAGCGTATCGAGACTGCTTTTCGACGACTTTCCGCTTCGCATATAGAGTCATGATCTCGAGAATGCTCCCAAACGCGTTGATTAGGACGATGAAGAATAGCAAAATAGTTCGACGGAAGAAGCTCGTGGTGTTGAATGGGAGGTTATAGAAGATGCTCGAGATTATCAGACCCTCAAACAGGTTGCTGATAAGCATCGTGAGAGTGATGCTGGGGTCTCCGATCAACATAGTGAAGCCTCGCCAGAGGTTGATAGTATACTGCTGTAGATAGGAAAGGTTGAAGGGAGATCGATCCCTCTGAGCTGCAGCTTGATCGAGTCTCCGTGATTCAGAGAATTTCAGAAGATCAGGGCCGTCAAATGGGTGTTGTTCCATGTAGTAGTCTATCTCGTCGATAAGCCTCGATCGGTGCTGGCTTTGCTGCCAGGCTCGCGCGAATTCGTCCGATGTTCGAGGTGGGTTGGCTCCCTGACGGATGACTCTCTCGGCCGGGTTCGTCATTGAAGTGAGGAAGTCGGCTGTCGTCTGTTGTTCGGGGCAGATGAAACCGAGGTTCTCGAAGTACGCTTGGGCTTCGTCTGTCTTTCCGAAGAAGATTTGACGGCCCTCGTACAGGACGATAACCTTGTCGAACAACTATGACCAAATTAGCCGAGAAATTATTCCAACACAAGGGGATACTTACATCATAGGCAGTTTGAGGTGCTTGATAAATTGCAACGCAAGATGCGATACCAAGAGTATCAGCTTGAGTACGTAAAACGCGACAGAACTCAATAGCGTTGGCACTGTCAAGACCCCGTGTGCTGTTATCCCAACACTGAAGAGGGGAGTATCCGAGCGCAGCCTCAGCTATTGTGACTCTCTTGCGTTCGCCACCGCTGATACCACGGACGTAATCATCGCCAACTTGCGTATTCTTGGTATGCAAGATGCCAAACATAGCCATAATCACATCACGAAGATGCTTAGCATACTCTCGAGCGGTGACACCGTGGGGGAGCTTGTCCTTGGGAGGACATCGGCATCGAGCAGCAAAGTAAAGAGTATCGCCGACAGTCAGGTGAGGGAAATGGTGATCAACTTCGGCCGTGTAGATGGCTTCACCTCGGTAGGCGTTCTTCATCTGCTCGGGCCGGATGCCCTGGTAGTTCAAGACTGTATCGTTGCTAAAATGGAAGCCGTGAGTCTCGCCTGCAATACTGCGCAGTAGTGTTGAGCAGCCCGAGCCTGGAGGACCGAGAACACATAGCATTTCTCCAGCTTCGACGTGCCCGTCAATACCACGGAGGATATCAATACGCTGACCTTTATCCCCAAATATCTTTCTGGCGAAACTCGAAGCCTTCAGAACGATGTTGGTCAAAGTATTCTGGAAGTCGGTCGCCTGGCCAAAGCCGTACGCATTGAGATTCTTAAATGCGATACCGGCGGTTCGAGGAGTACTGCCATCAGCAGCTTCTGTTCGGGTCTTGAGATAAGCCTTTGCCCATTTCTTGGAGTTGAAATGGGGGCTTTGCGGATCAAGAGGACCGCCATCGCTCAAGGGAAACAATGGCCCGTGGCCCGATGCAGCAGATTGACTGGTAAATCTGCGCGCCAAGTCATGGATTTCATCCTCGTACTCAGGCTCATCAGACAGGTCGTTTTCCCGTGTTCTGTCACCCAACGTGGCAGAGGACATGGAAGGGGCGTGGCTAGGACGCGGATCGTTTGGAGGATTCATCCGGCCTCGGGTTAAGCAGGTTGGATAGTATTTTCAGAGAAGAGATTAGATAATTTGTAATTGGATAACAATGAAACAATGGTGATAGGATCGTTGATGTCAAGTCAATGGCATGGTTGGTGCTGTGCTCTCTTATAACTTGCAGTAAGAGGCATATTGAAGACGTGGACTGAAACAGATTTTTACACGAAAGAGTCACTAATTCTAAGCACAATCTTACGTAGCGACGGAAACCCGCCGCTCAGACATACCGACCTTGAGATTCCGTCATGATACACATCAACTTGAAGGTTGGACGGAGCGGAGGACCGAAACAGCGGGGCCTTGCGGTATCTCGGACTGTCCGAGCACCGGGCTACTGCCCCTTTTATGGAAGACAGCGCCACAGCTTCATCGCTATCAAACAGATCGACGAGCTAGATCTTGGCATTATCACTGTTTAGAATTACCCGCCGCAGATTTGTCAGTTTGCCAAGCCCAAGCCTGGGAACGGGTTTCGCGGAATCCAGGATAAAATAGCTGCGAACCGCCTGCGCGTAAGCCTAAGATTTGGCTGTTTCGTCCTAAGATTATGGAACAACCCTAAAATATCTCTAAGACTTTTGATAATTTTACGAAATTAGGTGATTGAGACTAAGTGACTTCTGTATTCAGACTAATTAAATAAGAATGCGTGGCAGAAGCCACATTTGCGTAGAAATTTGACTTGAGAGTTTCTGCCCCAGTTGACTCTAGGGACAAGATGGCCAAAATCTTTAATAATTCACTATTGAAAGGTGAAAAAAGCAAGTTAAATCCGTAGAAACCACAGCCTCTGTCAATTATCTTGTATGTCCTCTCACATCGTCGCAGTCTTCCATTGACTATGAGGGTCCACAGCTATGATTGGTTGTTGTCCAGCATCATAAATATCTCTTGGTTTTGCTCAAACCAGTTCCCCAGCTCCATGTTATGGTCCAGGCTACCCTCCACCATATTCCCAGCTTGTCCTACTGATAATCCCCCGTAATCAATCCCACTTGAAAGCTGTGTTCCATCGTTGAAGCCCTGCATATTTGCTTGCATATTCAGGTGACTGGGCACAGGAACCCCCGCCTCGAAGAAAAGCATCTCAAATGGTGTATCAGGTATGCGCCCTGACACATGGGCTGGAGGATTATTGGACCTTGAGCCCACATACTTACACGCGACTTCATACATGAGCTTGAACAGATGAAGCTGCTTTCTGTATACATTTGGAAGATCTGGGGGTATCAAGTCGACTGTTTCGACCACTGCAGCGAGCGGCTCCAAGTGAGTCGGGTCGCAAGTCTCGATGGCATGGCAAAACAATACCATGAATGGCACCAGAGGTACCGCCATGAGGCCCCTAATTCTTGGTTAATTTAAGCACTGTTGCTTGGTCTGGAGGCCTTACCAATGCATGTAAAACTCAAAGACGACGGCTTCGACATTCTTGAGCATTGACAAACAAATCCTGTGTTGCTCAAGGCCATTCTTTGCTGCCTCCAAGCATTCATCGCAAAAGGCTGATGATATCAGAGACGCAGGTTTCACTGCTCTGAAGACCAGACAGCGCATGGAATAGTATGCTACCTTATCAGTCCTGCGAAATACCTCGCTCTGGGTCTCGCCGATGACAGTCCCGATTGACTCAAATAAGTGTTCCTGCGAATGTGTTAGGGAACAGTTTCCCATTCTTAAATTGATCTTGGACTCACTTCTGCCAGGCTCTTTGTTAGGAATAGCTGCTCCATCTCAGCCGCTAATCTCCTGGCATTTGTCTCTCTCTCAACATCTGGCTGAAGCAAAGACTCCGGGCTGTAGAGTATATCATAAACCCTTCCTTGAAGGCTGCAAAACCGTGCCCATTTTGCAATTATCGGAGTAGGTCCCTCTTCCCTATCCGCTTCTAAGGCCTCAAAAATTATAGTGATTTCCCCATCTCGGATCAGGACTGGCCGACTCAATCTCAAAGCGAGCATCTTGTCGCAAAGATGGATGTAGAAGATCAGTTTAGCCCTCCGTTGCTTTGCCTCTCTTGACTCTGGCTTTGGAAGATTCTCCCGGGTGAAACCTAGTGTCTGGCACATTTGTACTGCAGCAGCAAGACAATTCCAGGACATGGAAATCCTGCAATTTTCGAGATGGTAGCATGACTGGACTTCTGTTAGTAGCATATTCTTCGAAGACGTTTTATGCCGAGACACTTACCGCCATGAACAGGGCGAGTATGTAATCGGGTGTGCAGGGCATGTTAAAGGGAAGGCCAGCTAGGATAGACTCCAGGTTTTGCCGACAGACCGCCGCCTGAGATGCAAACTCATTCTTGAGAACTTGTTCAGTCTCTATGTTGGCGCATTCGTGCAATAGGCTCACCAAACCAACATGTGTAAGTATGAGGTCAGCGAGGGTAGGCTTGCCAAAGTAAACTGTCATGAGATACTCGACAAATTGGCTGATGCTGTGAAACTCAGCGCGCCAGAATAGCTGTAATCTGGGAGACTCTACGACGATATTAGTATGTTTATAGATACAGTTGTCGTGCGGATTACCCCTCAGTCTCTGCACAGCCATCATGGACAGGTTAACAGGAGGAAGCTGAAAACCTCCATGTTCTTGAGGAGACAATATTCGTTGCGTATCAACAAGACGCGTCTCGTCAACCGTGACGTCCTTGCCCGCCAAGATCTTCCGCAGTGCGTCTAAGTGACTCTTTATCTCTGGAAGCGTTCGTGATGACTGATTGCTGTCAACGAATTGTTGCAAGAAATCTGTCGCAAATGTAGCCTGTGTCGTCAAAGTAACATCGCCTTCGAACTCTGAGCCTTTCTCCGGGCCTGTTCTGACATTACACGACGGGGAGCTCGCATGAGATATTGGGGTAACCTGTGAACTGATAGCAGTATGAGCAGCCGACGAGCCCCCTTGTAAATGCTGAGGGGAAGAAGTGATGTTGTCGACAGCGAGGCTTATGCGATCAAGCTTTTGCGAAATGGCATCCAATTTGGACTCACTGCAGCTGAGGTAAGCTTGTTTACTTGAACATTTCCCTCACTACTACTCACTAGCCATCGGATACTAGGACCGGCTGACGTTTTGGTCGAGGCTTGAAGCCAGTGGGGAACGAACAACGAATATTCTTTCGTTGACACGGTCCACAAGGATCTCCACGGTCGCATTTGATCTATGACGGATCAGTGAAGGTGCTGCTGATATATATATGCTCGCCTACCTTTCTTTGTCTACATTGGTCACACTGGCAGTTGTCAGTCGCCATCTAAGATTGCAGCACAGCATAGGATGGGTCTCAGCTCACAGAGAGCTTATGCTCGGGAACTCGACGCGTCCCAGAGACGGCGTTTTCTTCTCCATCGCTTTCGTTCGGATCCATGTTCATCGTTGTGATTAGGCTCAATGACTTGTTTAAATATCTAGCAAATTTTGCAACACTCAGATTCGCCAAAGACTCATGGATATTGGCCTACAAAACGCCAAGGCCAACCCTCATTCTTGATGATGGCATGTGTCTCTTTCGGGTAAAGTCTCGGTTTCTCGGAGCCCCGAAAGACCGCCGAGACTTATTTTTTGGGACGCGATTGGTTTGCATGCTGTCAGCTACCCTGTAAGTAAAGAAATCAAGCAAGCAAGCAACTACCATTGCAAGTGATAGAGCTCAAGGATAGAGCGCGATATATGCACTAATGTGCATATCGATATATATATACTAAAATTTTGTTTTTGTAAAGATTGAAGTTCTGATAACTACAATCTCTAGGTGCGATTGTGATCATGTTGTAATAAATGCCAGAGTTCATGAGATTTTGGAGTGAGTTTAAAAAACAAATGATAGTGGATCTGGAAGCTCAATGACAAATCTGATTTGTGGAAAAAGAGTGTGTCTAACCGGATCCGGAGTAGACCATGATTATTTTGACGTTCATCTCTTTTCTCCAAAGTTAACGCGTTGTCTCTTATCGATAGCACGCGACGACAACAGCACATATGAGTTTCTGTACCTTACTTATCACTTGCAATCTCGGGTTTCTTGAATAGGAAACACGTTCCTTGCTGTACCATATGTAGTTCTATCATTGCTTGGCGAACAAAAATCTAACACCGACATACGTCACAATTACTCAATGAAAACCGAACGCTCCAGAACACCCAAAACATCATCCTGCCCCAACAAACCCCGCTCTACCACCACGTCCAGAAACGGGCGCTCTTCAGCCAGAGCCGATCTCACGATGCTTGACACTTTGGCATAGCCAAGGCTCGGAACAAGAGCCGTTGCAAGTGCACTCGCGTCAAGAAGATGCTTCTCTGACGTCTCCTTGTTTGCGATGAGGCCCTCGACGCATCGTTTGGCGAATGTCTTGGAAACGCTCTTGAGAAGCTGTATGCTGTCGAACAGTCGGTCGCAAACCAAAAGCTCATAGTGATTGATCTCCAACATTCCCTGTTGACATGCCATGGAAACAGCAGCATCGTTTCCAGTGATGGCCAACGCCACTTGACAAACTGCAATGGGAATCACAGGATTGACCTTGCCAGGCATGATGGAAGAGCCTGCCTGTACCGGCGGGAGAGTAATCTCAGCAATACCACCATTGGGTCCCGAAGAGAGCAGAATCATATCGTTTGCAATCTTCCACAAGCTATTGGCAGTGTTGCGCAGCTCGGCTGAGAGTCGTGCACAAGTGTCCATGTTCTGCATGCCGTCAAACGCGTCGCTACATGGCTGCACCACAACTCCCAGCGACGAGGAAAGATGCTTGAAGACTGCTGCTTTGTATCCAGACTTGGATCCGAATCCAGTGCCAATAGCAGTGCCGCCCATGGGGAGCACAAGAAACGAATCACGGATCGTGCTGAGGTACTGTCGGTGTCTTCGGATGACCGCCTCATGAGCACCAAGAGCCTGGCCGTAAGTCATAGGCTGAGCGTCCTGGAGACAAGTCCTTCCAAGACGGAGAAGGGTAGAGTATTCCTGGCGCTTCACAGCAAATGCATCCGCAAGCCATTGGAGAGCATCCAAAGCACCCTCCATGGCACGATACACAGCAAGCTTCATAGCTGAGGGTACAGCATCATTCGTAGATTGTCCCATGTTAACGTGATCGTTGGGATGAACAAACGTGTAATCAGAAAGAGCTCGGCCTGAGTTCTTGGCAACGATGTTGGCGATGACTTCATTCACATTCATGTTGGTAGAAGTACCGCCAGATCCCTCCATCATGTCCACTGCGAAATGCTTGTCGTGGACTCCAGTTTTGACCTCTTCGCAAGCCTCGGAAATAGCATTGGCCTGCTCAGATGTGATGGTGCCGACTTCATAATTAGCACGGGCTGCTGCTTGCTTGATTATAGCAAATGCGTAGATGAAGTCTGGCCAGCTGGCGATGGGTCGTCCTGAGAGAGGGAAGTTTTCGATGGCGCGGAATGTGTTGATACCGTAGAGAACATCGTCTGGGAGCTCAAGTTGACCGAGACTATCTTTTTCGAGACGCTTTGTCTCGATGGTGACAGTGACTTTGTGACCGTTGGCTCCTTTGACGAGTAGGCCGTTCGTTGGCTTGGGCTCGCTAGGAACAACCTGACCAATGTAAGCACGTGAAGGTGGCTGCGTTGGGCAGAGATAAGCGGCTTACGGTCGAGATGATTTGAGTGACCGTCATCGTGTCGGCTGCTGGGCTGACAACTCTTTGAGATTGTTTCAAGTGAAGAGGATGCTGCTAGTATAGTGTTTTTGCTTGTATTGTTCTGTTCTCTCGTGAGATTCGAGAATTCTGTTGCTGAGGGCGCTGACCATCTATATAGAAATGAGTGGTGTTGTTAATGAGGCCCCCAAGGCTGTTGACATAACCCGGTTTTGTCTCCAGTCCACGGTGTGAGGCTTTCAGCGGGATGAACCGGTGAGAACAGAACCCAAAGTCGATGGTACCTCAGAAACCCATGGCTCCCCTACAAGAGAATACAGTCGCGAGTACTTGCATACAGCCTTCTGTCTGACATACGGCTGACCAACTGGGTCTGTTCCCTCCCATGCTTCGGCCGCTAAACCGTCTCAGCCGATGCTGAAAAAGCTCGCATTAGCGGCCGAAGAAAAAAGAAAGGGACGAGAATTTGGCCCGCGTGACATATGCAGTGAGTGCCATGATACATACAGCCAGGGATCTGCACTCAACGGATTTCCGACGTGGCAGATCCCTACTGAGCCGATAATCAACATTTCCGGTCTGCGGGGGAACATTTTCCTACCCCTCCATTAGCGTTGTTGTCACGTCCCCCTCCCTTTGGCACAGAGACAACGTATGTGCATTTCTGGGCGCCTTACACCGTCGACCATTGCCGGTTGACCGGTGTGCTGGGTTGTAGAGCAAATCGAGCGATTTGCCACTCGACACTGGTCAGGCATAGCGTCAGATCTGGCAATAGCCGGGTCTCGGCCTGGAAATCTGAGGCCATATCAAGCTCGGGGAGGCAATGGCTTAGATCTCAATCCTAAGTGACAAAAAGACTGGTCCAAGTTTAGGGACCTCTTTGGTGGGTTTATTATAGTACCATCCGTCAGGCTCCGGGGCATTTCTTCTCCCCGAGGCCAAGCCATGCCATTATCGTCGGCGAGCTATCTCGACTCACAGTTGCATTTTGAGGTTACTTGTCAGCCACGTGGTATGTCAGAACATAAGCATGCAGAAAGGGTAATATCGGCCTTATCTTTATAGATTGTCTATATTACCTTAGCCGAGCTTGCCAGATTAAATATTCTGTTGTGAAACTCAATAGCGTCATTCTACATATACAACCACACCTTCTTCAACACCAAAGATGTAGAGCGACGAATTGATTCTCTTGTCTTTTGCCCATTGAGAGCAATTATTTAAAAATTCCGCCCAATCAACATCGGACCAAAAGCTTTCGCAGAACTCTAATAATTGAACCTCAAATTCTGTTGGTCTTTCAATCGGTCTGGTATCTTCATTGGTTGTGAATATTTGAACCATGATGTCTAAGTCGGCTAGTGCGGCGTTATGATCTCTTGCAACCGGGTTACCCGTTTTAGCCATTTCCTTCAAAATGAGGCGACATTGAGTATAGAGGTGCTCGTCAATAAGCCCAGAGGTTTCGGCAAGCTCGGGAGCGACAGCTTTTGCAGTAGAGATGACGGAGAGGCTACTGAAAGCATGCAAGTCCCAATAACCAAAACGCGCTGATTGAAAAGCTAGCATTCGTATTGTGATCGGATCCGGGTTTGTTAAAGCCCTTAGCATGTTTACCGCGATTGAAGAGCTCTACTAGTATCTTGCAGTTGTACCTCGAGGCATCGTGGCCTTCCTTGGCCAGGACATCAATTTGCTTCCGCATTGTCGCAAGTGACTGACAGATTCCATTATCTGGCACTTGATCTTGTATATTTGTGTCTGAAGTGTCTTAACACTTGGATCGAAAAGTTGGACCATTTCTGATTCTGGTACGTCTCGTGAAGAAGGTAGGTTGGCATCGAACTTCTTCGCGGACTGCCGACACAAAATTCCGCCCTGTGTCTAAGCGAGCTGCCGCGCTGGCATTCAGCAATGCCCTCGCGACTATCAGCAGTATCTATGGATTCTTCCTGTACCCCAATGCGCCCAGCTGCGATTCATCCTCGCTTTTAGTATAAACGCCGCGGTGGCTACTATCGCTATATTTTCCAGTATCACTCTTCACTTCATTTTGAAGCGAGCCTACCGGAAGCTGACACTCAAGGAGACTGAAGAGGGAGCTGCTGGACAACATCTACCAGGATCTGGGTTCCGATACCTTACTTAAAGGCCACTAAGGAATAGTATGAGACCGAGAACTCTAGTATCAAATAGTGAGAATACTTGGGTGTATTTAGGATAAGTTAGAACAGGCCAATTTGAATAGTTATTTACATCTCTTGCGTCTTGGTACAAGCAGCCGATGTAACTCTGCACCTTGTAACTATCGGAAGACATTGAGATACTTAAGACATTACCGTAATCAGATTTAGCACACCCATCCGCCATCAACATTGTATACAGCACCGGTCACAAATGACGCCTCATCGCTGAGTAAAAACGCGATAACTCGAGCAACCTCGACTGGATCAGCTCTTCTCTTCTGCACAGTCCCCGAGAGACTGCGCTTGACATGTTCTTCATCATCGTGCTCATTCATAGCTGTACTCACGGAACCTAACCACAGTCAGCCAACATTCAGACCTGTGAACCGTACAAGCGTACCAGGCGAGACGCAGTTGACTCGGATGTGGGCATTCTCTTTCGCAGCCGTACGCGAAAGGCCTATTACCGCTGCCTTGCTTGCGCAGTATGCGACGTGCCCTGGAGCACCGAATTGACCAAATACGCTGGCGGCTGAGACCTAAGGGGCAATCAGTCATTGTCCAAAATGTTGACCTTCAAGCTTACAATGCTAGCGCCGGCGGACATGGCTCTAAGCTCGGCACGTAGGCAATTGAACACTCCGCGCGTATTAACTGCAAACATCTTATCCCAGACCTCATCGCTGTACTCAGTGAGAGGCACTGGCTCGGCAATGATACCAGCCATGTTCACAGCACCATGGAGCCCGCCGAAAACGCCGAGGGTCGTTTTGATCCAAGAGTCTACTGAGCCACTCTTGCTGACGTCTACCACTTGATAGATATGCTTGTCACCCGGCAACGAGGCTTTGGCCTTCTTGAGTGCTTGTTCGTTGATATCGGCAAGGGAAACCGTAGCTCCTCTCTCAGCAAGGAGCTTTGCAGTGGCTAGACCCATGCCAGAGCCAGCGCCGGTTACAGCGATCTGAAGTGTTAGTCCTGCCCAATGTTGCACGATGAAAGAGTACTTACCACTTTTCCTTGAAAAGATGTCATCTTAGAACTTGGTATTATTGACAGTGAAGTTTCTTCTACAGGATGAAAACACTGGAGGAGGCCTTGGGAGAGTTTAAGTCCATAGCAGCCCAGCCATAACCGACATGTCTGTGTGACGTAGACCAATTGAAGGTCATTCGCGATGAGTTTACCCCGCATCGCAAGGCGATAAGCGGTTCTGGAAGTGGAAAGTTATCCCAAGTGGCGGTTTGCTTCGCAGAACTCATTCTATGGCTATGGACTTATGGCCGATCCCCAACAAAGCAAGTGAGGACACGTCACATAATCACTTACACGTACGCATGGTGAGACTTTCCGAGTCATATTGGTGCTAAATATATATTGTCTCCTATTTCGATATTCATCCAAACCCGTTTTGTCTATCGGTGCTGTCCCTCCCGATCCATATCTGCTCAATTCGTTCTTTCGTCTCCGTAAATATCCTCAGCCCGCTTCGCTTTGCAGCGCATTCAAACCATTGTACAAACGACGCTCGTATATCATTATCGTCAGTCTCACAGGCTGCAACAAAGGCAGGCCATATCAATCTCAAAGATCCGTATCCCATTCCAGCATCTAATGCATCAAACTCGAGCAGCCGATCCCGCACACCAAGAACATGTTTCTGAAGCATGCTTGGATCCAGATCATAGATTCTGCGATAGAAGTACACAGAAAGTGCGTGCTGCATGGTATCAGCCAGACTGTTGAGCAGATTGACAGACTGTTGGTGTTCGGGATCAACAGGCGCTTCGACCATCCATATGGACTGGCGAAGAACGTGAAGCTGCTTGATCCATCGCTCAACTGCTTTTGCTCGAGCCATAAACTCCTTCAATGTAAGTCCAGAGTTGATCAGTTCATCTTGGTTCTGCTCCTTCTCTCGCGCAAGCCTGATGACCAGCGAAAGCATAAAGAGGTGGAGCTCAGGTACACCAAAGATCTCAGGATAAAGAGTAGCTGACCATATCCCTGGATTTTGAAGATGAAGGTCATTTTCTCCCTCTTCCTGACCCTTGACCTTGTGCATCTCCTGGTCCAGGTTACTCCACGTAGTGAGTCGGAAAGACAGGCTATCCTGACTATAGGCACTGGCGCCGCTTGCTTCTATGGCTTCACGAACACGGTTCCGATGATCCAAGTTTAGTGTATTTTGTGTAAAAGTGCTCTCGTGGGACAGCCTCTCAAACACGTAGCAGTGATGTAGCAGCCTGACTTTGCGAGACTTTCGTCGGTTAAGGCCTTTTGTTCGGATGAACTTCTCCGTTTCCAGGAAAAAGTACTCTGCTTCGTCTCGGTTGCCAGAGAGTATGGCAATTTGGACCATCGTCAAGAGAGCCATGAGTATGGACTTGTACTTGGCAGTCTTGGGAATATCGTACGCTGTCTTGAGCATAAGACAAACATGAAAGTGGGCTTTTTGATAATATGCCGTGCCTTGGTCTAACCACTTGGTGGAGCCATGAATGCCACCCATGCTAAAGGCACTGATAGATAGTGTGCCGTAAAATGCGCATAAACTTGCGTGGTCCATCTTCTCACCGAGTGTCAAGGCGGCTAAACAGCTTTTGACATGAGGGAGAAAAAGGACGTGCCATGGCGTCTTGCTGTGACGATATGGAGTCAAGCCCCGAAGCACGATCGTTGCATAGTGTTTTACCAGCAGCACAGCATCCCTCGGTACGTCCGTGTCGACTTGCGACGATACTGAGCCTGAGCTGGGAGAAAGGTGTGATAGGTAAAGTCTTGGAGATCCAAGCTCAATTGTAGAAGACCGTGCAAATTGCGAAGGAGGCTTCTGCGCAGAGGCTGATTCACCTACCCAAGGCACGGCCGTTTCAATGCCCATGGCCGCGGGATCCCACCAGTCAGGCTGATCGAAGTTTGCTGGATCCAGCCAGCTGCTTACAGGGAAGCTTTCCAGTGCTTTCAGCCAATCTGTACGAGGAATGAGCGCGTTGTGTTCATCCGATATGTGATGCTGAGCATCTCGAGGAGAGGTTCCAGTATCAAAGTCGAGTGTTGAGACAACAATTTCGACGTCGTCATCGAAGTCAGGGAGTAGCAATTGATCTTCTTCTTCGACAGCGTGAATTTGTGAAACTTCTATCGCGTCCTCTTCTATCTCGTCCAAAGTGCTCAATGGATCTGAGGGCAATTGCTGCGTAATGCGAAAAGCCCCAAAAGGTCCTCTTGAGATCTGTAAATCCGTAGACGTCTTTTCACATTCTTCGTCAATTTGAGAAAGATGCCAACCTGCCAGTTCTGGTGGAACGTCTTGCGCAATCTGTTCGCTCAAACGCTCTCGTTCTTGTTCTGTCAACAATGGTCTTCGAAATCGAGCGACGCCCGTCGATGAGGGGTCATCAAAGTCGAAGAAGATATCTTTGCTATAGCCGCCGCAATCGAGACCAGAGATGTTACACATAGAACATCCGGGACGTCCTTCGTCGCATTTCACCCGACGACTGCGACACTGCAAAATGTCAGTGGGGACTAGGGAATGATCGATTGAGTGTGAACATACGGTAACGCATCCTCCAAACGAACGAGTCCTCCGCCCTGGGACCCGCTTGACCTTTGCTGTGGACTTGCCGACAAGAGGAGGCATAGTGAAGAGAAGCTATCTCCTCGACGAGACCTTCTTCTCGGCCGGGAATGCCCACTTGTAAATGGTCCCAAGATGCAGGCATCGGCACTCCCGCGATGGTGGAGAAGTGAGATAAGGCTAATCACTTCCCCGCCTCTCGGTTATCGGTACCAATCCCTCTCCTGGGGAAACTTTCCTATCCCAACCAAGGGATGAAAAATCAGCGCAGATAGAAACCCTCCAGTTCGTGTCGGTAGTTGATTCCTGCAGGGCGCACTTTGATCTCGTGTTCTTCAGATCATGACGTTGATAAGGTTCTCCCCGCACTTTGCAACGGCTCGTTATTTGATCCAAACTTGTGATTGGGCGGGAATGTTCCACTATCGAAGCCACCATCGTAAAAGGAAAGTTATATCTGGTGCCATTGCGCGTTGCTTTTCACTGTGTGATGGCATGATAGGAAAGTCGAGCAGACTATCCTGTTCAGGTCATTGGTTGAGCAGAAAATGTGAAGGCAACTCCGACATGACACGATCAAATCATTTATCTCGAGATATATAGATACACTTCTGACATTGCCACTTTGCATCAAGTTGAAGTAACAAGACAATTCGTTTCACCGTCACTCATCGCATTATTCACACTATCGGCAATGGGTTCCGTACCTCAGTCTACCAGCACTTTCGACGTTCTCATCCTGGGCGCAGGTCTCTCGGGCCTGTGCTCACTCTATCAGCTTAAGAAGCGTTTCCCAGAATGGCGCGTCAGGGTTCTTGATGCTGCGCCCGATGTTGGAGGCACTTGGTACTGGAACTCTTACCCCGGATGCCGATTCGACTCTGAGTCGCTGTCTTACTGCTTCTCATTCGACAAGGAGCTACTGGATGAGTGGCACTGGAAAGAGGCCTTTTCGCCTCAGCCAGAGACTCACAAGTACATCAGTCGCTTTGCTGAGAAGCACAATCTCAGGAAGGATGTTCAGCTCAACACGACTGTCACAAAGGCTACATGGAATGAGGCTGATCACACATGGACCTTTGTAGATGAAGCTGGTAACGAATACGTCTCCACCTTCTTCATCAGCTGCATGGGCTTCCTCTCTGCGCCCACTCTACCCGCGATTGAAGGCATTGAAGACTTCAGCGGCAAACTATTCCATACTTCTCGTTGGCCCAAGGATCTCGACATCAATCGCGACTTTGTGGGCAAGAAGATTGGAGTCATCGGCACAGGCGCGACAGGCATTCAAATCACAACTGCCGTCTCCAAAGTAGATGGCGTGGAATCTCTCAGCGTCTTCCAACGCACAGCCAATTGGTCCGCTCCTCTTCGCAACTCTGAAATCACCATCGAGCAAATGGCCGAGCATAAGAAGAACTATGATAATATCTTCCAGATTTGTGAAACGAGTTCATCTGGTTTCATGCACCACGGTGACCCTCGAAAGTCTCTCGAGGTCTCGGAAGAAGAGCGACTAGAGCTCTGGGAGAAGCTTTACAATACTCCTGGTTTTGGAAAGTGGCTGGGCGTGTTCTCTGATACGTATACCGATCGATACGCCAACAGTCTGTATTCCAACTTTATGGCTGAGAAGATCAGACAACGGGTTAACGACCCTGCGATTGCAGAGAGCCTTATTCCCAAGGACCACGGCTTTGGCACGCGCCGAGTCCCCATGGAGAGTGGATATTTTGAGGCCTTCAATAAGTCAAACGTTCACCTCGTTGATCTGAAAAAGACGCCAATTGATCGCGTCACACCATCAGGCATCCTGACCTCCGATGGTGAGGAGCACAAGCTTGACATTCTGATTTGCGCAACTGGCTTCAATGCCATTACCGGCGCTTTCAGTGCCATCGACTGGCATGGCAAGAAGAACAGACCGTTGATCGCAACTAGCGACAGCCCCAAGGGTGACCAAGCAGTCTGGGTTGACCACCGACCCCGAACATTCCTGGGTATCACTGTTCCGTCGATGCCAAACATGTTCATGGTTCTTGGTCCCCATCAGCCATTCGGTAACGCTACACGTAACATTGAGCACGGTGTGCAGGCTGTTTCGGATATGCTGCAATACTGCAAGGACCACGGTTACACTTCTGTGGAACCAACAGAAGATGCCGTTGAGCAATGGACCGAGCATGTGGTGCAGTGCAGTGAGAGCCAGGTTCTCATGAATGAGATTGATAGTTGGATGACAGGCGTGAACAAGAACGTCAAGGGCAAGAATGTTAGAAGTGTTGCACGATACAGCGGAAGCATTGGAGAGTATAGAAGGCGGTGCGCTGAGGTCAAGAAGTCGGGCTATAGGGGTCTTGTTTTCGCATAGATAGAGGTAATCAAAATTCATTTTACTTGCAAAAATACTTATTCTTCTCATTGTAGTAGTGTTCAATGAAAACTTTCAGCACCAGTATTATTCATAACCGGAAACCTACCAATTTGTGAAAATGGGTTATATTGTTAACGATTATGGCTTGACGAAACATTTTACAACACTTGTGAGATTACTTTTGCTAGTGTATATGACACTGTTGATAATTATAGTAAGATACCATAAGTTTATACTTAATGTACTGTCGCCAGCACATTCTACAGCAGACTTATCTGGAAGCCTGACCTAGCCAACCTACAGTGCCAGTGATGGCTAGAACAGTTCAAACTCTGTCAGCGGTGATGATTCATCACGAATTCCCGAGATGTCTCCGCTCAAGTCCATTCTTCGTCACGGATCTGCCTTCCAATTATCATCTGCTCATCAGATTGAGGCCATCCAGCGAACACGTTATCATACATCCCCCGCATTTCAAACAGGAAAGTTATATCTGGTGGCTGATCATGGTGGGGCAAGCCCAAGATAGCGAGAACACTCCACGTCAAACGAGGAAAGCTTCTCCAAGTTAGCTTCGGATACCGGCCGCCGAGTCACAGACCTGTCAACCATGGGACAATTGGGGTGCCATAGTTATAGATGTATAAGAACAACTCCATATTGAACAGATAGACATTAATTTCAATCATTACTACCTTATCCAAAGCATTTGTAAATCCCCAATCCCTCATCTCTCTTCCTCTTATCACAATGGATGTCCCTGGTTACGCTCTGATCACAGGAGGCGCTTCAGGCATCGGCCGAGCATGCGCCAGAGCATTTGCTCGCGATGGTAGCGCTGGTATTGCACTCATTGACCTCAACCTCGAATCCCTGCAAATCGTCAAGTCTGAGATTGAAAAAGAGCAATTGTCACCCAAAAAGGACTTTAAGATTGAGATCTACTCTGCAGACGTCACAGATGAGAACCGAATCAACGAGATTGTCGCAGACGTCGCTCAAAAGTATGGTCGCATCGACTATGTTGTCAATGCAGCTGGTATTGCCATGAAGCATCAAGGCGGTGCTGCGTTTGCTCATACAGCTGATTGGAACCGTGTTGTCAGCATCAACCTCACTGGAACATTCTTTGTCCTCAGAGCTACAGCACAAGTCATGTTGAAGCAAGAGCCCATTCGTTCATCTATCAACGGAAGGGAACTGCAGCGCGGATCCATCGTCAACTTCTCTTCCATCCAGGGCGTTGTCGGTATTCCACTGTCGACATCCTACACAGCAGCCAAGCATGCCATCATCGGTCTCACACGGTCAGCCTCAGAGGACTACGCAAAGGAGGGACTTCGCATCAATGCCATCTGCCCGGGATACACGGAGACACCGATGACTACAAAGAACCCCGAGGTGCTCAAGGCTATGCAAGAGCGGATTACAACTGCTGTTCCCATGCAGAGGATGGGTGCACCAGAGGAGATTGCTGACGGTGTTTTGTATCTTTCTGGAGGACGAAGTTCTTTTGTTACTGGGTCTGCCTTGGTTGTTGATGGTGGTTATACCCAAAGGTAATCACGAGCTGGAGGATCACCGAATTATTCGACTGGAGTTTGCATTAGAAGCTGGAAATTCGTTACTATAGAGAAACAAGTAGGCTGATCCGTCTAACGTCTTAGGTTGAGACGGCGCAGACATCTCAGATGATAACCGATGCTTAAACGTGTTTCTATACCCTCGTCTCTCGCCTTATGCCACAGTCAGTGAGTGCACTCTTAATTGTTGGAGCTGGATCATGCTAAGTTCTATAGCCCTCATTGCGTTTTGATGAGATGACACAACTTCTTGTTTCAAGAGAGCATCGGCCATATGTCATCTTTTTCTATTGTCTCGGAGAGTGATTCTCATGTTTCGTCCATCCTCAATGTTTCCCTCACAAGAGTGCAGACGAAACCGAGATATCTACGCCTTAGTCAGCGGGTTTAGCTCAGTTGGGAGAGCGTCAGACTGAAGTCAAACTTCAATCCTCACCAAAATCAAGTGATATCTGAAGGTCGTGTGTTCGATCCACACAAACCGCATCGAATTTCTTTTTGCACTCTCTCCCCTCAATCGTACTACAAATTTGCATTACCAGTGCCATTTCCATGCCTACGACGCTGTGAGCAACCAGGCCTCAGATTGCGGCGTTAAATCAGCCAATGCTGGCATTTTGGTTCAAGGTCAGAGGCGTTCTTGGTGTGTCTAATTTTAGGACCAAGGTCAGTCAGATCCCTGTTTCCTGTGCCTAAAAGTTTAGGGTCCCTACTCTAAGCGACAGAAATATTTAGGCAAGCTTAGTATGAATTTAGAGGATCCTTAGATTAGCTATTTCTGACACTTTGGGGGCGGTTGTGGGTCATGCAGGAGCTCTCTCTGGCCCCGCGGTTGACGCTTATGTCTAGAGATGCTGAACTGAGCTGGGATGTTCTGAAGAACCTCTTCAAAGACGAGCCATACTTGAACGCGTTCCACATGGGCAGTGAGAGTACCTTAGTCATTGTCCCTCATACTGCAAGGACTTTAGTGAAGTATTCGTCTCCATCAAGCTGATTGAGTACCAACGTCGGCTCATGTCACAAGGCAAAGGCAAGGGGTCCAAGCTCATGGATGTGCTGGTGCGATTTCGCGAAAAATCCTCGTGACAAGATCTTCGGGCTCCTAGGCCTAGTGACGGAAGACCACGGTATCCAGGTCGACTATAAGACGTCAGTGCCAGAATTGTATCAACAGGCCACAGTCGCCCTGATCAACCTTGCCGGACACTTGGATATTCTTTGCCAAGAACGCCCAGAAGGGCCCACGGCACTGCGGTGCGTTGATCGGAAAGAGGAACAGCGGCATAAGCTGCTATCTTGGGTGGCTGAGTACGATGGCAAGCGTCGGCAATGCGTACCGATGCTCTTTGCCCCGCGCGACATGTTCAACGCTGGAATCAAGAACTGTGAGACCCCATGCCGACTTATCGACCCCAAAAAAGATATCCTCGTCACGAAGGGCACCTTTCTTGGAACAGTCGTGCCTGTTCTCCAGGAAGACAAAAGCCTTGGGGCTTTCGATGCCATGAACCTGTACCCTGGCAGGGAAGCCCTTGAGCGACCCCAAGGACATCTGTATGCCCCGAAGCTCGGCGGTAAAGAGACAACAACAACAGGTGAGACTGCCATCCGCGCATTCTGGCGAACGATGGTGAAAGATTGAACGCTACCCCCAAGAATTCGTCGTTTGAGACAAACCGAGATTGAGCGGCTGGATGTTGAGACCCAAGAGGAGTTGAAGGATGGTAGGAGCTCGCTCCAGACATACCGTCTGCACTTTGGCAACAGATACTCGAGATCTGCATTTAGTTATCAGCCCGCCGATGACGAAGACCTCGCCAAACTTGACATCGAGGGTCAAATCTCACACCATTACAGCTCTAGTGGCTTCATGTTCGCGGTCACGGATAATGGGCTCTTCCTAGCAACGCGATTTGCTGCGAAGGAGGGTGATATCGTGGCTGTCCTCGATGGTGGAAAGGTACCCTTGGCGTTACGCAAGGTTGAATCTAGAGATGGCGTGAAGGGGGACTTGTATATGGTCGTTGGCTCGACCTACGTGCACGGCTTCATGGATGGTGAGGCAGAGGTTGGTGTGACCGAAAGTTGGTTGGAGAAGCGGGAGATTCTGATCGCGTAATTCTACAACGGAGATCAAGGTTTACACCATTACAAATTAGGAGAGCTCTGTTCATACTTTTCATGGTGCTCTATGGTGATTCTTGCTGGGGACAATATGAAGTTGGTCCATCCTAGGTTCCATTTGGCTGCGAACAACAAAGCACTCCTTTAACAGATGATATCTTTCCCACATTGACTAAGACCATCCCGCAAACTGAAATCCCTAATATGAGAACATGTAACACTACTGAACTTCCTTTCCAAGAGTATCAGCTCTCTGGAACATATCCCAAACTACCTCCAAATGCCAGTCGTCAATCTGGTTGGACTTCAAGGCCTCTTCATGTTTCACCTGCGCCTGATCCAGTCTATCCTTGCATGTTTGCACCACCTTTTCAGCATTCTCGAGCTTGAGGGCACGTACGGCACGTGCATCGAAGGTCTTCTTGAGGTCGCTCATCGCGGCTAGAGTTTGACTAGGTCCATGGAGTCTCTCGTGAGTTTGGCGAAATGCCTCGTCGGCTTCTTGCTTTCGTCTACGAGCTTGAACTCTTTCGGCTTGAGTTACGGCCACAGAGCAGTCGCGATGCACCAAGTCCATGAGTGCTTGCTCGGCATCTCTCTTGACCGCAAGGGCGGTATCAAGTTCGATGTCCGTTATGCGGCGGGCAATTTCGATACGGTCAGAACTGAGGTTTCCAAGAACTTCATTGATGGTGACTCGAGGACTCTTATTTTGGGGCGAGTTCGAGGTCGTCTCTTCTCCATCTTCGAGTGGTCGCTTAGTACCTTGTGGCGGATGTCGTAGCTCATCTTCCGTGGACGCGATCGTATCGTGGAGCGGAGATGGGAGTCGCTGCTTAGCTGACGAATCAAGGGCAGAAGAACTCAACCGAGGAGCGGTGTTCCTTTTCTCGGGTGCTTCCACTTCAGAGTCATCACCTGTCGTGGAACCTGGATTGCCATCAGCCGATGCTCTACATGTCCTGGGATCTCGAGAACTTAGGCCAGGCGGCCTCAGCCAGTCTGGCGGGTGTAACTTACCCGAGGACGAACTGCAATCATTTCCTATCTCCGCCGTCGGCAACCCCAAGTTCTTGCTTGCGCGGCTCACCATTTTCCTGGTAAGGCGCCCAGATTGTGAATGCTTATGCTTTGCGTTGCGTCCTTCTTTCCTGGTGGCCAAGTCTTGGTCGACAACACTCCTGAGGCATCCGCCAGTCTCCCAGAGAGAAGACAACGGAATCTTTTTGGCCATGGCCTTCTCAGTGATGCTCTTCAAGCCTCGGACAACACTCCGGCAAGGTTTGGAAGGCTTCAGCAGATGGGCAGGGAACCAGTCTGGCCCTTGCCACTCTTTGTTCAGCCACTCTATGTTGGCCTCATGGAACTTAAGACTGGCTTCTTTTTTCATCTCGGATCTCGGGTTTCTGATCTGCGCTGTGGGCATGTTGATCTCGAGATCTTGTTTGGGTGAAGCCATGTTTAGCTTATTCGATCGATGTTCCTTGAGGACGACACTTGGTGTCGGGATGGTACGTGCCTGACCAAATAAATGTTAGTAGAACTCGAGACAAGCATCTGGGAGACTCACCGATGGCGCTTCGATAGACGAGATGTTTGTCGAATCTGGCGGGCTACTGTAAAGGCAGAGAGAATGCCGTCAAAGAGAAAAGCCGAGAGAATCTCTCTGGTGTTGTCTTGAGAAGAACCACAGACGCGAGCTTTGTGCGCGTGATTCAGGAAGGTGACCAGTGACGCGTTTGGCGGGTATTAGCAGGCAGTGCCTGCCAGGTGTTGACTCTCAAGTCACTGCATCGCGCGCCTGCCTGACACTGGAGGCTCCCGGAGGTGCCTGGCTCAGCTACTCACCTCAGGATTTTGGGGATCAGCAATGCCCAGATCTAAATTATCATCATTTATGGAAAGATAAAACGAATGACTTGGCCTCGTCTCTATCCGTAGTGTTTACCGCCTTGGCTCATCAGTCGAGAGCTATAGTTGCATGACGGTTCTTCCATGGAGTCGTGGCAGCGATCGCATACATTTCATACGATGGTGAGGTGCAGATCCGTAGGGCTGACCGCTTAACAAATGGAAGCCAATAAATCTCGATCCCCTCGGCTCGAAAAGTCCAAGACCTTCTGTCAGTTGGGGGCCGTGATGTCAGTGCCCGGCACACACAGTTGAGGCAGCGCTGAGAATTCCATGTTTCAGGTGCTCAATCTGTAGATCTGTAACGCGACGGACATAATCAGCCACTCGCCTTAACCCAATCCTCGAAATAATTATCTGCACTTGAATTGACGTGAACACATGAAAGGTTGAGGATAATCTTAAAAGTTAAGCATGATTCCCTACCGTCGATCTTCCAAACTGCAGCTTGTGAGTTTATCCCAGGCCATTGTATGGTCCACAATTGACATAGCACCTCTCTTGTTCTATTTCCTCTCATTCACCATTACCATCACTTTATCGTCATATCTGATCTATTTTGGAACTTTGTGTGTCTTTACTTACGTCTCTTTGCACTAATTTCACTATAGCAATGGCATATCATCAACCCCAGCAGACGCAAGGACAATTTCAAGGCTGGGCTCGGTATAAAATCACCATGAGTCAAGAAAAGTACTCACCCTAGACCTACAAGACGCACTCATAATTGTGGAGCAGATGCAGAGCTATCCACTTAAAACAGCTGGGCTCTGCACGCACGGAGATCTCCGCTGCTCACGACGAGCTTTTTACGAAATGATTCACGAACTGAAAATTATCAGCATAATCAAGTATATCTTGCAACACTGATCACCCAGAATGGAAACAAGGACTCATACTACGCGATGGAGCAAAAGACATGTCTATATGTGATGAAGGAGACGGCACATGGCCACGGCCTTTTTGCAAAAGAGCTCATCAAGGCTGGGACACGCATCATTCACGAAAAACCAATCCTGGTGGTTTCACAAGCTGAGACAAAGACGAAAGCCGAGTATAGATGTGTCATCGATCAAGTCGCAGATCTGAATGACTCAGAAAGAAAGCGATTGATGGATCTGTATCACAACGATAAAAAGCTGCGCGAATTTTCATTCCTCCAGGGTCAACCGTGTCCAGGGACAGACCTCGATGCAGGTATTGTCTTGGCAAAGTTCTATACAAACGCTGCGAGCATAACATCCGGAGGTCTCGAGTGTGGCTTGTTCACAATTTTCTGCCGCATGAATCACTCATGTACACCAAACATATGCTGGGTATACGATGAGCCGACGGGTTTCATGGAAGTATACGCAGTGAGGGACATTGACAAAGACGAGGACATCACCAACTCATACATCGAAGTCGCAATTCCTTACCAAGCCAGGATGAAGGAGCTGTCAAATTGGGGCTTCACGTGTCAGTGCGCCGCCTGTGAAGGGCCAGATGCTGCGAAGCATGATGAGCGAAGGCGCAGGATTGCACAGATCAAGGGAATTCTTGACATTTATCAGGATACGGGAAGATCGGGCGACGCACCCAAGTTCGCCGAGATTCCAAAGACAGACCTGGAAGCATTGAGGCTTGGCGAAGAAAGCCTTGCGTTATTATCGGACGAAGGGCTCATCGAACAACTGGGTGTCATGTATGGGCTGTGTGCCAAGTTTGCCAAAGGCGCTGGGCTACATGACTTTGCGGAGGATTATGAGGAGATGGAGTTTGAGATCTTGGTAATAACGACCGGGGAGTATGTCGATTGAGTTGGGAAACATTCTGAGTGATCAAGGATAGTGGAGAGCTACGATATTCGGAGCTATCGTGTTTGAGATGGCTCACCGCCCGCACGATGATTCTCAGAGAAGTTCCCAAGGTGTATACTTCCAGCAGTTTTCGGTAAAGGTCTTCCGCTGGCAAAGGAGAGCAGGTCTCTTTACACCCTCACACTATTACGTGATATGTGCCATGGTGGCGATCAGTTCATGACATTATCAACTCTATTAATCTAAATTACATCAGTAAAGAAGTTTTGGAAGGAAATCACTCTGTAGAGATTTGAAGACAAAAGAAACTGTGCCAAGAGCGTGACAACAGTGAAGACATTAAAGGAAAATGGGGGGCCTCCAAGTCCTCTTACTGACAGCCAGGGCATGTCCAACAGGCAGGATCATCCCAGATGGAGTTCATGGAAGGGTCCTTATCAGTTTCCAGTGGTATAGGCATACCGCTCAAAGCAAGCTTATAAACCGAAAACTTGCATCGATCATCCTTATATCCTGACCCCTTACATCCGGGATAAGCTCGACAGATAGCAGCACATCGGCGAGGCGTAGCCTGGGCATACTCTGTATAAACAGTGATCAAGTTGGGATCATTTCCATCAACCCAGCCACCTCCCATATAAGCTTCGTAATTGCAGAGAGTGCCAGCAGGAGGGTTGGCGACTGGCTTGCACTCATCGCCTAGAGTGTAGGCACACATATCGGGAGGACCCTTCGGAACAGAGTCAGGAACACACGCTTCGCAGTCAGTGTAGCAGCGTGTATCCAGCCAAACCTGCTTCTTGTAGTCGTTCTCCTCGGTGACGAAGTTCTCCTTGAGTAAGGGGAGCTCTGAGAAGTAGCATCGGTTTTCGAACATTGAGTATCCAGCGGTCAAGCAGAGCGGGTGGCCTTGACAGATGGCTATGCATTCTTCGGCGCGGTCTTGGTGGGGATATGACTCGCGGGTCTCTAGCCAGAAGCTTCTGCTGGTGAGCTTGTCGCCCCATGAACAGAGAACGTCTTTGGGGTAGTTGAAACGATCAAAGTTGCACATTTCGCCGTGCGTATACTTGCATGTCTCTGTTGGGGTCGAAGAGGCGGTAGTGGTTTCTGAGGTTGAAGTGGGGTCTTCAGTGGTCGATGTTGCATCTTCGCCCAGGGATGTTGAATCTTCGGGAGCGTCGCTTGAAGTATCCACAACAGGGCCTTGAGCAGACGTGTGAGTTGTTTCGGGCCAGGCGGTGGTGCCTTCGATGAAAGTTGGCTCCACGTCTATGCTAGTCTCCGGTCGAGGCGGTCGCATGCTTGTTGACTTGGTTCCTGGCGTAGGCTCTAGGCTTCCAGAGCTTGTCTCTGGGCTAGGTAGCCAATGGGTTGTGTTCTGCGGAACTCTGGTGGATGGCTCCTCGATGATAGTTGTCTCCGATTCTACTGGAGCTTCAGTAACGCCAGCAGTCGACTCCGTGAGGGATGGTGATTCATCACAGAGCTGACAGTTGAAGCAAGCTAACTCAGACCATTCCAGAACACGATTTGGATCTCCGGTAATCCAACCTTGAAGCCTCAATGGCTCAAGGATGAAATTGCAAGGGTATCTCGGGTTGTTGTTTACAGCGAATGCGAAGCATCCCTCGATGTAAGCACAAGTTAACGCGCACTTCTGTATATCCATGCCTTGCATAGGATATTGGGAGAGTGGATATGCTACGATATCAGCATTGGGTTGTGAACGGTACTCGCAGAATGGTTCTGAGGGCTTTGGCCACTTCTGTCCGCAAAAGCCGGGAGGCTTGTAACCATCGGGGCAGACCTCTTGAGAAGGAATCTCGGGTCTGGCGTAGCCTGTCGTGGTAGCGGGAGGGGAGTCTGTTGTAGTGGTTGCTGGCTCAATAGATGTTACTTGATTGGCCGGCTCACTAGTTGGAGCGGATGGGAGTCTGCTGGTAGTCTCAGGCGTGTCGCTATCTCCAAAGTCCAGCTGGAACTGATCGATGTTATCAGGCGTCACCTGATTGGAGATGAAGACCGAGTCGACGTAGATCAGTGCCAGCCCGTTGCCTGTGCAAGACATGGAGATGCCAAAGCTGGCACTTCGAGAGTCGGCCATGACAGTAGTGAGGACTCTGTTCCATGAGACACTAATGCCACCACTGGTGAAAAGACCCATGGTGTATAACTGGGTATTGCCAAGGTAGGCATTGACGCTGCACGCCTGGTTGCCTCCAGCGGTGATGACGGCGTAATAGAACTGGACAGTATAGAGAACATTTCTACTTGGAGCAAGGTTCGTAAGAAACTGTGAGATGCTTGCAAGTCCTCCAAAAGCTCTCTTCTTTGAGTCGGAAGAAGAGCCCAAGGCAACGCAGCCGTTATCTGAGCTGCCATCTCCCTTGTAACAGTCGCCGTTTTGTTGCTTGGCCTCACCTTCAGCATCGAAGCCAAAGATACCGCTTTCTGAGTCTGGGTCTTTGATTGAGAATCGACCGTTGGAAACGGCATTTGTGATCACGATGTTGCCTTGAGATTGTGTTGCAGTCGGTTCCTCGGTCAAAGAGCCACTGGGTGTCTCCGTTTCTTGGCTGATAGCAGCTGTGGACACTCCAGGTCCTTTGGTAGAAAATGTTGAGGCGATTGAAGACTCGATAGCAGAAGTCTCAGCAGAAGCCTCCTCCGTGGAAATTGTTGTCATGGTCTCAGAAGATGCTTTTTCGGTGGAAAGCGCTTCAGTGGAATGGGTTCCAACAGAATGTGTTGAAATGGACTCGTCAGTCTTGGTGGATGTTGTTGTAGGGTCGAGGCCATCGAGTCTTCCGTCAATACATTGTTCGGCTATCCACCACTGTTAGTATGAGACTGTGACGGGGACATCAACACATACCTCTGTACACGTTCAGAGACACTGGTAAGCAGCCAGATGGCTCGGATCCGAAAGTCATGTAAACCTGCCCATCAGAAGGGGTCTGACAGAATGAAGCTCCGCCGTCAGGCAGTGAGGGGTTTTGGAAGCGCAGTAAACCTCCCTCAGTGCTGAAAGTTGTCGAGATTGCATTATCACTGGATGACGATGAGGCCTCAAGTTTCTGGTAGCCATCACCGAGGTATGACACGGGAACACCATCCTCGGCAAGTCGACCATTGCCAAGAGTGAAGACAGTAGCAAACGTGCAGATATCGGGATTGCCATCGCCAACAAAACCACCAATATCGCGCTTTGTGTTACCGCTGGAAGGGCTGACAAGAAGGATAATCCGCTCGCCGATTGGCCCAAGAGTGGTCGAAGCGGAAGCACTAGACGCAACCGAGGACGTGAGGTCTGGATCTTGGGCAGTTGAGGTCGATATCAACTGAACATCTGTGGTGTTTTCGGCAGGGCGCGGGAGATTTGTCGCAATTGATACTGGGACAAGGTATGTGGAAAGGTAGGTAATGCACCACGTCTCAGGGTCTTGCTCCGCATATTGGACGTCTCTCGCATCAACAGCAGCAGCACCACTCACAATACCGCTGAGCAGCGCAAAGGCTCCAATATTGCCCTTCATTTTGGCGCGAGAACAACAGCGGTCGAAAGAATGGCCGAAAAAAAAGAAGATTAAAAATTGCTACAACACCGACTACGTATAAGATCCAGAACAAACGGACCGAGCGCAACTAAGCAATGCGAAATGTTGGTGGCTGCAAAATGGTCTGCTTGTTGAAATGACAATATGCAAAGGGGTCGATAGTGACAGACGCCGTCATTTGAATCCAGGGTCTCGATTGCGATCTCTGGGTCCAAAGTCTGAGACTATTGACCCGAATTAGTGGGAAAACCGCTCAAAAGAATCTTAGGCGCGGTCTAGTCATCGTCTAGTCACCCCTTGCTTAGGCGACAGACTGCTCAGCCAGCCACTATCAACGCAAGGAATTGTCTAAACACAACGAAATGGTAAGATCTGATAATTGAGAGCAGAAGAGGCGTTCGGTCGTAATTTTGGCGACCAGATTTGGGGGATTGTTTGATTTGTTCCAGCTTTCGGCATCTTCACACGTGGAAGGGGATGCCACTGAGCAAGGGAGAAGAAGAGTAAGACCCACGGGGCTTATGCTTATTAGACATGCATATTTTAATGCCATTTCAGTTATTTTTTAGGCATAATAAACTAACAAAATCTGGTTGCATTGACTTTTGAGAAGCATCAGAGTCTCGGCCTTTCCGCCCATTTTATCGAGTCCATCAACAACAGCTGCCCTGCCACAAGAGACTTTCTAGAAAACATTTCCCTTGGTCTGTCTCATCTCCGAGACCTTCAGGTTCCTGATGAGAGCGACCCAGATAAATGACAATGCCATGATGGCCGTTCCAGCTGCCAACATCCGGGTTTGTGCATATCCGTATGCCTTCTGAATAGCGATGCGCTCAGGCGTGCCCCTCGCATAACTCAATTGCGTAGGAAGATCTCCGTAGATAGAATCGAGATTCTCAAGCGCACTTGCGGGCAGATACATTCTGAGTGCCTTCTCAAAGGTATTCGTCCAGATGGCGCCAGAAATAGTGTCCCCGATACTCCCGCCCGCTGTGCCAGTGACGCTCAACATAGCTAATGCCGCAGCAACGTGCTGATGATCGACAGCAGCAAGAACAGCGAGTTGCATGCAAATGGTGAAGACACTTCCGCCGACAGAAATGAAAATCTGACACATGACTAAGTATCCCACATAGCCAGTTGGGTTCCGGAAGTAGATCATCAAGCCTTGGGCGAGGATATAAAGCGGCACGCCGGCCCAAAGGAGCCACTTGAAGTATCCAGTCTTTCGAATACTCCAGCCCACGATGAACAACAGGACGCCAGACACAACGTTAAACGTGTTGTTGACGTAACCAGCTTCTGCGACTGTCAGATAGTTGACAACTTGGAGGAAAGACGTGAAATAGTTGTTCCAGCAATAATATGAGATCTGATACGTAAGATCGAGGAGACAAGCGCCAACGAGGGTTCGATCAGTCAAGAAGTGGAACTTTAGGAAAGGAACTGGCGCGAAGTAGACTTCATTGAAGCCGAAGCCGACGAGAAGAATGAAGCCGACAATAATCATGGCGATGATGTATCCAGTTGACCAGCCATGGGGCGCCGAGGAAGCAATGGTGAACGGAAGGAGGAAGATGATCAACCCAGCGGCGAAGAGGAATACGCCGAGAACTACAGAGTAACAATGGTTAGCTTTGAAGAAACCTATAGCTTAATTTTGAACTTGCCGTCAAATTCAAGCGTATAGTGCCAGATGCTCTCTTTCAATGTTCGACCACTAGATCTCTTTGGCAGAATATCTTTCTTGGCCTTTCGCAAGTTGATCTTGAGAAGAAGATACAGCGGCGCACAGACAACAGGCGTGATGAAGGCAAAGGTGCCGAAACCCCAGGCCCAACCAATGTCAACCAGCATTCTGTCCGAAGCATAAGATCCAGCGAAGGCTGAGATCATGTAGGGCGACGATGTGAAGGCATATGCCAAGGCTCGGTTCTTTAGATTGGTAGCATCGGCGGTCATGACATCGATACTGTAGATCAGGCCCGTAAAACCGACCGAGTAGAAGACCTGCAATTACGTTAGCTTCAGCAGGCAGCATGTGATTTTCGTTACGTACATTTGCGGCACAGTAGGTCGACAGGTCTTTGGACGTGGCCATCAGAATCAGGCCCAGTTCACAGAATCCCACCATCAGAAGATAACCCTCAGCTCGGCCCCAAAGATCAAGGAGTTTGGCAAGCGGAATGAAGACAGCGGCAGTCATTGAACTGGAGATAACACCGATGGTGTTGAGAAGCGAGTGCGCGCTCCAGTCGCTGGTGACATAGGGAAGTAAATTACCTACTGTCGAGCTCTGGAAAGCATTGAGAAGGTAGACGAGCCAGATGAAGATGAAGAGGCAGATCAGAGATGTCTTGGACCAAACGAGGGTGATGGCCTCCATGTCTTTGACACCCTCGGTGACATCCTCCGCGGGGAGGGCATCATCGGAGACAGCTGGGTGTCCATCTTCAGGATGGGTGTTCTTTTCGTGGTCTGTAGTTGTCGTGATGTCCTGAAGATCGACATTAGAGGTCTTGTTCGACCTGTTCCAGAGGCCCATTTTGGCGGTTCAAGCGAGAAAGAGAGAATTAAGCTTGAGAAGTTTTAGATTTCTCGACGGGATAAAGGGTTACATTAAAAAGAAACGACATGCTGTAGGTACACATGCCCCCGGCATAAATCTTCCGACCCCGGTGGATCAAACAACGAAAAGAACGCATCAGATAAGATCATCTTGCCCCGTTAGTTCCGACTCTGTTGGTTGCGTCCCTGTAGAACACGGCAGGATCGGCAAGCTGAGCTGGATGCTTGGCAAATAGCGATGAGGCTCGTAAAGCAAAGAGGGTCTTTTCCACGGTAAACACGGCACGGTTAGCTCCACCGCGTACGTCAGTCAGATTATCTAGGGCCAAAGGCAAAGCAGAAAGATGTGAGGCAGAGTTTTGAAAGGTAAAAACTTGTTTAATCAATCTAATCTAATCTGATTTTATTGATTGAAAGAGGGCGGTATCGGGCCGGATTGGAGGGCGTTGTGGAATTGTTACGGAATAAATATCTTAGCGTGGAGGGTTCACGTATCACAGCGCCACAGCGAATACCAAACGTGTCATTTATCCTCTTCTACGGAGTAGTACCAACATTGGTTAGAACTGAGCAATCCCGTAAAGTGGGCTCGTTGTTCAAGCGAATGATTGTGATGTGATGGTTAACCCGGAAATATCGCGGCCCAACCAACTCACAATGTCCCCTCGGCAATTTGATCAATCGTAAAGTTAAAGCCCCCATCCGCATCCGGGTTTATATCGTGCAGGCAATATCTTGGTGTTTTGACACTGTTTCGTTAGTCACGGCTCTAGATTTGCATACAATTGGGACTTACCTCCAGAACCAACTGCTCAAACACATATTCTTGCAGTTTTTCGCCAGCAACGCGATGTCGCCCTCAAAGGTCTGGCCGGCAAATCGACGCACAGCGTCATCAGAGGCTTTGTTCACTCTGTCAATCTCAATTTGAAGCCTACCAAGCGATGCATCAAGTCCCCGCTGCATATCGCCGTGTGCCAACAATACCACGATGTTCTCGACGAACCCTTCTCGTATCTCTTTGCGCACACTCACAATGTCATTCGTGATCCACATAACAGCGACGGAGGCTTCGTATAGATCATGAATCTCCTTAGATTCCATGACGTACTCAGGCAAGTCGAGTCCATTGGCAAATTCGATGTTGGCCGCCACTTGTTTCATACAGGAAGATGCATCCCGGTAGCCAAGATACTCGTCAAGAGAAGGAAGATGGGCATTTCTGCGGTTAAAAGCTTCCTTTTGGTATGCTTTCAGGGTAGCAATGGCCTCCTTCGCGATTCGCTCTCGGTAACTTGGATTGTCACTGTAAAGTCGACGAACAGTCGAGGCGTACTCCTCAAATGACAGTACAGCATCGTGGTCTAGATAACGAGTCGACGGCTCAACCTCCTGGCTTGATACACCAAGGCTTCTCTCAACATAGTCTTCGCAGTCGTTCAACAGGGCCTGCAGCTTTTCGTAATCGAATTGCTCGACGATGGAATATTGATCGAGAAGGTCGTCGATGATGAACATCCAGACTTGGAAGGATGTCAAGACCTCTAGCTTTTCGCGGGAGGCGTACGGGTACCAACCAGCTAGCTGTTCCGACAGGTTTGCCTTGGTCAGACGCGAGCGCACCGTTTCGTTGACAGCATGTCTGACACATATGTCAGTATTTCTATCGCTTTTTCTCGGGGGGCAGTTTCCAACGTTTCGATCAACTGGAGTATCTTGACGTCTATGGCCTCGACGTGCGGGTTCGTGTCTTTCGGCCATCCGGCATGCATCAGAGCCAAGTCCGGGACTTTAAGGCTTTGACCTCTCAGAACGGACAATAAGTTCTCTCTCGTGCTGGCTTTGCCAGTTTGTGTTGACGATAATGAAGCCATAAGGTCAGATGCGCGTTTGGGTTTGACTTGAAGCTGGCAGCAGGCTGGACCAAACCTTCAGGCTGCAGAGAGCAACGCGGTATTTAAATATCTGAGAGCATTACCTTGCATAGGCTAGCAATCAAAGATACTGAGACTACTGTACAACTTTGCTTAGAAATCTGGACTACTGGTAATGGTGCTTGTCAAGTCAATTGGTGCGTTCGTGGAAAGTTGGAGGTATTGTACTACACTGATTAGCAATTATTTAGTGCGACGTTCAACAATTACAAGAGCAATTAGCAATCCTTACGTACATGAGCGGTCAGGCCTAGCTCAATTAGCTTGGCATACATGATACTACCCAAGTGGTCCAGCACAGCCATGGGAGGATCCTTGGTACGAAGCTTAATTTTCAGCTCCCAGGGTTTAGGGTAGTCGACGATAAGAGATAGCTAACTTAGTAGACAGATAAGATAAGATAAGAAGCAATTGTATGTTGGTTGTGTGTTGGTTGTCTGATCATCAAGGCAGTAATCTCGATTTGCAAAGTGTTATGCAGTTGGTGTCCACTTCTCTCGATCCTACGGCCATTTGTCTCGCCGAAAGAATGAGGGATTTCCCATCTTGATTTGTCCAATTTGTACCATAGCCTCGCCCTGTACTTCCCATTTTGTGCGTCGAAACAGAAAATCTTCCATCGTCTAGGCTGCTTGTTAACAATCCCACATGCCCCAAGCCGCCGTCCCTATCTTGTACAGGTGACTATTAAAACTCGCCATTCCCGTACGGAGCTGCGGCAGCACATATGCTTATATTCTCTGTGTGTATTTACCTGGCAAATCCTTGTCGATCCTCTTAGAGTAGGCGGTTATGCAGCTAGAATCTACAGGATCCCTGGAGAGGATGTTGGCCCGGAACTTCGGCAACTCGGGTCAGACGGCCTGTGGCATAGTCATAAGATATCTTGCTTGAAAGGTGTGTTTACTGGCGAATAACTCGTATAATTGGGGTACTCCAGATCTATATAAGGGCATCATCTCCTGCCTCCTTGATCTCTTTCGTCTTCATCTTATCCATCATCTATCACTCATACTCCAAAGTTCAAAAGCCACAAATTACTATTTCTCTAATATGTGGTCCCTCGCGGTATGTAGGCCGATAAAACTCCTGACAAATGCCACTGATACTTCCTCAGAACACCGTCATCAGCGTCCTCGCTTTATCGAGCATCGCCCTGTCTGCTCCCGCTGCCGACATTGAGGCCGTATCTACCCTTGAGACTCGCAAGTCCAAGTCATGCACAAAGGGAAACTACTATGACTGTGTTCTCTCTTGGGGCTTGACGTGTCATGTTGGTTGCTTGAGAGAAGGACCAACTATCGCCAAGCAAGACTGTGAGAATGACTGTCAATTTGAAGCCTCCAAGAATTGCGAAAAGTGGTGCCACTAGAAGGGATGAGACACCATTATCAAGCCGAAAGAACGGGGGAGACTGCAGGCATTACTTCTGAACTAGATGGGTTATTTACAGAAGAGACTTGTGGCTGGGAGCTTATATTACCACAGACTACTTAGCAGGTATTACGGTCGCATGCAAGGCGAAGTAGGGGCAATGGCGGTTAAAACGGAGTAGGGATAGAACCTGAACCTGATAAATATTTATGCATTATTACCCGAGTATATGAGAATACCCAGATCTAGTTGTCTACAGCAATCCAAGCAAAACATACCCTAACATTTTAAACCTTCAAGACTTTTCCTTCAGTACAAACATACCCCCATGCCAACCATAAGCCCTCGTCAATCGCCGTCCATGTCGTCTAGCCGTCTCAAAAGGAATCTTACCCATGGGGTGCGGTTCATGGAAATGGATACCGCGTTCAACGTCCAGCTGAGTCGGAGTAAATTGCCAGACCGAGCCATACAGCTTCTCAATCTTGAAGCCAGTCGCCGCCATGGCATAGAGGAAGTCGTTCCACGGGATCAAGCCGGGAGTCGATGTTACTTCGGGATCGAAGAACAGAGTACGGAACACCTTGAGCGCTTTGGCATCAACAGCAAATGTGGGCTGCGTGGCTTCAGTCGCTGGTTCTGCTTCAACTGCCGGCGGGGTCGCCTCTTCGGGAGTGGCAAGCGCTTTAGGATCACGTTTGGTCTTAACCTTGGTCTTTGACTTGACTTCTGGTTTGAACTTCTTAGGTTCTTGCGTAGGCTCGCCTAGAAACAGTTTCGAAAGAGGTTTGTTGAGTTCCCATAGATCTCGATTCGTAATAGACTCGGCCTTCGAGTCACTCTTGATAGGCTCAACCCACTCAGGCGTCCTTCGCAGGGTCCGCGATCCGGAAAGCAGTGCGTAAACCATAGTGTTCTCAAACCCTGTCACGTTCTTTTGAGTGATTTGGTCGATCTTGGCCCAGACTATATCCAGGTTGGCTTCAGCTCGGCGCATGGTATCTACCGTCTCTTTGGTACGGCGTTTGCTATACGGATAGGTAAATTTCCCACCCGACGGCTCTGCGAGCCTAGCTGCTTCATCAAACTCTTTCCTCAGGAAGGCATCGTGCAATTGCCCGAAATCGGTCCCTATCTTACTCCAAGACTCCCGGTGTATTTCAATGTTAGATTGGATAGACTCGTCGAATTGAGCGGCCCATGGCTGGTACAACTCCAGCTGTTTAAGACACTGTGCTACAATAGCAATATCACCAAGTATCTTGGCGACATGAGCCGATATGAGTGCATCTGCTTTGGAATCTGCCTGCATCAACCGCTCCAGTTCATCAACGACGAGCGGCAAGCGTGCTACAAAAAGCCCCATGTCATCCTTCCACAACGTTTGAATGAGGAATAAGACCTCTTTATCGACTCCAGTAATCTTGACCCCCGCACGGGGGATCACATTCATATCTGAGGTATAAGGATCTGGAGGTGGCATGCGAGCGAAGAACTTCCGCATGGGAGGTGAGGCGAATTCAGAGTGCTCCAGTTGGTCTAAAGAAACCGTGACTGCTTGGTCCAGACAGAACTTGAATAACGTCAAAGTGTGAAAATACGTCTCGGGCAAATCCTTCGCAGGATCGATATCGTTGTGAGAGGATTCCTCAGACTCGATGCAATTCAGGACTTTAGCATACAAAATTGCAAAGAAATGTAGGTTCGAATAGGCGTGCACAACCATATTGAGAAGCACTCGGGACCAGAGGGTATTGATTCGGTGGGGTTGAGTGACAGGATGCGGTTTACCATTGGTGTCTGGAAGCATCTCTTCGCGATGGTCTAGGTACTCGCGGAATTGCTCAGAAAAGTAGGCAGGGTCCTCTCGTAAGGACCAAATGTGATCTTGTGCAGCTAACATCCTAGCCTCAAGGACATCAAGCAAATTCCAAAGATCGAGGCCTGCTGGTCGCTTGTAGGGAGCCTCGGCAGTGATTACAGCCAGGGAGGCAAACCCAGAGGCGTCACTGTCCGTCTTCAATGTTGGCTCGGGTTGGATGGGGTATTCGTCGCTGATCATGATGTCTGGGGGAATCTCGTGAAGAATTTGGTGGCAGCAGTCAACAAGAAATTTCATGAGACGTTCCTGAACTTCGAGAACCAAGAGGGCGTCTCCAGGGAGAAGCTGCCTTCGTGTTCTCACCCATTCTTCGGCATCTGGGTGAGACTCCCAGTGAATGAGCTTTCCGTATTCCTCAGCGTTTGTAGCACCATGCATGATCATGGTATGGTAATGAAGAAATTCAGGATGGAGACCTCTCGTCGCTTTGCCAAACCACAGCCCCTCGTAATCAACTGCAGCAAAGGCAGGAGGAGCAAGTCTTCCCCTGGCATTCAGCAGCAAGAGAATGAGTTTGGGCCCCGACAGGTCTTCCTGGTTGACAGTAGGCCACATGAAATGGTCTTTCAGCTTGGATCCATGTGCGTGTCGATCTACTGCATGCTCTTGCCGGAAAGCCGCGAAATCAGGACGATGGCTAACAGGCATATCAGGCCAATATTTGAGGAGAATTTGAAGCCTCTGTTGACGGGGTTTTTCATCCATCTTCTTTGGATAGTGGCCCCATGTCTCTCGAGTATCTTGTTTAGCTGATGATAGCTTGCAAAGATGTTTTTTGAGTAGTTCTGGGCTCGCTCACGGACATCTTCTCTTGAAGGGCAACCCTCTGACCTTCCCTCACTATAGGCCATCAGCTCGCGCTGTGCTTCATGATTGATACCGGCAAAATCGGGATCTTCAAGGACAATAGAAGAGGCCTTCGTAATGATCATAATAGTAGTTTGATCTGGTTTTCGTCTTCCCCATCGTATATGATGCGTTCAGGTAGATAAGGAAATGGGAGTATGAGTTAGCGGGTGATTAATTGGCAAAGAGAATAAAAAGATTGTGACGTGGTAGATTTCGTTGGGCATATGTCAGTAGATTCGTTGAGGTTGGAGAAAAGCATCAAAGCTTGGAGGAGGAGCTTAAGCGGTTTACCGATTTAGGCTAGTTTTCAGGCCTGAGGCAGTAAGGCACTACTTGTTTGTCAGTAAGTGGAGTCGTATCGGCAGCTGAAAGTGGGGACGGAAGTTTGGTTGCCGGACTCCGATAACGCTCAGCTCATCTCATGTTGAGGATGGTTAGTCTACGGTCCGACGGATGACCAGACTATCACTCCAAACCCTCAAACCGAGACCAAAAAGTACACCAAGGTCTTTGCATCTCATCAAATATACAAGGGGATCATTTCTCAGCCATAGAAGCAGCATTCGCAGACTGAGGCATCATGTCCAAGCCCAGACCCTCAGCGGCATATTCCCAGTCGGAAGTCCTGTACACAACACAGCCATTTCTATTGTTACTTGACCTTAGAGTCCTTCCTGAACAAGATGTTGACTTTCTCGAACTTAACCGGTGCTTCCACCTACCTGTACAAACCATTCAAGAAGAGTTCATCAACCAGTACTTCTTGTACCTACATCCCTACTACCCTTTAGTAGACGAGAAAGAATTCTGGGATATGTACATGGGGGAAGCAGGCGGCGACCGGAAAGTGAAGCCAATGTCTTTGCTCGTTTTCCAAGCGATGCTTTTCGCAGCATCAGCGGTAAGGGCCCTCCAACTTCCCTGAGACAGGGCTGACAAGACACAGTTCGTATCGCCCGTAGTACTCAAAAATGCTGGATACACAAGCGTGAAAGTGGCACGGAATATCTTCTATAGAAGAGCCAAGGTACTTAAGCGCACTGAAGTCACGTATCACCACTGACCTTCTCAAGCTATTATTTGACCTTGGAGTGGAAAGTGATGCATTCACCAAATCCCAGGCAGCCTTACTCTTGACCTTCCAATTCTCAGCTCTTGAACCACACGCAGGAAGCACTTGGCTCGCTATCGCTATTCAAAACGCCATAGTTGCCCAAGCCCACACTTTCCAAGCTCCCGGTTCGAGTATATCGCGCAAGAGGAGCAATAAGAGGCTTTGGTGGTCTCTATTCTGGAGAGACAGAGTCTTAACTCTCGGTCTTCGAAAACCTCTACAGATAACACCTTCGAGCTTCAATGTTACCTTAGATCTGATCACTCCTGACGATCTTGCCGACGAAGCAGAGAGCTCTGCTGTGTATGACCCTAGAACGAAGCGCCAGCTAGCAGATATCATAAACTTCCAATGCCGTCTGGCAGTTATTCTAACAGACACTCTTTCGATTTGCTATGGCCCGAACGCTTTCGATATCACATACTCACTCGACAATTTTGAGAAAACACTGTCTCAGATCAGGACCGCGAAAAGTAACCTCGCCCGTTGGAAGAAAGAAGCGGACAAAGCTCTCCATCCATTTCTCAATGGCACGGGGGCGCACCGATCCACAACGCTTATATCAAGCGTCGTATTCATCTATGCTTAGTGAGTGGCATAGCTTAGGCGTCTCGGCCTCTCGACTGACGATGAATGTAGCGCTGCCCAAATTGCTCTTGGTAATCATGAGGCTATGATGATCGAGCAGCGACAAAAAGGAGTCAACATCATTGACGACACTGTACTCCGGAATATTGGCAAGGATATAAGCTATGCAACGACAGAAACAACCAAATTAGTGGGGTTTATCGTTCAGGAAGGGTTAACTCAACACCTTCCTATATCTGCGTAAGTTACTAGCTGTTAATCGACTTGCTCTAGCTAACCTTGTTTAGCATTGCCTACATTGCATATCCGCTTATGCTGAGCTCCATCGATGAGAGGATAGCGCCCAAGGACCTCGAAAGCGACGAAGACCAACTGTTAACGAGATATCACGCACAAGCAATGCACCTGTGCAGTAAGCGTTTTGAAGGTGCCGAAGATATCAGTAGAATGATCACCCAAATCGTTCAATCAACGCCCATTCAGCTACCCCTACGCCCGCACTCGAAACCTCCAGGGCGTCGGCAGTCATCAGGAGCAGATGGCGCATTGTCACCGCCATCGAAGAGTCTTACAAAGTACTGGGACGAGCTGTTCATCACACGCCAATACATGCGCCTTCGACTGTCTCTCGACTACGCTCTGATCACCGGCAAGCCACCAACAGAACTAGACTTATCGACATGTATTATCCACGACGCGGGGATGAAGAGGTTGGCCTACGGACCGATACACACCTTGTCTGCGACAACTCTGTATACGCCTCGGAAGCGTCGCGCATCTGAAAGTGTTGCTGGTCTGCCGAGGGTCATTGAGCTCGACGAAAAACTGTCAGACGATGAAGGGCAAGCGGAGCATGTTGAGATATTGGATGACTTAACTGCACCTAGTACTCAGCTCGTACAGAGGGAGGCGAGCAGCATATCATCTAGGCCACATTTTGACTATGATGCAATTTGGGCGGCGAATTTGTTTGAGGAGATTACAGACGTACTCTGGGCTTGAACTAGTGATGAAGGGAGAATATTTGTGTTCTGGTTGATTTGTGTATACTTATTCGTGGAGTTTCGTCACTTTTTTCTAGTAATGTTCAGTTGCCCTTTTCTTTCATGGGGCCGCTGCAGCAGGGCATGATCTGCGGATAGGGTCCCCGCTGGAAATATCTCTTCCACTACTGAGAAACAAGCTAATGGCGATCTTTCCAAATACGTCTGCGGCATATCTCACTCCGATGCATCGACAAGGAATGGCGACATCGACGGATACGCTTCCGATGCGACTTCGTGGTATCATTGCACCGAAAGGCGCGGACCCGCGAGGATGCACGACACCATGACCCTGGTCTAACTGCACGATATAAACTGCCAGGACCGGGTCGAATGATGAAAATAAATACTGAGATGATCTCGGCCCATCCACGAGTATAGTACTTCTGCTTGAGGCGAGAGTTCATGAAATCTTTACCTCCGGCTGCCATTACTATTAAGTCACTTACAACTTAACAAGAAACTGTCAAAATGAGATTCTCTTTTGCGGGCCTGGTACTCACCGTTCTTGGCACTGTCCAGTCAAGCCCTGTTGCGCGAGCGGCTAAACCACCACAATTCTTTCTCATTGGTGACTCGACCGTCGCTGTGGACGGTGGCTGGGGCAATGGCTTCTTATCATATCTGAACGCCCCAGCTAAAGGCGACAACCGAGGTGTCAGTGGCTCAACCACTGTATCTTGGAAGTCCAATGGTCGTTGGGACACTCTCATCAAAGACGTCAGTGCGGCTAAGGCCGAATTTGAGCCTGTAGTGACCATTCAGTTTGGCCACAATGATCAGAAGGTCATGCAACTGGATGAGTTCCATGCCAACCTGGTCGACATTGGCAATCAGATCAAAGCGGCTGGCGGAACACTGGTAAGTACCCTATCCGATCTGCAAGTATTTCATCCTTTTTAACAAGAACACCAGATCTTCATCACTTCACTCACGCGCCGCACTTTCCAAAACGGAGAGGTCGTCCAGAACCTCAAGGAGTGGGCTGCAGAGACTATCGCAGCCGCTGGAGATGTCGGCGCCAAATATCTCGAACTCAACAAAGCTAGCACTGACTATGTCAACGCCATCGGTAATGAGGACGCACAACGCTATAACTGGGGAGAAGGCGATAGGACGCATCTCAATCCCGCAGGAGAGATTGTATTCGGAAGAATGGTAGTAGATCTGTTACTGGAGGCGCGGGAGGACTTCTCATCTTACTTTACTCCCAATAAGGCTCTCAGCGACAAGATTGCAAAGGGAGAGTTTGCCACTGGCGACGAGTAACTATGAGAGAAACGGGAACTATCCCTGCGATAGAAACAACATGTATTTTGCTCCAAAGATCGCTGAACGAAACAACGTCAGAGTATTAGCTGTCAAGTGGCTTCTGCGCCCAAACCACCTTTCCACGAAAGTACCCATGGACCTTCTTTGACCTGATCTCCCGACGGTACCTGGCGGCAAAAACGTGGATCTCTTCTTTACTCCACCCCAAGAGATTTGCAATGAACATGAGAGTGCCTTCCACGTCCTGTAGAATTGCAGCCTGGAAATATTGACCAGCCTCTTTGAGCTTCGGATCTTCAGGCCATCCGCCGATGGGCACCTAGCTTTTGTTAGAATGAACGAGTTAGACGAAAAGTATGATGCAATGCGTACTTTGATTTCTTCTTCCTCAATATTCGCGAATCCTGCTTCCTTCATGCTTTCAACTTGAATATTATCCTCGAGAACAGAAAATGGTCGTTGAAGCTTTCGACCCCCCTCCATAAAGATCTTACCCCATTGGCCCATGGCACTATCTTCGGATACCGAGTTATCATCACTCCCAATACAAGGCGAGGACTCATGGCTTTCGATGTAGCCTCCTGGCTTCAGGCATTTATATGCTTGCTTGAACAGTCCGGGCCAGTCAATAATGCTGCCGACTAGGAATCTCATATGTACATAATCAAGTGAGTTTTCTTTGAAAGTCCACTCCTGGGTACAATCGTCGATTTGACTGAAAGGTCAGTATATCAGTATAACTATATTATCATCGATGTTCTACCAACAATTCGAGGTTTGGTGGAAGCCAGCCTGGCTGGATTGGGGAAATATCGATCCCAACCACTTTTGCGCTGGGAAACTCGTCCGCAAAGTCCCTGTCAGTATAAGCTATGCCCTTAAGGTCTGTTCGTGAGGGTCTTACATGGCCCAAATTCCTAGTCAAGCATAGTTAAGAGTTGTCGATTTCGATGGGGGAGACAGTGACGCGATCCTTACCTGTGCCTGTTCCAATGTCTACAACGTTCTTGACCGAGGCAGACTAATCAGCAAAAAGCTCAAGCCCCATCATGCGGATCGAAGAGTACCTGTATATTGTCCTTCAACGGCGCTTTGAAAAGTTTATCGTTGTACATGAGAATCAGAACGTGGTGACTGGGAGTTGTAAGTAAAGCGGCCAATCTCATAGACTAGCTCCTTACTTGATATCCAGCGCTTCATTGGCTTGATTGTCATTCGAAATCCTAGGCAATGGGTCAGCTGTAATGTGCCGAACTGAATTCCAGCGTACTGAGACTGCTGAGGTAACGACTAACCAGTACTGAGCATCGCCTTGTTCACTATGATATCGCCTACCGTTGATCTCTCGGTAGCGCAAGATATCGGAGGAAAGTGAAGCCGTTGAGCTTGCGGAGTCTGATAATGTTGAGTCATTATCGTCGTCGTCGTCGTCCTGATCAGGCTCCTGGGACGCCAGAATGTTAATCCCATCAAATACGAAGGGTGATATGCTGGAGACGTACGGTCTGCGTCCAATGCTGACCGGGGAGCAGCCCTATCGGAACTTCTTCCTGGGGCGCGGTGCTTGTTGTCGGCGCAGGCTGATCAAAAGCCTTGTCGCTGGTTTGTGGATCAGACATGACGAGCAATAAGACTAAGGATGAATAGTCCAAGTACCATGAGGTATGGTCTAGGTCTGGCTGCGGCATTTAGGAGTAAACACGGCGCGGGGTTCATCGGATGATGTGATGTCAGCCAGGTTCGCCTCTTGTGCTCAACCAATATGGAAGGTGGGCATATATACAGAATGTCATGTTGCAACCCACACACAAACAGGGGCCCTTGCAGGTACTTTTAGCCGACACATACATGGTGCAAACGGAACAAGTCGTGTATATCAAGCAGCTATCAGAACAGAAATACTAAAATGAGAAAACATCATATTACCGAAACTAGTCACAATATACCCGCACACGGCCACTCAACATCGGCACGCTGGTGGGTGAAAGATCCCGCAGCCAGGACCGTAGCGACTCAATGTCCCATATCTCTCCCGCATCAGCTAACTCGCACAAATTCCCAAAGTGGCTCGCTCTTTCAATCTTGCACGGGGTTCCAGGAGGACAATCTGCCAATGCACTAATGCCGTCTAAACTCATCTGGGCATGCGTCGAGAATGGCTTGATGATATCTTCCAGCCTTTCCGATTTGCAAACAACTCCATCATGGAACGGCTGTTGTCTGAAAGTGGTGAAGTCTTCGCCCAGCTCTTGTCTAAATCTGGACATGAACTGTTCCTTGACATCGCGTAGAGTGTCTCTGAAGACCTGCTTGTTGTTACGGTGGTGGTCCAGACCATCGGCCTGGCTCAGTAGAATCCGTAGCGGTCGCTTATCCTCTTGGTCACGGAGTAGCTTGATAGCTATACGTAGGGCGCTTTCAGTGGCCTCAGATCGTGTTCGGTCCATGGGGATGACGATTATAACAATGGCGAATAGCTCTTGGAACACATCAGCCATGTATTTGATCTCTGGCTTTTGATCGTCAAAGCCGGGACTGTCAAGGTAAATGCCACCAAGGTCAATGGAGTCGTACGACTAGATGCCCAAAGTCCTGCAAAGGCTGCTGGATCCGGGCTTGAAGTAGTCCTCCGTTGCACCAGTCAGCACTGTCAGCATCTGACTTTTGCCAGCTTCCGTGGAGCCCTGTACCCCGATGCAGATCTTGTCCGAGAGCTGTAGGCGGAGCTGGGCGACTTGAGCAACACTGGAAAGCCATCTAGGCCAGAACGAGGTAGGTGTGATGCACCATTGGTTGGCCTTTGCCCCGGGATAGTCTTTCAAGCCCTCCTCGAGCTTTATCCTCCACTTCTCTAACGTCTTTGGGGCACGACAACCTCCGATATCCTGCCTTACACGATCGAGTAAAGTCTTCTCCACTATGTCTTCGGACTCAGCTATTGGAAGACCAAGTGCTTGTAGGATGGTAGATAGAGCACCAGGAAATGTCAGGTTGAGATACTCTTTGTGCCTGTTGAGAAAATGGTTAATGACAGCGGTGCTTGCAAACAATACAGCTATACCACCAGTAACACCTACTCCAGCGGCGGAAATGGCTCCTACGCCCAAACTCTCCATGAATGATGAAGCTAGGACTCTGGAAAATAACGAAGCTCCAGAAAAGTACGACGGCAAAGCCCCCAAGGCGGCTGACGTGATCTGATGGCCCTCAGTGGATTTACAGTACCATTCGTACGGAGCGTCAAGTTGGGTGATGATGACAAGATGACAGAACTGAATGACGCCCATCACGTCTTGGAACTGAGACACTGCTTGCTCGGTGCGTCTTGAGGGATCTGTCGAGCGATGATATAAATCATGGCTGAATGTCGCGAGAGCTCCGGCAAAGGTTGGTACACATTTGAACTGACTTGTCAATGTTGGTCTCTTGGCTGCTTCCCAGCTCTTGACAGAAAGTTGAGCTCGGGTGATCCCTGGGGCATTCTGAGTCAGAAACAAATCTGTGATAAGCTTTCTGAGTGCTCTAGGGCAGTCAGGAGGAATGTCGTGGAGAAGACCAGTGTCAGATTCCTCGTCTCCGTACGCCCCGGGCATAGACGCATGGAAGTTCGATTCAATCTCAAAGTCTTTTGGCCAAAGCACTTTCAAAATAGTAAAGGCATGCCCTAGGCGACTGACGACAAGATGGGGACTAGCATCACTGACTATACCATCGATACATCCTACAACAGGTTTGATGTTGTCAACAATCGTCATGACTTCTTCTGGAGGATGAGCATCGCGAGAGGTATTGTCAGTTCTGAGGGTCTGAACCTTTGATATCTGTGTAACGAGTGCGCGTATCATCGCTAGTCGGATACTCTCAAATGTCGCTGGTAAACTGGCCCTATCCAGACTCATAGATCTCACTGTGTCGACGTTGACGTCTGTAGATCGCCCGAAAATGTCGTGTAGGGTGATGCCTTTCTGGATGGCGATTGAAGCCTTTCCAATATCTTCAAATGGATCATTGGTCTTGATACGATACACAAGTTTAACCGATGTCTGGATGGAGAGGTCAGTTGAGAGGTCCAAGGGAAACATAGAGATGGGTACCGACCTGGTAATGGTCAGACTTGATAGGAAACCCAAGAATTGTGAGAAGAACATTGCTTGAATCTTTCCTGAAGGTTGCCCCTCTTAAGAGATATTGCATGACAGGCGTATTGACGTCGAGTGATATGATCAAGTGATCGCTGTGAACAACGCAAGAACAATTGATCACTGTTCCAGGCATCGGAAGTATCATCGATGAAACATTAGACTGAATTTCATGGTCGACGTCCGATGGGGCTCCCCGCAGAAGTTGCGCGCCGATCAGTGTTCTGGACGTTTAATACACAATTTTGAGAGGAATATAATGGCCATTGTCAAAACTACGAGGTTCAGAGCTTGACGAGGCTCTGCAACGGCTCTGGATGGTCAGCTCATAAGCGCCCACGACTTCGCCACTTGCCTATCATAGGTCCATTAACAGGGTTGAAAAGCCACATTCGTGCTAACATTAGGCAATCCACGGGGGGCAAGACTTCTGGCATTAAGCTATGGTGCCAAAAATACTTAGTCTAAGAACCTCTAAGTCTATACTAAATGATACTAAATTAGCCTAAGTTTACCTAAGGCTTTTCATCACTTAGGATGAAGGTCCGAAGTTTTAATGCATCCCCCTGGCAATCCCGCCGCTACACTAACTGTAAGCCTGAACAAAAGATTAGGAACGGCCTTTTGAGCTGACGGGCGAGTGCGGCTGCAGAACCGTTGCCATGTGATTCCCTTGCTGGTGGAGTGGCTACATGATATTATGACCGCCCATGACACCAGGATCGAAACTGCAGACCGTGGCTGACGGAAAAACGACCGTGATGTCTTTGATGGAGCAGATATAGAACATCTCTCGCTTCGACCTCGAGAAGGCCTTGAAATTTGTGTGTGATGAGTAAGAAACCCTACACACTGCAAAAGGAACACCTACCAGTACGGCTGAATTTGTCGGACTGCAAAATGCCTGTCTGCCTTGAGCTCAGCCTCTGGAGCTGACGAGACGGTCACCTGGCGAAAATCCGCCACCAAAACGCGGATAACTCGCAAAGGCGTCCTCAGTAAGCCTCACCCCGCGCGGCCCAACGATTGGCTTAGAACGCCCCATCCCTGGATCAGGTCATGCTATTCTTCTGCCAGGTCTCACGAGGTTTATTCTTCTTGCTTCTTAGACACTAGCTTCTGTGCAGCCGTTGAAACAGCGTATGGTTATCGCGCTCTGTAAGCCACTCTGATAAGCCGGTTCAATCCTTATCAGCCTTAGTGCAATGTCGTTTGGGTATAGGTACCATCCATAATTGCCTTCGTTTCTGAGCAATACGATCACTGACCGAGGTAGTATCGGCGACTTGATCGTCATCGCTGGCCTGATCGAACGCATCGCCGTCGAGGTGAAGTCGTATAAAGAAGCGCCACACCATTTCCAGCGGCTCGCAATTGAGCTTGACTTTCTCTCGAAAGTTTGCCACCAGGCATTCCATCTCGTATCGAGTCGCGTCGATGAGCAAGCCAGACTTGAAAGAGTCCGTGCCATCGCGTTGCAATGTCTCGGTCCCTTACAGGAGTTTGAAGAAAAGATGAGGCGTTACGAGAATACCTTAGGCCCAAAAGGCTGCTCAGACAACAGCAGAAAAGGTTGGGTTCGGAGCTTCAAGAAGCGGCTGCATTGGTCGGCAATCTCACGCCATGAAGTGGATGAACTTCGCGCAATATTAACTAGTGAGATCTTGGCCATTAATACCCTGTTAACTATGCAAAACTGGTGAGTGATCCAACATCACTAACCACGTTCTATCGTCTGACATCGCTTAGGGAGAGTCTAAGGCCGGGAAATACCATAAATAATCCCTTCACAGACCATTTGAAGGCCCTAATTATAACCACGCAGACAGCCTCTCGTGAAATAGGGACCTGTTTGGTTGAAGCAAAGGCGGGCTCGGAACGACTAGAGAAGCTTGTGGTTTCTGCAAACTTGTCACAAACTGAAAACGAATACACCCTGAAGCTGGTCAAGGAGAACAACGAAAAGACAAGTAGCATTTTAGATGCCGTCACTGACACCATGGGAGTGGCTTCATCACAGCTCGTCCGACTATTCTCTCTTACTGAGCACCTGGAGGTATGGATCAGGACTCTCGTTCATTACTGCAATGAGATAATCGATCTCGTCCAGCGAAATACTGACATGCTACTCTCAATTCACGGTATCGTAACGAGGCTAGAGTCAGCCATGAGAGTGCCTGGAGTGAACTGTCCGATTCTGGAGTTCGAGAACCCCTTTGGAATTAAGATGGCCCTGCCTTTTCAAATGTGTGATACTTGGGAGGTATAGTATTGTCTCAGTTTAATTGATTTTATACTGACATTATTTAGGGTCTATGCCGGCTCCTGGTCGTCATGTTCTACAACAAGCCGGGTCACCGCCTAGTGGAGCGACGACGATTCGTCGTTATGCAATCACGGACAAATATGCCCATCAAGCCAGAACACTGGTCAACATCTATCGTTCCAGGAGATTCACTGAATATGTCAATTCTCTTAGAGCGGCTTGGCAGCCAGTCCACTGGATTTAGATGTCCTAGATGTGACTACGTATTTGACTCGATATCATCTAGTTTTAGGCGTGGATACCAATGGTAAGTGTCTTTCGGAGATTTCTTATAGCAGAGCACGTAATCTTAAGATCTGTCTTAGCCCGAAATGCTTTCTTTGGTCAGACACTGCTGACGAGGTGCAATTGGGCATCTCATTGATTCTAGCAGTTTGACGATTCCGGTTCCTCCGCCTGAACCCGTGAACTGGGATTCGTGGACCAGGCAGTGGAGATCGAGGTTTTTACGACCACAAGCGCTGTCACGACTACAAAATTCCGCCATGCCGTTTGATAGAAGTCCCTCTTCGAATACTGACGATGAAGATGTGGACGTATCTGTCTTTCGCCGTGTTCACGTCATTCCGTTCGAAGGAGACCTTTTGCGCTCTCTCGTTAGGATTGGAAGTCAATGCCGAGATCTCTTGCTTAACTATTCGTCTCATTTCAAACCAAATAACCCTCGGCTACCACCGGAAACAGTTGTGGAATTTAAGAGCCTCGTCCAAGAATTGAGCGAGCTTAAAGCCACTGGTATTTATCCTCTTGCGGAGTTGAACGCACGCCAGAGTACAAAGGGTCACAAGGAAGTCCTAGAGCAATGGATCAAGAGGACGGCCCAGGTGGTGTATCATTCCCTTGTTGACCCATTGTTACGTGCCAGAGTGTCCCATGATGAGATAACGGAAATATCTCAATGGCTTTCAAACCCTGCACCTCCCCCGCCAGCTGTATCAACACCAAGTAGAGCCAAGTTTGCACTTGACTCCTTCTGTGATGATTATTGTAGGAACCAGTATTTGTTACGGTTTGCTCCCAGGAAGACTAAAATCTATCTACCCTCTACTCGATTCACTTCACATGATGGTTCTCAATACAGACTGCTGTCTCTAGAAAGTCACGAAAGTTGTGCTGCAACATGGAAGCTCGAGGACAATTCGTATGAGCAGAGATTCTACGGGGGAGAATTGAGATCTTCCTCTATTCTTCTACAAAAGATGTTGATACTTGATAGCTATATCTGGGGCTAAAAGGGATGATGCGTCGTAGGAAACATTTTACACAGAGTGTTGTGACAAACCCCGCCTTTCGCTTTGCTTATCTATCAACAAGGGCATGTCATACGTTCTACCCTTGCCGTCCAAGCCGTGTAAGCATGGATCGACAATAAAAGGGGCATCTTATTTGCTTACATGTCCCGCCGGTTTCTATCTCTTCATTATCTTACAACAAATACAATCGATTTACCATGGAAGAACGCAGGAAGCTGTATGGAAAGTATCCATCGATGCGAAAGCTGGAAGAGCTCGGAGACGCATACGTTGAGGTATTCTCATTATCTGAAGTAGTCTCTCAATCACTGACATGCTGATCTCTCAATTGGAATGATGGTCGCGAAGCTGTTCTTCTACGCTGGCTTTATGAGCATCCAAACTTCCCAAATATGCGCAACAATCCCCTGGTCATCTGTGAAGCCATGGACGAATTTGCCGCTCAACAAGACTTCTTGATCAACATTGGCCCCGACAAAGCAGAAAAGATCGCTGCTCTTATTGCTGAGACAAAGCCAAGTGTCTTTGTTGAGCTGGGTGGTTATGTTGGGTACTCAGCACTGTTCTTGGGGAACGCGTTGAGAAACGCGCACAAGGACAGCCAAGACGCTAATAACGGCATCTACTGGAGCCTTGAAGCCGATCCGGTCTTCGCAGGTATCACTATGAACCTTGTCGATCTAGCGGGACTATCAGATGTCGTAAAGGTGATTACGGGAAAAGCTGCTGACTCCCTTAGACGACTGAAGGAAGAAGGGAAATTGGAAAGTGTGGATATGCTGTTTCTGGACCACATTGAAGATTTGTATGTTGCAGATCTGCAAGTCGCTGAATCACTTGGATTACTCAAGAAGGGGAGCTATATTGTGGCAGATAATGTCCTTCGTCCTGGTGCACCTGAGTACAAACAGTATGTCAAGGAACATAAGTCCATGGATACTCGAGCGATTATGGGTCTGATTATCCCTGGGGAGTTCGAGGTAAGTTATGACTCACGCGCATTTCCATCAGTCTGCTGATCGATGACTAGGATGAGATTGAGGTGACAGAATACAAGGGCTAACTGTTGCTTGTCATGTCTATTGATATGCCGAGCCCCCTCTACAACAATTGATCTACCTTTCAACAAGGGATAATGATAGTATATAGCGTCGCCGTATAAATTATGTGCATTATCTCTGTCACCGAACTTCAACATTATTTCACACTCTGTGAAGCTCCTTGGCATGTTGCTTAGGATGAGCCAAGGAAACTAGGCTCTGGGTTAAGGTACATCTTGTCAAAACCTTGAATTTTCCAAAGCCCGGTCTCCGTATTTAGCGTCAAGTTTGTGTGCTTTATATCTCCGGACTTCAGGGCTCCAGATTCAGCCTGGACGCCATCGTTAGGCCGATGGATGTGATTGTCTCCAGCAAGAACCGTAAAATTAGCTAATGGGATCTCCCAAGCGTTATGAGTCGCAATTGATGGCGAGCCTGTGTCCCTGTTAGTTTCATGTCCACCAATTATGATGATTGATTGGCTTACCAAAGAATTGAGCTGAGACATCCTTTGGAGTGACTGATAACTGAAAATAGCCACGGTAGTAGCCCTCCTGCCAGAAGAGCTCCTTGTTCTCGGCAATAGCTTTACGAGACAGCTTTCCTGCGTCAGGCTCGATGGACTTGAGACCCGATGTGCCCCATGAACTCACGGCTGTGCCCGCGAATTCAGCCCCAATGGCACCCTTTCCCGTCTTGGGGTCGTACTTCTTAGTGCCCAGCCACGCTAAGTCAGATACCTAATAAGAGTCAGCGGTGTAACGGAAATAACAGTGGTAGAATCTATACCCAGTTCATATGACTATCTCCCGACAGGAAGATGTTGTTGTCAATCTTGTTCTTGTATAGATGATTAAGTGTTCTATTTCGGTTTGCGATATAGCCCTATTGGACGTTAGTAGTCAGACTCCTCTGATCGAAGGAACATATGATAGTCATACATCCCAGGTGTCTCCCCCTCCAGCCGCATCCCCTTTGATGTGAGAGAATACGATCTGGTTCCCGATCACTCGCCAGGTTGCGTTCCTATCCTTGGATTCGGACAAGGAGCGGTAGAACCAATTCTCCTGTCGCCCTCCCATCAAAGTCCTACTCGGATCGTCGCTGATTTTCTCGATATACTTCTCGTTGACGTCTACTTGCGGTCAGAAGTAGAACTTTCGGCAGCTGAGAAAGTACTTACAGTCGACTCCTTTACTTCGGTCATACAATCTTGTGTCCAGCATCACGAGATCCATCAGCTTTCCCAACTTGAAAGATCTCCATACACGGAGGCCATCGTCCATATCAGTCTGCCTGATCGGCATCCACTCAAAGTACGCGCGAACAGCATTGGCTTTGCGAGCATCCGTGGCCACCTTCGGACCTTCTCCCTTGAAGGTATTTGGCTGGTCGAAGAAGTCGACATACCCATCTCTGTACGCGTTATCGGCAAGTTCTGGCCCATGTTAATGGCCCGACTTCTTGTAAAAGGGGAGTGAGCCCTACCGTGGTCATCCCAGGTTGTGATCCAAGCTGAGTTTTGGGCCAAGAGTTGCAAGTCTGGATCAGTCCGGTGCTATGTCGCGTCAGAGCCTGCCTCGAAGATTCATGAGTGTGTGGTAACAGACCTGTCCGTGGCGTGCACGGTAGTCATATAAAGAATACGTCGGGTGTTGTGGAATGGAGCCGCGCTCCTTGAACAGTGTATAGGTGCCATATTCGTAGATATAGTCACCAAGATGAACAACCCAGTCGTGGTTATCTTTCCGGGCAGCATTACCGTAGACGTTAAAATATCCTGGAACTTTGACTGGTCAGTGGTGGTTGGCAGATGAGTGTCTCCGCACTTACAGTATGCGCTACATGAGAAGACTGCTAAGTTGATCTCCGACACATCATCATCGGGCCGAGGTGCTGTCTTAGTTCTTCCGAGAGGGCTTGACTTTTTCGAGTTGCAGATGTTGAACTGGTAGTTGTATGTTGTTAATGGCTTCAGCCCTTTTGCTTCGACCTTCTTCGGTTAGTTCCCTTGCTTGACCTTGGTATGGGAACATGCCTTCACTGTGTAGTCAATATCCGCTGTAGTATACGCCTTTCCACTGCTAACGACTGACTTTGAGTCCTTCTTCCCAACTGGAAAGACTTTCCAGTGCACGCAGATAGGGTTAGGATCAGCCTCTATAAACTTCTTGGTCTCATGGCTGTAAAGCGGTTCGGTTCCATCAATCGGCGCGGTGTCAGCGGAGGAGACATTGGTTGGGGCAATTCGAGTCCACAGTATAACACTGTTGGGCCATGGATCGCCTGAGGCAACACCATGGGTAAAGTTCAGCTCCTCTGGCTTGAATGCGATGTTGCCACGCTTCCAGGAACGTCGCTGGACTTGATCGACATCGATGCCGAACTGCGTATGTCGAGGCGAGGGACTTCCATAGTTGATGTTACCATCGAAGCTGGCTTCGGAGAAGACTAAAAAGCTTGCAAGAGTAAGAAGTACTGAGAATACATAGGTCTTCATGGTTGAATAATGTTTTGAGGGATGTACGTCTTTGTTGACTGATCAATATGCAGTCAACTATCGTCTTATATACATGACATGAACAGCTTCCCCTCTTCTACCCCATCTGGCAATAGCACAATGCCGAGTAACTGATATCACATGTCGCCTGAAAGCGATCGTATACTCGGCTGAGAGAATGCGATCGCTTTGAGAATGAGGTTAGTGTAGTAATGTCAGCGACCAATCAGTAGGTGATCAGCGCGCCTGGTACAGCTCAACATGGCAGGAGGATTCTCTTAGCTCATGCGTGGCTTGAGACCACTAGTCAAGAATAAGAATGAGGACATGGCATTATCAATTATTACTGTCTAAATGCTCATTGGCCATGTCTTTGCCCGTTTTATGGATGTTGCCCGAGATGTGCCAGACGTCATCGTCCTCTGAGGAATAAACGCCAGAAACCCAGCACTCAACAACAGATTTAGACGTGGAAGAATGAATTTAATTAACATTTTAGGTTTCATTATCCGCTAAGTTACAGCTCTGGTGATAAGAAAATAACGCTTCGTCATTTGTTAACTTAGATTCACAAACTCTGACTGAAAAAACTTAACATCGATTCACTGACTAAACTTTTGTCCCTCGCTGGTATAAGAATAGCAATTCGCCCACCTAGGTTCGAATTTCGACTTTCTTCCCTTAGAACGCTTGACCTCACCATGGAACATTCCAACCAATCACCCCAGGCCAGGCCATCTGGCGAAGTGCCCAGCATCTTGAACCCGAAGTTTCCAAATTCGAATGCAATATTTCATTTCTTTCCTAGACTTCCTACGGAGCTGCGACTTATGATTTGGGAGCGAATCCTGACGCGCGAGCGATACATCAAAGTTGAACTTTGCACCATGAACAAGAGGACTGGCAAAATGCATCGCGCTGGAATACCTTTTAAATCCTGGCGACTCACAGAGCCATATGGAATTCTCTTACATCATCCACCAAAGCATAGCGCCTTGTTCGGTGCGAGCGTCGAATCTCGTGCGAGCGCCCAACGATTTTATCGCGTGGCCCTTCCTTGTCTCTACGTCACGAAGTCTCCCTCGGCCATAGACTCACTTGAAACAAGTGATCAGAACACCGAGCATAATCCACAAGGAATGGCCTTCGTCCACGCTCGGCCATACGGTGCCAAAATACCGAAAAGAGATCGAGTTCTCGTACCAGGGACATTTGTCCTTAATCCTGAGCTGGACACCTTGGAGATTGATGGCGTGTCCCTGTTTGCGAACTTTGCGAATGATGTTTGGGATCATGACCCCCGTAAAGTAGGGTTACGTCACGTAGCCTTCTTACATCAATACTCGTTTTCCAAGTTTCGTAAACTTCCTCGTTATGCCCCTTCAGAAGAACAGCTGCGGCAAGTCATGGCTCGGCTTCAAAGTGTCACATTTATGCACTATGCTGATGTCGCCAGAATATTCCCCAAACCTCCCGTTAGAAACCAGGGCCTATTGAACTATTGCTGTTCGCTTCCTGTTGCAGGGCCTACTAGTGACTTCTCACGTCAGCAGGATCCACGAATCATCCGGCACGAGGTTATTGACAATATTTATTTCGACGTTTCCAGCCGGTCAGCTCTCCAACAGCAATACAAAGAGTGGGTGGAGTTGGTAGAGAAATTGGGAGTGACAACGCCATGTGTCTGCAAATTTGCTTACACAACACACCAAAGCAAACTGCCGATCAGCGATGAGTCTGGCACTGTTACGCATACGAAGTGTCAAAGCGAAGGACGGGAACTGCGACTTCGCGAGCGGAGAGATCGCTACCAATTACATGCATGGGTGCATCTCCAGAAGGCCGCAGGGCATCTCAATGGAGCAGTTGAAACCGCGATAGGATTTTGGGCATTCCCTGCCGAGGCTGTTGTTCAATTCAGCCGATCCCAAAACCTCACCGACCGTCAACTTGGGTGCTTTTATGACCTTTCTGCTGCCCAACCCGAGCTGTGCCTGTTCGACCTCTAGGTCTCACGTCTCAAACCTCAGGTAGGGCATTAGAAGCCTACGGGGCTTGCGTCAGAGCGAGCAGGCAGTTAGAAAAGCCGGTATATTAAGTTCATCCTGAACTTCCCTAACATATCTTAATACCATCTAAATCCTTCTATCACTTAGTCTGCCGCAAGGAGATCTTTTGGCGTGCTGAACTCATATACACTGTTCAAAATACACACCAAGAACCTTTGCACATACTCCTCACTATGAAGTTGGGAATTGAAAACACTAGAAAGGTTAATCTTCCCATCCCAGCTGCCAAGGAAGACTGCAACACCAGTAACTATTGATTGACTGGCGACCCATACATCGGTGAGCTCGACCATGTCATTGGATGCAGCGACTACAGAGCTCAGGTTGCCGATTGAGGAGAGGGAAACAGGACAGAATGGTGGATCTGAGACAGACCAGGGATCTGCCCCAGGAGGAGGAAACTGGGATCTGAATGTCAGAGGAGCGAAGAGAACCTGTTCGTGGATACCCTCCGATAACCTGGGTTTGTGTTTGTTATAGAAGTCTCGAACCTCTGTCGCTTTTTGAGGCAAGGTCTTTGACGCAGAGTTCTTGCCCATCCCCAACCCAGGAACTTCCAAATCGATACCCAAGGCATGTGCGCAGACGGCGTGATACGCTGCGCCCGCATGATCAGGGCTATTACATTATTGATGGCAACTTAAGTTCCAATTCTCCTGATTCTCAGCGTCGCCTTCATAGGAGGGATCCTATTCTGTGCGATCCAGGTGTTTCGCGGTCGCTCAGCCACGACGGTACGAGAAACTCCGATTGAGACAATTGAGTTCTTGCGCTGGCTTTCGCGAATCGCCGAGTCGAGCTTCTCGAGTTGCGCGACGGCGCGTTTGTTCCACTTCCCATCGTGTTGCTTTAATACGCTCTCTATTTCTTCGCGAAGTTCAAGAATAAGATCGGGAGATGATGAAGCAATGTCAAGAAGAGCATGGGTGACTGCAAACGTCGTCGTGTGAATAGATGCAAAGTTCAGTAGCAGAACACGTTGAGCCAGCGCGCTAACCTGCCAGTTCTTCGGGTTACCAATCTCCTTAGCTTGCTCAATCAGCCATTACAAGTAATCGTTCCGATCAGACTTGAGGTGTTCATCTTGCGAGTCGTACTCTTCTAGACGGGCCTTGATTTCTGGTTCAACGATCTTCTCAAACTCGCGCGTGTGAATCCTGTTGGATCGGGTGATAAGAGGCGCAACCAGCGGTTTAACGAAGCTTGGGAATAACTTCATCACCATTGATGACAGTGGAATATCCTGCGCAAACGCGATGCCCAGCTTTAGCATCTCTTCATTTCGACAAAGCGGAAGACCGAGGAATGCTCGGTTGGTAATTCCACTGAGCATCTTTTGCGCCGATTCCATGATGCAGATTTCAGACCACTCCGTGCTGTTCCCCAACTGCTTGCTGACACAATACTCAATTTCTTCAGCGAGATCTGGGATAAGATTTCCGACCTCTTTGGTGAGCGTGGTGGTGACCAGTTCCAAATGAATGGGATCATGGGTAAGTGATGGGTCCATAGTAGTGTAGTCCGTCTGCAAATCTTGCTGTGCCGATTCGTGCATGCTGAGCATATTGGTAGGCTGCTCGCTGGCAAACTTTGTATCTGATCGTGGAAGATAAATGATGTTACCACCGTCGATCAAGGGAAAGATGGCAGCCTGGTTTCTATACTGGATGTACGCCGAGTTGAGCGCGGCCTTGACGTCGAGCGAATTGCGGATTTTGGCTTGTAGGATAGGAAACCAGTCGCCTTTACGCGCACCAATGATTGGTAGGTTAGGCAAGTTGGAGGGCCTAAGGAAAAGACGATATATGATGTACGACATCAACAGAAGGAGCGGCGCAGCAATGGCCGGCCGCGATAGCGACTCCAGTACTGGATTTGCCATGGCAGTTAAGAGTCAATATCGGGTTCACTAGTACAAAGACCAAGGGGATGACTGCCGCCTGTAAGGTTATACTTTGGGCTGCGAACATAAATGATGAATGACAAAGAGGATTTGGGCGATCGAGCGACCACAGACTTTATAGCTCCAGGAGATTGGCATGACAAGGTAAAGCGTCGGTATAAGCTCTTTCTCACTGGCTGGTTCGCGTGAACGAAGTACGAGCGAGCTGTAGTGCTTGAACTAATCGGTGACAAGTGCTGACAGTCAGGGCATTCCGCTAAACCTGGCCAAGCTAGCCTTGTAAGATCGCTAGTGGAGGAATGCCACCACTACGAAGCTGTGCCTGAGAGATGCGACCCCCTCACCTCACCTTGGGGGGCAATAAAACACCAGACCTTGTTGTGGGTGCTAAAAATATTCAACCGAAGATCCTTTAAATCTATAGTAATTTTACCTAGAATTACCTAAGCATTTTTGTTGCTTAGCACTAAGGTCCTAAGTTTTATTGAATTCTCCCGCCTCTCAGGCGTCTCCATCACGATATGCTTACGAGTACTGATCGTGAGTCGGGTGTTAGCAAATCGGGTTACCTGTTCGTCAATGTCTAAGTATACAGGTACAGATGAGTTGACTTCAATGTTCGTTCAATGCCTGATCTCAAAAACGGCCTTGACACCAAGATGATCAGTAACCCACGGCTTCTCAAAGCCAAGCGAGAGCAGATCCTTCCGGACATCCTCCTCCGACTCATCCGGCTCAACATCAGCACCAAACCTCTCGAACTCCAATAGCTCAAGTCCATCACCACAGAAGAATACCTTATCCATGCGTGAGCATCCAAATAGCTGTCGTAGCTCTGGTAGAGCCTGCTGTCCCCATGTATACCCTTCGTTATCATCCCTACCGTCGCCTTCTGTGCCACCGAGTTTGAGGTATGCGTCTTCAAGCTTGTTGTCTGTGTGGAGAGTTCTGTCGAATGGTTGAATGGCGTTGAAGTCACCGGTCACGACAGCGCCGGAGACGTTGTCGGCGTGCATATGTGAAGCGATGAGCTGCATTTGGGCCGGGCGACGTGGTGGCTCCAGTGCAAGTGATTCGAGGTGAGTGTTGCAAAGTCGAAGCTTCTGACCAGATGCTTTTACATCAACGAAGAGGGCGTCGCGCTCCATCCGAGTCGCTGAGTAATGCACTCGAAAGCAGGACAGGATATCAAGTCGGCGATCAACCAGTGTCGTTGTACCATAAGCGCCCGAAGCCCAGTTCTCAGTATTAATATCTGTCCGATAGAAGTCATCCCGAATCCAATTCTTGTCGCCAATGAGATCTAAATCAGATGGTACGCATTCCTGAATGTTAATGACAACAGCTGTCTTGTCATCAGACCGGTGCTGGCGACTTAGCTCTTCAAGGTGCTTCAGGGCTGAGTTCATCCGGCTGTCGCCATGAGGGAGCATAAAATCGATGTTCCAACTGTAAATAGCTAATTTGGTGGCTTTGGGTCGGTCTGGTGAGGGTTTAGATGTTTGAAGTGGCTGCCATTCATCCGCGTTGCTGCTCCACCTGTAAAATGGTTGCTTGCAGGGTTCGTCGGGTCGCCATGGAAGCGATGAGGCTGGTTTTCTCAGCGCGATGGCATTTTCCATTTGTTTCTGGATGAGCGCTTGCATTTTGAGTAGAGTTCGTCTCATAGGAAATGCAAGAAGTGAAAACTCCTGACAATTCGTGGTCACAAATGAAACGTGGGTTGATTCTGGTCATGAATGGTGTTGGATCCGCTCGGTGCGGGGTATTCGTATTCCGGCTCTGACATAAGATCCAAGGCAGCAACGAGTTTATTCTGCCAGTAACCAATAGTTCAGCTACAGTGAGATAATAAAACACTGTGAATAAAAAAGAAGTTCCTCTTAAGCATTTGGCATCAAATGTAATACTTCACTGACCAACAGTAGCGCAACCAGCGACGGAGATGAGGCATAGACGAATGCGGCAACAGATGTAATGATATAATATACTGGAATGGAGCCCAAGACAGAGAAAGCAGTTGGCTCATGTTTATCACGATAGGTCGAGCTCAAAATCCCACACTTGCAACTTGCGGTCAGGAAATCCGCCCGCTTGTCTCACAAACACGCTCAAGATTCCTGATTCATGGAGTCTCATCTTATCAAAGAGGGGCTCCGTCGAAGTGTTTGGGATCTCAGCCAGGCTCTTCCAGTCCTTGAAATCGTTCGAGGCAGTAGCGACGTAAATAGCAGTCGATTGCTTCACGGGATCAGGTAGGATACCGAACAAGTACTCCCCGCTTGCGTCGCCAGCAAGTTTGCCTCTTGGGTCGTATAAGTCGGGCCCGTTGAGACCAGCGGGGTTGATGGCATTTTTCGTCCATGTTCCTTGTGAAGTATTAGCGAAGTTAATTGAAGGGAGATTGGTAGACTTACCATCAGTTTTCCGGAGATAGTGCTGATACTGATGCTCACCGGACAACAGGTCTCTCATCAGAATATGGAACCGTCCCTTGGTGTCGATGAGTTGTCCCTCCTGGTTGACCATGCGACTGTTCTGAGGAACATCCCAGATCAAAGTGCTGTCATCGGATGTTGAAATGGGCTTCGTCAGCTTGGTGTCATTCGTATTAAACCACGTCCTGCCATCGTCATTCGAGTAGGCAAAATAAACACCGTGATTAGTGTCAGCGTTCGGGGTTTCTCTGACGGTCCACGAGGTATACAACTTTCCATCCAGGTAATCCAGTCCGTTGATGTACGCGTTGTTGTCGTCACCTTGGATGTACATTCGGTAGGCTTGCCATTTGCCAGTGGATGCGCTGTAGCGATGGATGTAGCTGTCGCCCGATCCAGATCTATAGCTGTTAGTTTGCGCTCCAAGACACAATTACAGTACTCACTGTCCGATTCGGAATTCCATTAGAAGGTCACCATTACTCAGAGGTTCGAATCGCGGATACGTTAGGGGTGAGTAAGGTCCTTGAGACCCGGCAAGTTCATGGACGACGGGGCCGAAGAGATCTGAGGTCCACATCGAGGGGACGTCTTTCGCGATACCGATTTTCGAAATGCAGTAATTGATCGGGACATCCTTAGAAAGTCAGAGAGAGTCACCGGTCTTGATTTCAACTTACGTGATGATCAAAGCTGAGGTGAATCTTCCCATCCCCCGAAATACCCATAGAGATCATGTTATGGCCATCCATCGTCTTCTGAATATAGTCACCAAGTGTGAGGAATTCCCAGTCGTCGACACTAGGTGAAACCTTTCTGCGTCCCACCTTCACGAAATGGTTGAGATATCCCGCCGGGGCAGTTTCGTAAAAGGTGACATATTGATAGTCTCCATATGTAATGAGAGCATCTTCTTGGTAGCTCACGCCATTGAGTCGTTGGGAGCCTTGAACATCGGTACCAATGGTCCACTGTTTGGTGGACTTAACCGTGAGGGCTGAAACCGCCGACATCAGGCTTGTAAGTGCGAGTGCAATTCTATACAGATGCATTGTGAGTTAAAAGGTACAAATTGAGAGGTAAGGATACTCCAGCATAGGAACGGAACTTCAAGCCATGGTATATATGAACATTGCAGTCTTACCGATTTCACTATCACAGAATCGTGTCCCGGGTTTTTGCCAGCTTGACGAACTGTTTCGGACTGGCACTGAATCGGTCTGGAGAACCCTTGTTCGCCAAGATGTTGTTCACAGGCGCTGCTTTTCAATTGGAGAGGATGCAACCCCGCGTCGTCAATTCTCCCGAGATTGCGGGGAGAAAGGCTTGGCTTTGATATCACCAGGGACCTGAATAACGGCACTTCTGACCTTCCCAATCATTACTAGGCACGGCTCGTATTTAAATGAAGTTGTAGATCCACGGAAAGCAGATCACCCCCGCTTTCTCAGTTGTTTGTTATTGGCTTGAAAAGTCCCCTTTGATCAACAGGTTTTTGGTCGGACTCAGATAGCCCGACACCCCGATGCACATGACAAGGTCGTGACCCATATGTTATTGATTGAAGACCACATCACATCTCGGGGTATTGTTGCACAAAACTGATTGTAGCCCATCACATGACTGAGTCGCAGCCACTGGAGTTTGAACCCTCAATTGTGTCGGTGGCGTAGACCCCGTGACAAGTCTGAAAGTTTGCCAAAGTGATAGTAGCCACGGGCAATAAGTAAATATATTCTCATCAACCAGAAGGATGCTAATAGATATTCTCATTCCACAATCGAATTGGAGTTATGTTGGGCTTTGAGTTACTTTCTATGTTATACCTAGGGAGGCATGGCCAAATACAGAGAACATTTTCACCTTGCTTCCCTTGTTCTCGAAGTATCAAGTTTCGGATCTCTTCTTAAAGGCTCATTTTCCAAGAAGATCTTGTATTTGATCTTTCCACTAGCTTTACTCAAGAGCCATTGTATTATCCGCCCCTCGAATGCATGGGTGACCTGCTGTCATCAACTACAAATCGCGACCAATGATCATTGTTTCTGATAACATTAACTTAACTTTCGTGGCTTCAAAGCCGTAACGCATGAGATACAACCCCGCTCTTGATTTGCAGACCTGATCTAAGTTCATGGAGGGGCACATGCGTATATTCTGGAAGCCTTGGATAGAAGCCTACTTAAGGGGCTGCACGCGACTCGTGGCGAGTAGGTGTTCCCTGGCCTCCCCCATAAAAAATATTTTGTTCACTTGCTTACTCTATATCATCGTAGACTTCTACCTAGGTCAAAGAACTCCACAGAAAGACGACCAATAACAACAGGCCAAATACCTGAAGCGTTGTCTTCCGCTTTCTCAATCATGTCACAAGAGTCCGAGTAAGTGTTCAGCGTTCGTTTTGTTCACTACGCTGAGTCTTGTAAGATCTTGGGCGCAAAATATATATCACCCCAGACGTGGATTGCGCTTGGATTTGCAGAAACCGCAGCTGTGTTCCCCCTGGGACCCTACTCCATTTTATTACGGCCTGTATCATGAGTGAGGCTAACGAAGACTGAATAAGTAGACAACTCTCTACTTCTGAAAAGAACCTCTTCCTTGTATTCCTAAGAAAGGACCTTCGAGATATCGCGGCTGTAGAGTTTATCAGACACACCATCCAGTGTACCAGCTTCCCTCCTTGGGCAGATGCCACTGGCGATTTGAAGTCCAACATCATCGAAGCGACGCCTAAACAGGCAGAAAAGATCGCGAGCCACGCCGACATTGTACGCATAACGCCAATTGAAGCAACATGTTTAGAAGACGACACAGACCCCGAGGATGATTCAACCAGAACGGTTTACGTCGTTCGTCCTACAAATCGCAGGGACAAAGGTCAATGCAGCTATATCCATGCTTCGCTCAAAGAAATATTCCAAGATCATCTAGAACCTCAGGAACTGGGATCTCATCGCGTCAGCTATTGGAAAGTCAATTCAACAAACGAGCAGGTGCTGCTGGCTGCAAAGATCCAGGGTGTCAGATCTATAGTCACTCTCGATCAGTATCTTTTTAAACAGTCAGAAGCAGTTGTAATCAGGAAGCGAAGAATGATCAGGCCAATAGCGGTTGAGCATCAAGATGAATGCAAAACCACAGACACTGCTCTCAAAAACCTCGTTGGGACCAATGTAATCCCCCGATTCCTGCAAGATGGTAGGATCAGTCACTGGACTGCAATGCTATCTTCAGAAGAAGCGAGACAGGCCTCAGCTCTTGAAGGGGTGTTTTCAGTCCGCACAGCGGTGTTAGGGAGGAATGGTACCGTTTCTGGGTCACCTCCGACGAATGCATGCAACAACGATTGATGGAGACAGAGCAGACTGTCCAGCAAACCAGTCCAGTTTAAGGGCAGCAGAGAGAAAGAACTTATCAACAGCTTCTTACGATCAAATAAAATATTCCCTCATGATTTTACTGAATAACAGTAGTTCGAAGATAGCACTGCATTTTACTTGGTGCGTCCAAACCCCTGGGTTCAGCAGACTATACCTGTCTAATGAAAATGAAGAAAGCAAACCTATTCCCCCAGTAGCATCATGCAACAGAAGATTAATTCGTTGACATGGTAGACAGCTGTGTATGGTAAAAAAGGTCCCGGTGTTCAGCAGGGTCACATGTCACCGAAGCTTGCCGATCGGGATAGTAGGAGCCTGTGCATCTGTCGGCAGAAACCAATGATGCCAACTTGTGTTTCACATGGGATGGCAAATGGTCACTTAGTATCACTCCATAAAATCTCAACTATATTGAAGAAATCATGTTAGTCTTGTTATACCTCATTCTGTAGCACGCTGTCTTAACATAAGGCGCTTCGATTGCGAACCCGTAAGCGACATGGAAAAATTATCAGACCATTTTTACAAAGTACACCCTTGCTGCTTCGATGATGGGGTTTCAAACTAAATTCCCGACAAAAGCCTGCCAGTGTTTGTGACAATAAGAGGGAAAGAACTAGCATGACATCTTAAAAGTCGGCATTGGAAAACAAGATATTTTGCACTAAAACTCTACGGAGAGCTGTGGTAAAGAAACGTAGGACAAAGTGATGACCTGGAACTGCCGATATATCATTTGCCCTGTGTGGACTCTGTATGATGGTACATAACACAGAGGATAAATAACCCTCTGCGGGGAGCTCCATTAACGTAGCACATGTGGGCGATGAGCTCCTCTAAAAATTTACAATTTATTTGGTGGAACCCTGTATTGATACTGGGAATGATCATTAGTTTATTATGCATGACGCGGTGAGTGGTACTTAAACCTTAGTGACCAAGTCTATTCGTGCGACCTCTAATTGTTTGCCCGAGAAGCGCCCGATGTCGTCTTAACCTTTGAAGTTTCTGCATATAGGGAGAGAATAAATAACGAGCACCCTTGGTACAAGATTACCTAGTGATCTATTCCATTCGTTCCGCTTCATCACCTTCACAACTACCGAAGTATCACGGCTCATATTGAGCTGACTTTAGACCATGCCAGACGAACCTAGGTAAGACCGCAATATTTTGCATAAGAGTTCAGGAGCGCTGCTATGAATAAATCATTTTTCTGTTATCGCACGAGAAACACAACCGGGCAAACTCCATCCTTTACCATGTTTATGCACATTCTTCTCTTTCAGTGGTTAACTTTGGTACTCTGTGCAGTATCAAACAGCGCTGACACAAATAAAACCATTTCTAGCTCTTCTGACCGTGCAGGATTGCTCTACGCTGTATTCCTCCGCCTGAGTCCTGATGCCAACACGAACGCTGATCTCATTCCAAATGCTCTTACGAGCGATGATTTTGCTTCCTGGGTAAAGATAGATGAGCAGATCATTTCAAAGACGATCAGGGCGACCCGCCACGAAATTACAGCTATCCGACGACGGCCTGATTTCGAGCGTGTTGTACGGATAGAGGCTGCAACCTACGAGACTACAATCTTACAACAACAAGAATACCTGGACAGTTCAGGATATATAATTCTGCCAGTTGATCTTCGGAAGCAAGAACAATGCAAAGCGACGAATAATTCCCTTGACCTACTATTTAGAACCAACATTGAGGCACAGATGATAGGTCAGGGGAGTATTTATATGTGGAAGGCTTACTTATCGAGGGACCAAGTGTCTGAAGCTGAGAACCTGGACGGCGTCAAGTCCGTGCAGCCCAACCTCCACAATCTGGACCACAGATAGGTGGCAGGCGCATACGTGATTCGTCCTGTTGACCGCGAAAACCAAGAACAGTGTGCCGAGACAAGCGCGTCTCTCGCGAGACTCCTTGGGGAGCACAATTACGAATCAATTTTTAGTCATCGAGATGGCAAATTGCAGAAATGGAGTGCAGACTTGTCCAACGAACAAGTAGCACAAGTTAAGGCTCTCAATGGAGTGAAGGGCCTCGGACCCATTCACAGAGGGAGGAGGTGTCGTCTGGGTATAAAACCAACCCACGGCCTAGAATCTCAAGCACAGCAAGAGATTCTATATGAAACGCAATTAGATGCTCCCACGGAGTTGGTAGCTGTTAGTCAGCCAAGGTATGTGTCTTGGCTCCAACCCATCCTTTTGGTCACCTATTTATTGTATAGTACAATCCCACGATTGGGGGACCTTAAGAACTATGTGCATGTAAGCCACTGTGGGGGGCAGAGTTTCGTGTATCATGTCGAAACTGGGGTAGCCTTCAAGGCACAGAGCGAGGTAATGTCTCCCTAGAGTAAAGTACGTTCTCATTCAAGGCGCTTACTGAAGAAGGAATTCCGGAATGTTGCCTCACAACACCTTGTTACTGACCTGGCTGTACAACACGGAGATAAGCCTTGGTTCGATGATGATGATGAAGGCGAGGACGACGAGGACATGCATTCACATGGAACGTGTGGCGCCGGCAAAGCACTTGGAACTCAATTTGGTGTTTCCAAGAAAGCCACGCTTATCGTTGTTAGAATGCATGAAGTCACCTCTAAAGAATTCGACGCAGCGCTGAAACTTATCCTAGCGGACTTGGAAGATCACCCTGAGCGCCGAAAAAGGAGCGTCGTCACAATGTCGTTGACGCTGGGCCAAGGCTGGGAGGAAGATGACAATTTGCAAGACTTCACAGACCTTTTCCAAGATCTATTCGCCATGGATGTTCCATTAGTTTGTATATCCGGTAACATCGAAGAAGGTTTCGAAGAGCCTGATATAGATGAGTATCCCCCGTTAATGGAAGGGCCTGACTTGCCACTGATCGTGGTGGGCTCGGTGGATTCTACCGGGAAACTGTCCGACTTCTCGAAAGGTGGCCCTCATGTAACTCTACATGCAGTTGGCGATCCAATTGAGTGTTTGCCAAGAGACAGCAAGGATCCAGTCGAAAGAGCAGGAACATCATATGGTACGCCAATCGGCATGACCTAACATTCCCTACAGCTAACATGAGCCTACACAGCCGCACCACAAGTCGCCGGTGAGATCGCGAATCTTCTCTCGTACGACACAGTCCCCTTTGATACCAGCGACGGGAACCTCGTGAAGAATCTCAAAGCTTACCTTCAGTCGGATGCAGCCAGTTGGGAGCGGTACCCCGGCATTCGTGTACTCTGGAACGGGGTACGAGAGGAGGATAACCCGAAAGAAACCGTTAAGTGCAATGGCCTTGAAACCGACAGGTACATTGAGCGGGAAGAAGTCAAGCATCTGATCGAGGATGAGTTTTGCCCTGAGGTCAGTAGTTCGCTTGATCTTCGCCCACAAGGTTCCGCGATTTCACGGATATACAACATGGATACCCCGAACAAGGTCACGCTGTCTGTGAGCCTGATTCAAGGTGACAGCGTAAGTGACTGTGTTAAATACCTCATGATGACTGTGGACGACTGTTACCGTGTTGATAATGACCCCTCCGATTACAAAGGCGGTGGCCTAACCATTGTTGGCGACGCTACCTACGAAGTATACCCTGGTTCTTTGCGATCACCCTCCAGGTACGGCAAGCAGGCTGGTTGCGACAGCACATATAAGTTCACCTTCAACGAGTATTGGGTATGGGGCCACGGCTGGGCAAGCTCAGACCATGGCGAGAGGCTCAAGAAAGAGATCACGGGCTGCGCACTCCTGCCTGACACATGGAAGTTCACCTATGGTATCGGTGAAGACGGTCGTGAGTGGACAGCCAGATTTCGCACCGGGGTTTTTCAGAAAAGCTGTGTCGGTAATGCAGTTGGGAAGACATCGGGCATTGACGACTTTGGGTGTGCAGGATCTGGTTAGCTTAGTGGATTTTTGATACAGCTGAGAACAGCAGCTACTTCGTGTTCATAGGCTCACATTGTTTGCAAAGACACGATGAGGCTTGCTGGTATTCCAATAGCCTTGCGAATGAGTTATTTGCCTATTCAATACTTCTGTTAGAATTTTGATATAGCGTTTCTCATGCCCCTCTCCATATCCAATCATCTTAGGCGCAGTGGCAGAGTGGTCTAATGCGATAGACTAGAAATCTATTCTCCTCGGAGGCGTCTGTTCGAATCAGGCCTGCGTCGATTGGTTTATCTTTTGCTCGAAACATGGATTGGTTTTCTGGTATTGTTCTTTTTGTCTTCTGTTAGTTCACTTGATTGACTAGCAAGAGTTTGTCTGCGGCTCTACATTTCGGACGTTAGTTAATATGTGGATTGAAGATAATCGATGCACTCAGATCACTGAGCCCGCTATAAAGTAGCAGATTCAATTCATAGTAAATCTCTGTACAAAAAACTACTGTCAGGTCTCAGCTGTTCATCCCTCAAGCCTTGGAGATCGCGATGGACCCAACGGACCCCTCCTGAACCTGATGTTCGCCTGCATCCAGCTCCTTGCTATCGCCAGACAAATCTCCCGCAGAATACACAGTTAGCTTAGTACCGGAAGAAACACGGATAAAACGAATAGCGTCAGGCTTCATTCCAGCCTCGGTCAAGAATTCTTCGTTGAAGTCACCGAGCCCAAGGCTAACACCCCGACCGGCCGCACTAGTACCAGAGAACACAGATGCACCAGTCTTGGGCTGGGGTACGGGGATTCCACCGTCAAAGGTTAACTTGAGGACATAGGCGAGTGACTCAGATGGTTGAGCTGGCAGCGAAATCTCTAGAGCATCCTTGGTCTGCTTCCAATCCGAAACCTTTTCGTATTCACCAGCCTTGTCGCCGAGAAGCTCGATAGATTTCAGGCTCTTGAGATCAACCAAGGCGTCGGAGCCAAGACTGCTGATGGAGACATGTTTATCTTCAGGCCAGCCAAGAACCGTAGCGTAGAGAATATTGGCATCTTTGTTGCGAGTGAATCGGATATCACTGCTGTTACCCTGTAAAGGTGCTGTGAAAGAACCACCAGTGACTTGGTTAGGGCCTTCGCCATAAATATCCCAAGCGCGAGTGCCGAAGACAGACTCCCCGTAACGGCCAAGGAAGTCTCCGATATCCTGCAAGACCTTGAGCTGCTCGTCGGGCAAAACACCGACTGCAGTGGGCGATATGTTGAGCAGCATATTGCCATTCTTGCTGATGCGGTCAAGCAGCGAGTGGACCATGGCCTTGGAGGAATAGTACTTGATTCCGACTGTATAGCTCCAGCTTGAAGCACTGATCGCATCATCAGTCAGCCAATAGGGACGCGTGATGTTTGCTGGCCCACCACGCTCATAATCACTGACGGTGGACGTGTCGCGGAATCCTACGTCAAAATGTTTGTGAGTCGTGACGACCTCTTTATTCCACTCAACGGCACGATTGAAGTAGTATGCGAGAAACTCCAACCGTTTCTTCTCAGCAACAGCACATGGGCCGTCGAAGTCAGCACAGTAGCCAGGACTGTCGAGTGAGAAGTCGTTCCAGATGATGTCGGGCTGCACGTGGTCTAGCATCTCTCTATGCTTGTCAAACCACAACTGATCTGATTCCTCGCGAGATAGTTGCCCTAGTAATTTCTTCAAGCTTGTGTCGTTGGTCTTTGGTGCCCATTCATAGAAGCCGTTGTAGTTATATGCTTGATGCATGGCCACCACGAGCTTCATACCATTCTTGCGAACAAGATCAGCCCATAGCTTGACCAAGTCTAGTTTGGGACCTCGCTTGACCGAGTTCCACTCATTGACCTTGCTATCCCACATGGAGTAGCCATCGTGATGCTCGCCAACTGGGCCAGCAAACTTTGCACCCGAAGCCTTGACAGCTTTGATGATAGCCTCGGGATCGAACTCGCCACCCTTCGAGCTAAGAACAGGTTTGAACTGGACAAAGTTCCCTTTGAGGTCATCTGCGCCGTTGATGAAATTCGCGTAGCCCCATTCCTCGGGTGGCCCGTAAGTCGCGGTGTGGTGTTTGCGTTGGTCTGAGCCTGGCTCATACATGTTGCGTGGATACCACTCGCTGGCGTACTGAGGGGTTGTAAAGGCTCCCCAGTGCCAGTAAACACCGAACTTCGCATCGCGAAACCATTCGGGTGAGGCGTTGTGTTTATCGGTGGACTCCCATGTTGCTTCGTATGGGCCTGCAGCTTGAGCAGCAGCGTTGATGGGAAACAGAACAGCTGCAACTACAGCCAACTTGGTAGACAGAGTCATCGTGAGTTTGTCCCTGTAGTCTTCACAAATTTACAAAGAAGTTTTGAACAAACAGTCAACGATTCTGGCGATCGAGTGATCACGGCGCGCTCTTTTAAATTTCATCATTTAGCCATGAATGCTTCGTATGCAAAGGCAAAACACATGATCAACAAACTCATTGCAACCTCGATATTGCAACATTGATGTTCACGGGCATGAATTGTACAGCCGGCCCGAAACGGGCCGTCATACGATGTCCGTGAACAGTGATCGGCATGGAGAGGATTCGTGCGGATATCGTGCCCTGGCAATCTTGGACGCCAGAGCGAGTCAACGAGTCACGTTGTATAGGCTCTTGGGGCTGATAAAGCTCCGACGGTAAATTAAGATGCCAGAATAAACTGGTCTGAGGTTGCACTTTAATTTACCGTCGGAGTTTTATTCCTAAGATACACCAATTTTGGCTAAGTCTTCAGTTTGTTGGCCTCTCCTTGGCTATCGTGCTATTTACCCGGGATCGTCGTTCAACAATGCACGAAAGTCCTGCTGCATTCGGTGTCGTTACGACCTTGGACAGACGAAGTGAGTATCATCCCCGGACCCCGCGCTACCCCGCAAACTACCCATGCTCAACATCGGAAGATTGAGTTATTTCCTTGACGTCACGATCAATGCCGAGCTGCTGACTTGTTTTCGACTTGCATGTGGAGGACTTTGTTAAAGAATTGTAGATTATCTAATAGGAGAGTTCGATGAAATATAACGAAGAGGATTTAACTAGCCATTGGTATCATTAATGTTGCTACTATACATACGAAAAGAAGGTACATATCCATTCACAAATTCACGAGCAATGGAAACTCTGCTTGTCGGGAGGATCAATTGATCTCTAGCTAGTGTAGTAACAAAAAATGTTTTGATGACACTACGGTAATCTTCCGTTTTTTTACGCCTATTCCCGGTATCTCTGCCATGACATCGACCTTCTCATACTCCAATCACTTCTCGGTCAAGTCTGAAGTAAAGTACATACAAGGAGAAAGCTCCTCCAGCGCGACCACAAGCCAACTCTTGTCCGTACCAAGATGTCCAGACCCTCATTCATTCCTTCTTACATTCTCCTTTAGTTCTTGGCTTCATCTCATGGAAGAGTCCCAGCCTTTCCAGGGATAGAGTGACCCTCACGGTCCATGTAGACAGTCTTCTCGGAAGAGTGAAGGCGCCAGACCAGAACGCGGAAGCCCCAAGACTCGGGACCATTGAAGACAGGCTTGAGCTCTTCGTGAAGAACTGACTTAGCAGCAAGACTTCCGGGTTCTTCGAACATCTTCTTGTTGTTCTGAATCATTTGGGTGAATTGAGTGTCCTTGATGCAGATCATCTCGATGTCGCCCTTGGCAATGTTGGTCGGGACAAGCTCAGCTGCGGCGCCAAAGACAAGGAAGGGAACCCACTTCCACTCGGTGTATTCATCTGCTTTGCCGTCGACAGGTTCGCGGTGGAGTAGGGAACGGATGAAGTTACTTCCAGGCTTACGGCTGTCGAAGATAGCCTTCTGAAGAAACTCGGTCGAGATGGAAAGAGTCGGGTGAGGGTTGGTAATGTTGAGAGGAGACTTGGGGTCAGTAGCATTGGTGTCCTCCTCTGCCTCCTCTGCCTCCTCTGCCTTTCCAATATTGATAGTAGAACCGCGAATAGTCTCTTCATCCTCCCAGCCATCTTCAGACATTCCAGTACCATCGTAAAGGTAAGACGCAGGGTCCGACTGGACAGCCTTGTGAACATGAAAGGTGGGAGTGAACTTGATACGAGCCATAGTAGAGGCATTCGAGCAGACAGACTGCTCACTGTGCAGCGAGATAGAGGACTCGGTATCGGAGATGGGATCGGTCGGATAGACATGAACCAGGGCGTCATCGCCTGCATGCTCTGAGGCTGGGTACTTTGTCATAGTGTAGGTGGACAAAGAGTTGGACTTGTTATCTTCGTCATCAGTGTCGACGTCTTTTTCGTGAAGGCTAGCTTCAAGAGCCCATTCGAGAACAGACTTCTCTGTCTCCAGCTCTTTGAGACGAGCCTGCATCTCCTCACGACCCATGTTGGATGTGATGGGTAGGTGGACTATGGTGTTGGTTTTGTCGTCCTGATAAGGTGAAGGATAGCGGGTTGCTTGATTGTCTGTCTTGGGAGTTGTTTCGGGTTGCTCTTGGGATGTCGTCAAGATATTGAGGAGTTGTTGTCAAAATTGCGGTTGTGGGAAAGGAGACGATGGATGAACGCTCCAGGTTGAGATGAAATTCAGACCGAAGAGACTGAAGCTGATTGAATTGCATCTGCCACTGTCACTGGCATTACTTTTCCCAACAGCACTTCCATTGGCACTGGCAACTCTCTGTTCTGTTGTTTCTTGCTTGGCTAGCCACTACTCACTAGGTGTCCCACTTATGTTCATAAGGTCTCACTCGGTCACTGCTCGCCAGATGTTGACTCAGTTGGACTTGGCCCAGCTTCGAGTTCAATCTTGTGGAAATATTGTTGCAAAAAGCTTGCAGGTCCGTCTAAGCCTTTACAGTGCTGCTTATCTCTTCATTATCTGATCATTGGGTGCAAGTTTCCTGGGGATGCTCTTACGACTGTTCTCTCTTATACATCATATTGTTCGCAGCAATGGAAGGAGTAGTATTTCTTTTAGTTCACCCATTCTATTCTAGTATGTACAGTTGTTCTTGCCGTTCAATCAAGTTCTCCTTGGCATCCTTCTCAAGCTGCAACCGAACCCGACTACCCGATCTGAATTAAATTGTTATGACAATCAGAGTACTACGGTTATATGTATGAGCAATTGGGCTTATCAGTTCTGCTCACATGATTGAAGAATTGTTCGTGGGTATTTTAGATAACGAGCCTTGGATATATTCTTCAGCTCGACATCCTATTCCCTTCCTATGCAGTTCTCCGCTCCAATAAATTGAAAGCTATCTCTATGCATAGGATCGTGATTACTGTTCAATTACTAAAGTGATTGGTCTCCACCCTCACCGATAGAGTATCTTATGCCCACCAGTGGCTGCATGTTTATCAGTGCTATTGCCATAGATGGAAAGCAGTGCGGCTGACACAAGGCATTTTTCAATCTGGTCATCACCAATCAATAACCATGTGGCTTATGCATGACACGCTGGTCAATCAATTCTGCATGATAATCAAGGCAGAAGTGCAACTAAGATGTCTATGAGTGGCTAAGCCTCCACACTAGTGGAGGGAGGGGCCTCAGTGAGACTGTACCGTTAAGCAGTCAGCCCGCAGGAGGACGGAGGAAAGTGAAGTTCAAAAGGGAGCTGAAATCCCAGACCTTTCCACTGATTTTCTTTGGTTCCTTGAGTCGCGAGAGCTATTGTCCTAGAAATGGCTGACCACTCCCTTGATGCTGTTGCCCACCTGGGTACAAGTCTCGCGAGTAAACTCAACTTGCACTCTGAGGGATGTCGCAAGTCTCGCCAGCGACTCCCAAAGCTGATTTCTCTGGTCAACTCGACTGCTTCGACCATCCGTCAGATTGATGAACTGATCCAGAAGAACGACAAGATCTTCACCGAAGCATGCGTGAAGGACATCAACTCACTTGCTGCCAAATGCAGGGCTATCTATGTCGGAGTTTTAACTCTCATCGCTAAGAAGACACAGAGTGTCAGTGGAGATAACGATGCAAAGACTTTGTCAGCTGAGCAAATCGAGGAGCTCTTGGCCTGTCTTGCCAACATGAGTGTTTGGCGAACCGAGGCTTGGAACTGGCTGCAGCCGCGCTTCAAGATTTGCCAACAGGAGTTGAAGCAAGTCAAGTTTGAGCTTGTCCTGCGTTACCTTCTCGGAAGTATCGCTCGGCTCCAGATGGAGTCAGTAATATCTTTTCTCCCTTTAGAGTTCAGGTACTAACGTCGAGTCAGAACTATGATACGTTCCCCGGGCGCTTGGGAGAATGAAAACTCCCTTCGATGTTTTGCTGAGAACGTCGCTGAAAGACGCGTTATGTACTACAAGTCTTACAACAGAAGGCGAGCTACCTGGAATAAGTCGCCTTCACCGAAGGCCTCGTTCGACGACGTCAGAAGTGTCTATTCAACATCAACGTCAGTATCTGCCCTTCCATTAGCGATAACATCTTACTGACTGTATATCCTGAATAGGACAAGTACCGCTGTCCTTTCTCCCCGCGTGACCGTAATCGACGGAGACAGCTTTGATGAGAAGATCAAAACTGAAACCGATGCAACGGAGAAAGATTCTTCGGAAGTTATCGCTGAGAACACAATCCAGAACAAACATCCCGATAATTCTTCACGAAACTGGTTCCAACGTCTCTTCTCTTCCAGTCCCAAAGAAAATTGGAAGAATGAAGACATCATGGCTTTCGTCCTTGACATGAGTCACGCAAACAAGCTCATCACGAGACTCGAGCTCGATGACAAGGAACTCAAGACCAACCTCTCCAAGCTAACCTCGAGCCGTCTCTGGAAGCGTCGCCCGAACCTTGTCGAGCAATACTCAGCACTCGATCAGAATGTTCGCCAGGACGTCGATAATGCCATCATTGTCGCAAAGCGCAAGAGCACCCGTGAGATGACTCTTGTCGCGATGGTGGCAAAGAAGTCAGACTCGCAAAAGGTAGCTGACAAAGGATCTGGGTTCCATTATGCTCCTGATCTCAATGTCACTCTCTACTTTAAACTGGGTGTTGAGTTTGAGCCGATCTATCTGATTGATCAAGACAGAAGGCTCGAGTTGCCTTACACATCTTGTGCTACTTACAAGGTATATAATCCAAACAAGAACGTTTTTAATGAACCAGAACTAATCATCGATGGCAGATGATGAGAGATCTCATGACTCAAACCAACTGGGCCCCCGGCATCACTCACCATATCATGGCTGGCCGCTACGATCTCTGCACCCAAGACGGTCTGGCAGTCATGCTTGGAACCTGGGACTCAGTCCGTCGTCCCGGCATGACACTGACCCTCAAGATCTGGCCACCTCCAGGTCCACCAGGCCCACCTCGGCCCAGAATGTATCCACCCCCGCCCGTGGGCTACGTTTCGCCGGTCAAGAAATATCGCGAGGAGATGAAGGAGACCTATCATGAGATGGTCGAATTTCTCGGCCTCTCTGGCGGGTGTGTACCAGACCAAGAGACTGTCAAGTCTGGACTGGGAGATCTTTTGCGTCTGTGGACTAACGCTATTGACCCCCATACGGAGGATTGTTCGGACTGTGCATCGTTCATGATGAGTTATAGCTCTTCAAGCTCTGAGTACAGCGACTGAGATACGGGTGGCATTGGATGAGGAGGTCTCCTTTGTTGATTGCTTATGTTTACCTTGATGGCCAAATTGATGATCTGATTTGCGAGAAACATGTTGTCTGAAACGCCGCGGTATTAGTGAACAATCGCCAATCAATAAATGTTTAGACTGAGTATCATTGTTTGGGTCTCCCAGATACGAAACATATCAATGACACAACTATTCTGTTCACTAATCTAACCATCATTCCTTCTAGAACAACGGTATGCCACCAAGCATCACGCGATTCAACTGAAACACCATAACCAGGTCTAATGACACCTTTTCCGTAGAACTTAACCCGCATGAACCTTATCGGCCTACCCATCAATTAACGTCTCTAGAGATGGTGCAACATCAATATTCTACGTAATGAGCCGCTCTGGACCCCTGACCAACAACTACCAACAAATAAATGGCCAGACAATTCCAGGTGATAATTCGCCATCGTATCCACTGCATTCGCCCCTAACGAGCCCAGAAGCCGGCAAGCGGAGGTTAGACTTTTTTTCTCGCCGCTAGACGCTCCACATCAGCTGTCCCCAAGCCCCATATTCTTCCCCATTCTCACTACGCTATAGGGGACACCGCGCGCTAGCAGTGAAAACTTCGAATTGCGCAATCGGAGCCTTGTAAGAAAAAAAATTGGATAGTACCGAGATTAATTAAATAGAGAAACAAAAGATCGTGTGTTCCTTGGCGATGGAACATTTCTCCTCTCCACATTCTCTGCTTTGTTTGGTGATATCAACATGACGTCTCATAAGGGTCTTGACGTTGATGCTATTCAGGCTGCTCCGCCTATGGTGCAGAACCATGATACCAATGATGACAAGCCTGTTCTCAATACGGGAGGTCATGGGCCTACGCAGCGAAGGCTGAAGGACTATCACATCACTTGGATTGGCCTTTGCAGTGGTATTGGTACGGGTTTGTTTATTGGAACTGGTTCTGCTTATGCCAGTGCTGGTCCTGCCGGTCTGCTTCTGGCGTATATCGTCGTTGGCGCTGTTCTTTGGTGTGTCATGCAGAGTATCTCTGAGCTCGCGACACTGGTAAGATCCCTTCGATACCTTCTCTCGTGATGGTGCTGACTGTAACAATAGTTTCCTACTGCTGGTTCATTCCCTCATTGGGCTACTCGCTTCATTGACCCTTCGGTCGGCTTTTCATTGGCCATCTCATACGGTTACTGCTACACCATTGCCATTGCCTCGGAATGCTCAGCCGCCGCCGTTCTCGTCAGCTACTGGACCGATCTCACTCCCGCCGTCGTCATCACCATCAGTCTGGTTCTCATCCTATGGATCAACTTGATGAGCGTACGATTCTTCGGTGAGACTGAGGTCGTCACTGGTGCTATCAAGGTCCTCTGCTTCCTCGGTCTTGTCATTGTCGCGATTGTCATCACTGCTGGCGGTGGTCCCAATCACAAGTCCATTGGCTTCAAGTACTGGAACAACCCTGGTGCTTGGGTCGACTACAATGGTATTACTGGCTCAACTGGACATTTCCTCGGCTTTCTCTCTGCCTTCGTCAATGCTTCTTTCTCTTTCGTTGGAGTCGAGACCGTTGTCATCACCGCCGCCGAGTCCGTCAACCCTCATAAGGCTATCCCCAAGGCCGCCAACCGCGTCACCTACCGAATCGGCTTCTTCTACATTCTCGGCGCGCTCTTGATTGGCCTAATAGTCGATCCGAGAAACGCTGACCTTGTTTCTGGCTCTGGTAACGCCAAGAGCTCCCCGTGGGTCATCGCCATCCAGACCGCTGGTATCAAGGTCCTCCCTTCCATCGTCAACGCCTGTATCCTGGTCTCTGCCTGGTCCGCTGGTAACTCTTACTGCTGGGTTGGCTCACGTATGATCCTTGCCATGACTACCGATCGACAACTCCCTCAATTCTTCGCCCGCACCACCAAGAACGGTGTCCCTTACGTAGCAGTTATCACTGCCTGGCTGTTTGGACCCTTGGCGTATCTGAGCAAGTCTCTCTTTCCATAATCATCTTTGAGTCTCGTACTAACAATCACTAGGTCTTGGTTCTGGTGGCGCTGCTCAGGCTTTCTCTTGGCTTCTCAACCTCAGCACAGTCGCGGGCCTCATCGCATGGGGAACTCTCTGCTTCTGTTACATCCGCTTCTATCGCGCCATGAAGGTTCAAGGTGTCGACCGCAACACCCTCCCCTGGAAGGCCCCTTGGCAACCCTACACTGCGTGGTTCGGTGGTATTGGCTCCATCGTCATCACCCTTGTCGCTGGATTCCCTGTCTTCCTCAAGGGTAACTGGAAGACTGCCGATTTCGTTGCCTCTTATGTTGGTATTCCCATCTTTATCGTTCCCATCATCGCATGGAAGCTTTATTACCGCACCAAGGTTCTGCGAGCCCACGAAATCGACTTGTGGTCTGGTCGTTTATCCGACGATGCCATCTCAGCCCATGACACCGAGCGGGAGCATGTTTAAGTGCTGTCCTCACGCGTCACGGATCTTCAAAAACTCTTGCATGGAATTATGTTTCAAGGCCTTGCTGCATCACACTTATAGACAATACTTAGAATTAATCACTCAACATTAGAAGCGTATATAGATAAGCGATATCAACCAAATAGAATTGGATTTTCTGGCTTGACAGTCTTGCACGGTTTTATGGCATCATGAAAAGCGACGAGAATCTTAATCACGTATGTTGATATGGCGTTTGTTGCTGCGCGCAAGTGAACGATCAATCGAGCTCCAATCTACTGCCAAACAATTCCTTGGTCAAGATCGACCTGCTCTGGCGTAGTTGCAGTTGGACATAATATCACGATTCCATTCTCTTTATCCTCTTGGCCTGGAATTGGATGATCAATGTTGAGATCAGCCATCATCACTCCAACCTGAGCACCTTGTTAGCCAAAGCGCAAAGTCAGCAAAGTCAATGTCGCAACTTACCTTCCCAGCAGTCTCTTGATCAACACCAGACGCTCTCAGCGTCTGCGCTAGTCGAACAGCCAAAGACGCTGCAAACATGTTATTCTTCCCAACTTCGACCATGACAGTCATGAGAGCTGTAAAGTTGGCCTCGCTCTGAAGATCACCAGTCGTGAGAAAGTCCGACAAGAAAAATGATGCCGCAATGAACGAAGCAAACGAGACAAGCGGATTACGAAATCTCGTGTTCAGATCCGTGACCAGCGCCACAGTGATCATGATTTGAACCGCCGAGTCCATCACTCTCGCTTTCGTAGTAGGTAGCGCAGCCATGTCCACCTGCGATCTTGTCAATGCAGATTGATGAATGCATATCAAGGCTGTATGTAACTGGAGATTGATGAGTACAGCCTCAGGGCTTTCCATGTTCTCTGGACACCGGAGATCCAATGGCAATGTCGCAAACGCATTTGTGACTGCTTCATCGAGTTGTTGCAGTTGGTGCCAGTCATTGTTGTCCTCATCTTCTTCGACATTTCTGGAGAAGTTGAAGCACTCGTTGAAGAGATGGACTGCGACTACTCTGCAGGCGCTTGTAGAGAGCTCATACATACCCTGTCCTAGGGCTTGTCTCAGAGTCAGTGTGGCTATCGGTTTATTTGACAGCAATGCATCCATAGATGATGGGAGTCGCGTTTGTATCTGGTTGGGTCAGATGCTAGGATCAAACGTTGGGGGATTCACTGTACTCACACTCCTCCAATCCATCATGGTTGGCCATCCACCTGTGCTGCTTGTGATACGATCAGTCGTGAAAATGACCCAGAAGGTCTTTCTGCGCTCTTCCTCTTCTATGAAGTCCAACGCAATCGGGAGTGTCAGGCCTGCTGCATTCTTCCCGTCTAGTCGGTGAAGCCCGAGGATTTGGGCTAACCGGATAGCTCTGGCGATACTCATTGATGCCCGTGAGAACCATAGATGCTGCGCTTCGAAGTGGCTTATGAGAACCCAGGCTTGGCAATGCGCCAGTGAAATCTGATCACTATCGCTCTGCGTTTGGTCAATGCCATGCCGGACATGTCGTTCTCGGGATAACTCACCTTCATCTCATCAGCTTGGATGTACTGGCGCGCTCGCACATAGAATGCCTCAGCCATGGGCTTGTAAGTCGGCGATGTGCTTGCTCCAGCGGCCAGGATGGCATACTGCAAGCACATGGGTGGCTGCATATGAGCGGGCCTGTAGAGTGATGCGATGTACCTCTCGGCATGGATCATGAAAGAGTCGGACTGAAGTTTGGTGAAGTATATCGATGTTCTAACATCTAAAGTTAGGTCTTGTCCCCATTAGTCATTCGTGAGGCTTACAGTTCATCCACCAAATGGGGAGGCGGCAGGCCCTCGAATCGGCCAGTGTCAACAAGTTCTGTGCTGGTACTAAATGGCTGGAATTCCGGTGGGCTACTCTGAGCTTCTAGTCTGGCCTCCAAGTCTCCTGCAATCACTGTCAATGGCCCAAGTCTCTGCGTGAAGCTGTCTCCACTCTCACTTACGGATGCGACTCTGCATGTCCCGAAGTCGCGGTCTGCTGGCGGGATTAATCACCGGCTTCTTCCTCGCCGAGGGATAATCGCAGACCTCGCCAATCTTGACGCATCGGCCACAGATTGGCAAGACCCTATTACATTTCAACTTGCGCACTCTACATCGTTGGCATGACCACGGCGACAGCGGGCCCAGATCAGATTCGGAGCTTGAGGGCGCGTTTGGCGATTGGGAGTGAGAGTGAGAGGGCGACCCCTCAGACACGGACATGGTTTAGTGGCGTCGGCGGGGTACGTCTTGGCGAACAGGACCTGATAACGAAGGCTTGTGCCTATAGCAGGCGCTGAAATATAGGCAGCTGCAAGATCGAGATGGCACGGTCGAGACTGTGCTTGCTTTCGGGGGAAAGGATAATGACTGAGTTTGTTTGATCAGGATACTTTGCTCTTTGCTTTCCGACTTGAGCTGCGGGGAGAATGTCAGCATGCCTTCCTGTTTTGGGTTACTCTGGATTCCTACGATGGTGTCTTTCTTATCTTATCTCCCCACGGCCAAACACTACAGTCAGGTCCATACTATAAGCTTAACCCAACTTCAAGATCACCTCGACACTGGTATACATCATGAAAGATGTTTCTAATTGTCACAGCCAATTAATTTGGCTCCTATGACACTTCTACCCACCACTCGGCCTCCTCGCGTTATCGCCATTCATCAAGGTTCATCACCCAAGACACTTTGTTTCAATGCACTGTCTTAGAACAGTTAAAGCCCAATAAACACTGCGTCACAAATAAGTTGGCGAGCAAAAGGTCTCGACTATAACCGTCCGTGCCCGCATCGGGACATCGCACATACTAGGACTTTAAGCATATCAAAAAGCTTCTAGACTACCGAAGATCGTCATCACTTTCCTTTACCAGTCACCAATCCCGATAAATAACGTCCCCCGATTCGCTGGTTCCCCAGCGCGTAGAGATGATCAGGAACCTTTGCACTGCCGACCAAACTAACATCACAGCGATAATGCACCAAGCGACAGGGGTGTCGCCAAATGGAGCTTCCCCTTTGGGAAAGGCAAATGGGAGCTTCCGTGCTTGGGTTGTTGTATCACATATATCACCTACCTTTTTTGAAGCTATCGTCCGCATGGCATCATTCTCAGAAGTTCTTCGAGATAGACGGTCTGCTGATCGGACTATAGTATCAGGATATCTCATCTTGGTTAACTATAAATTCGAGGTCATGGCCGCTCTCTGACACCCATCACCCCGCACCTCAAATCATCCTTCTTCACTGACAAGATGCGGTCCTCTCTTCTGCTCGCTCTCCTCCCTCTGGCTGTTGCCACGGCTGTACCTGGCTCCAAGAAGGTTGACTACAACGGCTTCAAGAGCCTGCGTGTCACTCTTCCCAAGGGCGCCAAGAATGCCGTAGCCGAGATCAACAAGCTCTCTGCTACCATCCTTAACCCCGGTGCCAAGGAGGAGCTCGACATTGTTGTTTCTCCTGACAACATCGACGCTATCACCAAGATTGCCTCCGACACCACTGTCCTCGTTGAGGATGTCGGTGCTGCTCTTGCTGAGGAGGAGACCTCCGAGATCTACGCTGGTGAGTATTCAGAGCAATGCATGAAACGCCAAGGAGCTAACATATGTGCAGTCCCCAGTGAAACTTGGTTCACCGCCTATCACAGCTACGCTGATCACCTCCAGTTCCTGAAGGACCTCCAGTCTAGCTTCCCTAGCCAGTCCGAGATTGTGACTCTTGGCAACTCTTTCCAAGGTCGTGCTCTCACTGGCATTCACATCTGGGGTAGCGGTGGCAAGGGCTCCAAGCCCGCCATTGTCTTCCACGGAACTGTCCACGCTCGCGAGTGGATTGCTACCATGGTATGTGAATCCCAATGTTCATATGATTGGAGTTATGACTAATCCTTGGTGTAGACTGCCGAGTACATGGCCTACCAGCTCTTGACCAAGTACAGCAGCGACTCTGCTGTCAAGGCTATTGTTGACAAGTTCGACTTCTATATCACCCCTGTTGTCAACCCCGATGGTAAGCCTCATCCGTCACATCATCCACTAGCTCTGCTAACCAAACATTTAGGTTTTGTTTACACTCAGACCACCAACCGTCTCTGGCGCAAGAACCGACAGACTGTCTCTGGAAACTCCTGTGTTGGCCGTGACATCAACCGCAACTGGCCTTACAAATGGGAGCTTACTGGCGGTGCCTCCACTAACCCTTGTGACGAGACCTACAAGGGACAAGCCGCTGGTGACAGCCCTGAGCTCAAGGCTATCAAGGGCCAAATCGACTCTCTTGCTGCTGGCAAGGGCATTACTTTCTACGTCGACTTCCACTCATATGGACAGTACGTCCTCTGGCGTAAGTCCTCCCCAAAATCCCTTAGTCCTCTTGACCAATACTAATGATATTCCAGCCTACGGCTACGACTGCAGCTTCGTCGCCCCTGAGGAGGCCGCCCTCAAGACCGTTGGTACCCGCATCACCAACGCCATCCGCACCAACTCTGGACAGACTTACACTGCTGGCAACTCTTGCCGCGCTCTGTATGCCACCACCGGCGACAGTCTCGACTACATCCAGGGTGTTGCTAAGGCCAAGTACTCCTACACCATCGAGCTCCGTGACCGCGGTACCTATGGCTTCAGCTTGCCCGCCAGCCAGATCCGGGCTACTGTCCGCGAGACTTGGGCTGGTATCGTTGCTGGTCTGACTGGTCTGTAAATGGCCCACTGGGTTGACTTAGTGTTACACATTTATCACGATGGATGGTCATGATCGAAGAGGGCAGATTGTTACCTCAAAAGGTCGAAGCGGATTGGTTGTCTTTATCTAAAGTACATATTACTCAGAATACATACATGGTTCGCAAAACCCTATCTCATAAACATCTAGGCTGCTTAAAAGTTGGTGAGTATACTCGAGAACTCGATTCCAACAGCTGCTTCTTTATTTCTTGGCAAGACTTCCATCGATGTTCACAGCCAGACCTTCGATGTCTGCGAACTTCTCTCCGAGTGCTGCCTGTTGCTCCGCAATCTCGTCTGCGGGGATCCTGTCGGGTGTACTGTTGACGAGCATAATCATGGGCAGAAGCGAAGCAGCTAGCAGACCAAAGGTCACACAGCTGAACTACGTTAGTACTCTTGAAATTTATCGGCGGAGACTCAAATACTTACAATCCAATGAGAGGATCGCTCTTCGTCTGAGTGTTCATGCCATATGCGATAGCTTGCCCAATGGCCTCAAGACATCGGAACGCAGCTCCATTTCGAACGTTCTCTGAACAAAGCGTCAGTATATGATGTCTCGGAATGCATGTTGTCGGAGTCTCACCTTGTGCATCGGTCGCGAACGATGACAGAAGCCAGTACATGTACGACTGAGACAGAGGTCCAGTGGTCTGCACAAAGAAGTACGGCAAGAAGGAAGTGGCGAAGAGGCTGTCATCCCAGTCGATAGCTCCCGGGTCATTTCGATCAAATCGAGCTTGCATGATAATGGACCAAATGTAGACTCCAACGTTGAGAATGACAACAGTATAGAGGCCGATCTGAGCGCGGCGACGTTGTGCCAGTTTCTTAGCATCGAGAATGAAACCGAGGCCAAAGCAGCCAACACTGTATCCGCGTCAGTAATGCCAGATTTACTCTCATGAGAAACTTACATGCAGAAGAATGGCGAGACGAGCGATGAAAGCGCGCGGGCACGAACGGTGAAGTGGATGCCCAGATAGGTAGACCAGGAGCCGCTACATAATTGTCAGGTACTATTTCTGTTTTCATATTGAGGCAATCTCACCTGTAGAAGAAAGACCAGACTGCCCAGATCGACGACAGAATGATGAGTCGCGATGTCATGGTCTTTGCGATGCGCTTCACCTCGAGCTTGGTGGAGAGTGTCTCAGTAGTAACGATCTTAGTACCGTCCGATCGAATGACATGCTCAAAGGGGGTGATCATGAAGGCAAATGGCAGACTACATAACCAAGTCAGCGACGTCCTCAAGATTATTATACGTAGTTCAGCTCACGCTAAGCACTCAATGATGAGAAAGGCAATGTAAGTGTCAGGAGTGACTCCCCCACTAACACCTTTCTCATGGTTCTTCGACAGACTAAGAATGAGATGTCAGCAAGCTTCGTGGCCAGATACGTAGTATACTTACTTGATCGCACCGCCAACTAGCTGACCAAGGTTTCGTGACACAATCCAGAGTGCCAGGTATTTACCACGGGCTCCTGAAGGGGCGAGGGTCATGATGGCACCAGCTTCAGCGACATACCAACAGCCCGTACCGATGCCACCAATGGCGCCACTGAGGATGAGATACTATGTGCGGTCAGCTATCTGAAGAGTCACGCACGGCGGAGTATTAACCCATTGGTTACCGAACTTGCTGTTGCAGTAGTATGCGGAGCCCTGAATAGGGAAACTCATGGAGCCAATAACCAAAGCCCATTTGACTCCGATCTTGTTCACGATAGGGCCTCCCATGAAGCAGGCTGGACAGTTGTGTTAGTTTCCTCCTAATGACATGTGGTGGGTACATACTGAAGGCAAGGGCAGCATATCGAAGGGCGGTTGAGATGTTGGAGACCTGAGGAGTTGCAAGACCACCACCACCGAGGCCTACAAGGAGTCAGTAACAGTACGTTGGAACCTCGACTACAGTGACTGACCAGCGATGGCATCAGACATGGCCGGACCACAGAAAGCCTGAATACTCAGAAGAATCATCTGAGTCAAACTGTGATGCCATATGTATTTCCACCTTAGGACATCTCTTGTTGTGTTCATATCAGCAGCTCTTATCGAAGGCTGAGGTGATGAAGCCCTGTCACAGGGAGAAACAGTCTTGTTGTCGGCCATTGTAGATGAGTTGAAATGGAAGAAGGTCAGTCTTGATGGCGACGAGTGACTGACTTATATATGCCGATCTCAAGGCTAACAAACCCCCTCCTGCCGCTATCGCAGCTTCCCCACGGGGTAGGTCATTTTCCTCCGCTTGAGGATGTGACCGTGAAGGTCCAAGCGAAGACAATCAAGGTTTGTATCTTGAGCCAATCGGTGCTGGGCCGAGGCTTGTTTATCCGGCCTCGACGCGGCTTTGATCCACTTTTTATTATGTCTTTATCTCTTATCGGATAAGTTCAACAACCCCCCCCAGTTGTTGCGTTAATAGGAGGGAAGGTCCAAGCGAGAATGCCAACGATAACATCATGATGAGTATGACACTACACAAGACCTAGAAAGATAGCTTGTACTAGGCTTTGGTTAGTCTCCTCTCGGTTGCAGGAACCGGCTCAATGGGACGGACCTAATCTTCCTTGAATTGCCACTCAAAGGAATTGTTGTTTATCTGAGCCATATCAAGTCCAACGCTCGTAGTTACCACGAGCGCATGGGTAAGAGATTTCGCTTGGACTTTCAATATAATTATATCTAATGAGGAGAACTATGTTAATCTAGGGTATATTATCTCTCAACGTAATCAAATCATTATTAAGCACAACGCTCTAATTCACCGTTCACGGTTGTTGACCAGGTTCAAGTTAAGCTTACCCTGAAGGTTAGCGATTGAGGGTCCCGCTCCCTCATCAAGAAAGCTGACTAACTCGACCACGGCCCTACACCATTTAGCGGCTTAACAGCGTGATGCGGGTCGCACATGTACCTATGTTACTGGCATAACATATCACTAAAACACCTCCAATTGCTTGCACCACACACTTCGTGTTATGGATGATGCTCGCACTGGCAACAGAGTGCAAAAAGTCAAGTCCAACAGCCAAATGTGATTGACAAAACATTTCACTAATAAAAAAGCAAAAATGAATCCCCGAAACCTGGATCGAACAAGTGACCTTTCGGTGTCAGATTAACAATTACAGCCGAACGCTCTTCCAGCTGAGCTATTCGGGGATGATCTCCGAATCCGGAGGAATAGCTATTGGTGCGGAGAGAGTCGCAAATTTTAGCTCAAGTACCCGAACTCATTCCCCATCTCCAAGCAGAGCGTTGTTCAGACAGGGCTGATGCGATCAATCAACGCGTACAGAATCGTAGTCTCGACCCTACATCCTTCTCCCATTCTTGCTGCGCGCCTGAAGCCTGGTCGGAGGCAATTTTCTATGTCAAATGACTCGACGCCAGTTATATTGTGCTGTTCGATCATTTCATACGCCAATCGACAGAGGGTTGTTGATTCACCAGCCGCGACTGGGGGTAGTTGATCGTCCTTATCGTAATGCTGAACCGTAGAAAACATAGTAGACGCGAGTAAATTAGTTGATGGTATCTCGAAAAATGATGCGACAGCATTTTTATCCAGATTCTGTGGTCTCGAACGCTCATCGAGGGTTGTGAGGATGGGACGACAGCACGTCGGTTCATCACAGCCACTATGGGATGCCCCAAGCCCGACTGGAAGCTCGCCTTGCTCAGAGACAAACGAGGATCGATTTGCAGTAATAAAAGATTCAAGCTCATGGATGCGCGCCTGTGCCGCTTGCAACTCTTGCTGCATCGCACTCAACTGAGCCGCAAGAGACTCAGTTCGGGCTTTGACACGCGCGCGATGACGACGTTGATTATCGCGCACCCGAGTGGGGTTGGGGTTCAGCGTCCATTTTGTCACGTTTGGGGTTTTGTCTGGGGATTTCATGATGCAAAACAGGGAACGTATCTCAGAGAATGATTCTGGCTAACTGTAGAGGTGGCGGTTTATCGTGGTGACATATCGATTCATTGCCCCAAGCGGTTATACACGGTGACATATCGAAGAATTTCCTCTTCTGGCACGATTAATGCCGCCTCTGATATCTTTGATTGGATCAATCTTGCTGAATCATCAAACCTCCTGGGTACTCCAACTGACAGCGTGTTGACCGACCTTATAAAGGGCAGGCTTGGTCTCTCATACCGAAGACTTTCCTCCAAGTTTCATTTTTTCAATCCTTCGAAATACCGTCAAGGAATAAAAGACCTGATGCCATGAATAATCAAGATATTTATACCCAAATTGGTGAGCGATACGGAAGTGCAGCAAAAGGGTCCAACGCAACGTACAGCACCAATGTCGCGAAAGCCTTTGGCTATTCAAACGAGGACCTCGACTCTATCCCCAAAGATGCAAACTTGGGGCTCAGCTGCGGCACGCCTTTGGCCATTGCTTCGCTGAAGGAAGTAGGTCCCGTGTCTGCATGATGCAGTAGATAGCGCTGACACTTTTAGGGCGAGATCGTCGTCGATCTGGGAAGCGGTGCTGGACTAGATGTCTTCCTCTCCTCCAGTAAAGTCGGCCCAACGGGTAAGGCTATTGGTGTTGACATGAACAAGGTGAGTAGTATGATTAAACTGTCCTCAATTCTGACTCGGAGTAGAACATGCTTGCCAAAGCCAGAAAGCTCAAGGAAGACAGATCTATGAAAAACGTTGAATTCATTGAGTCTCGCATCACCGATATAGCCTTGGAAGATAATATCGCCGATTGCATCATCTCCAACTGTGTAGTCAATCTGGTACCTCATGATGAGAAACAAAAAGCTTTCAACGAAATGCACCGTCTACTCAAGCCCGGAGGACGAGTCGCCATATCCGATATCTTGGCGAAGAAGCCACTTTCCGATGGCATCAGAAACAGCATGGCACTTTACGTCGGATGTATCGCTGGAGCAAGCCAAGTCGTGGAGTATGAAGAGTACCTGAAACGTGCAGGTTTCACTGGTGAGTAGTTCTATACTTATGAGTAGCTTCAGCTGACCTGATGGATATGTAGATATTCTCATCACTGATACGGACAGTGACCTGAATGTATACCTTGATGCGTCATCTGATGCTGCAGCAAGCGGATGCTGCTCTGTTCCAGAGAACATGACTGTTGATCTCAAGGGACAAGATCTCAACGAATGGGCCGGTATGTAAGATCTGATAAACTGAATATAATGCAACGCTGACATTGGAGTTGGAGGATCCTTCAAGATATATGCTATGAAGTAGAGGTCTTGGCCAGGAGACAGGGCTTTCAAACCATGAAAGAACACCACAAAACCATAAGGCTATAAAACGTTTGGCAGGTGAAAATATTATTATTCTTAAAAGTCATTTTAACCATTGAGTTGCTGGCGGGATCCATCCCATCTCCTCTGAAAGTCTCAAAATCCAAGATTTATGCTCTTCATCAAGGTGCAAGTGAATCTTTCTCATCATACAATCCGCCCACCCTTTCAACCACCACTGTGTCTCTGCTCTCCTAACCATAAGACAGAAGTGGGCCAGCACCACCCAAGCCTCCTGATCCCGTGCTTTGACGAGAGGTAAAAAGCCATCGATTCCTGCGTATAGCCAAAAGAACAAATCAGTGCTCTCCCAGTTGGGAGTGTCACAAGCTGCAGATCGCAAACTGTCAATCCTCTCGACCAAAACATTCAACTTCTCGCCCTCTGGAACACAGCTTCGTATTCTCTCTTCTAGTTGGCAAAGTACCTCGTCCCTTTGGTCGTAGGAAGGATTAAAGACACTGTGTAACGCCCATCTTTGGCGGCTGAATGAGAACAAAGCTGCCAAGCAGCTTTCTGAGCACTCTTGTTCAAAGGTTGTTTGAAGCTTAGCTGTACCTTGGATGAGATATATCCAATCTTCAAAATCGCCTTCGCCTGCTGGTATCCAATCTTGCTGCGACCGTTTTGGCGTAGCCATTGCTGTTCACCATTAGTATACAAGGCTGGGCTGAATGAGGATACGGGAGCCATACCGATGACAATAGTTAGAGAAGAAAATATGAACAGGCCGTCAGCATTCTCAGGATTCAAGCCCTTCAAGAGCCCCATTGCTTGCTGCGAAGATTCCTGATGAAGAGTCAGGGCTGTTGCAAGATGTTCGTGCCGCTGGTCGGGCCTGTGATAAGCAAGGTGCAATGCTGCCAGCGCAAGTACCTCGCCCATCAAGTAGCTGTTATGTATCGCCAACCGCGGAACTGTTATCCTCCAAAAGTCTTGCAGTGCCGGAAATATTGATAGGGTTGAGTACGTTGAAGTCGTGTATGTGTGAAATAATTCAAGATCCCTGAGGTTGATACTGCCAGTGTTGCTTATCGCCGGCTTGGGAGAGCCCGATCTCCTGACATACGTCTTCTTTGGTGGAGGTGGTAAATATCTGCACTCTTCTTGTAATCTACTGCAGTTGAAGCACGCAGGTCGCTGCTCATCGCACTACTGCCATGTCAGAATATGCTATGTCGGTTGCCAAGTCAAATACTGACTTTGACCTTTCTCTTCTTGCATTGCTGGCAGCCTTTGCGTGACTTTGTATGCGAAACCCTCGTCGGTCTCCTAAAAAGCTGGGATGTGTCAATCGGAGAAGCCCCCTCAGTATGGACAGAGGATGCAGGGCTGTTGAGAAAACGGGCCTCAGTGTTTTGCATCGTTCAGGGCGAGAAGCAGCGACTTTGCTCGGCGCTAAATTCCCGAGTTCTCGTTGCTTGCCGGCGTGTGGCTATATAACTGAGTGGACTTGAAGGGGTCGTTATCAAGATCGAGTCAAGGGACCCGATAGATCATTCCATCACCCCATGTTTCGATCACGCTGAGTGGCAGCAAAAGGTCTCAAGTGGCTTGAGAGACATTTAGTCAGGGGAGCCGGCGGCTATCGTTATGAGAGCGAGGTTAAACGAGGTTTAACGAGCATGACACAGACCGCGTCCAAACATAACATCGAAGTTTCGCCGGCCGCCGCACTAACGATTCAGGGTCAATCGACCGTTTGACCCTGCATTGATTAAGGAATTCTTCGTTTACTCGTTTAGGATACTCTTAAGTCTAATAATAATTAAAGCCCGGTAAGGCAGACTCGCTCATCGTCTAGTGGGTGATCAGTGAATGGATACCCTTAATTTGTCCTCCGGCTTGGCCGCATGGCAGTGCTTTTGTCTCCCTTAAATTCTCTGACAGTCTTAGTGTCAAGCTCAGTATAAAGACTTTCGACGTCCTAGATCATCACTTCAATTCAGACTATCATTTATTAACCTTACTTTACCAGTTCCTTTTCATTCTCATCACATCTTCTTTCCTTTGACGTCGTTCTTTTACGCATTTTCATAACTTCAATCTTTACTTTTCTACTTTTGTAATTGGAAATCCCGTCTTCGAAAATGAACCTGTTTACACGTGCTACCGATGGAGCAGAGGAGTTCAAACTCTATCATTATGACCCAACAGTGGCTGGTGCTGTCATTTTCACCATCCTCTTTCTAGCCACGACCCTCCTCCATTCATGGCAACTTGTTCGAGGACGATCTTGGTTCGTGATTCCATTGACAATTGGTGGTTTCTGTAAGTTTCTCTGCTTTCTCAACCGCACCGCTGAGTCTAACATCTTGCCCCTTCTTAAGTCCAGGTTGTTGGATACGCCGCTCGAGCAAAGTCTGGCAACGAGAGTCCCAATTGGACCCTCGGCCCTTATATCATACAAAGCATTCTCCTCCTCGTCGCCCCTGCGCTTTATGCTGCAACGATTTATATGGAGCTTGGTAGAATTGTTCTGATGATAGACGGCGAGGGCCGCGTTTTGATCTCCAAGAAGTGGATGACCAAGATCTTTGTTACTGGAGATGTCTTGTCATTTATCCTGCAGGCAGGAGGTAAGTCATTGGATCCTTATCGCCTAACCATTCAGATGCTAATTAGTCGATCAAGGTGGTGGCTATCAGTCGTCTGGCACAATCGAGGCTCTCAAAGCCGGAGCTAAAATCATCATCGGCGGTCTCTTCGTCCAACTCATCTTCTTCGGCGTTTTCATTGTTATTGCGATCGCCTTTCATCGTGCAATCAGCGCTAACCCGACTGCCCGCTCCTCAAGCGGTCTTCCTTGGCAGAAGCACATGCTTGCTCTGTACGTCGGAAGTTTCCTCATCATGGTGCGATCTCTCTTCAGAGCCGTCGAATATCTGCAGGGCTTCGACGGGTTTCTACTAAAACACGAGATATACATCTATATTTTTGATGCCTGTCTCATGTTCTTTGTCATGGTCTTGTTCAACTGGTTCCATCCATCTGAGATCACCGAGATCTTGAACGGAAGGGGTGCTGGTAAAAGCTACAGCATGCATGCATTTACCGAGGTTTAGACATGGTGAGAATTTTGGTCTGGAGAAGGATAGTTGTATCAACCAGAGACCACTTTGAGAGGGACACAGAGTGTATTAGAGCATATCATGAAGGACAACGAGATAAACCAGGTTGGAAGAATTAGACTAGAGTACTTGTGGCTTAGTTTTATATCATCAAATCATTACTATTGTAACATTGACACCGACGGCTCAATTCTCCATATCTCCTGCTTTTAGACCAACTACTGCAAGTGGCCATGATATCCAATGTTCCCAATAAGAGCCAAGCAAGTCATGCACTACCCCTACAATGTCGTATCCCCAACCCTCCATAAACCAAGAATCATTGAGGGAGTGCAGCAAGGCACCGTAAAAAGCATATAAAATGAGTGCCGGAGGTTGTCTCTGATGCAACAGAGAAAAGTACCGCTCTGATGCAAAAGGCACGAACAAGAAAGCCCCCTGCCAGGCCCTGTTGGTAACCGGACTTCCAGCGGGTTCGGCATCCATGGTTGAAAACTGTGCCATGAACATCCTGATCCTCCTAAGAACGTACAGAATGTCTTCATAAGTTGATGCATCTGGATTATGCTCCCAGATTTCCCTCAAGCGACGGAAGCGCTTGTCGTCGGGATCCTCTATCAAATCAGGGTCGATATCGTCCCAATTGCCAATATTCAGGACCTCCCTCAATTGACCCGCCGCCAGGACTTCGAAATAAGGCATTAGTACTACCTGGATACCCCGAAGCATGGGAATCCATCCCGCCCCCAAGATACGATCTTTACGACCGCCCCCGGTAGACTCGTCCCAGAACTCCTCTCCCAGTCGACCTGAAGCCGCAAAAACGTACAGAAGGTTGAGCGACGACCAGACGAATAGACCGTCGGCAATCTCCTCCTTCGACTGCGAAATGGCTTCGTTGAAACCCTGTAGACCCTTGCTGTGGTAACGCGCTGCTTCTGCCGTATATCTCAGCCTCTGTTGGGGCTCAAGATACGCGATGTGGAGTGCAGTCACGCCTAGCAGAGCTTGCATCACGAACGGACACTCAAATGCGATCTTGGGGAATATGACCTGGGAGATAACCGATAAAGCCGAGTTCTTGTAAACATCAAGACTGGTAGAGACTGTCCAATGGTGAAGCAGAGCCATGTCCTCCGTTCCGTAAGTGATGGTTGGTCTGTCGTGTTGCTGTACCCCAAGAACTGACTGATAAGCATTTGAGACCAGACCTGGAACTGGTGCGATCCTCTGCATTTGAGTCTGCCTCGGTGGCTGTGACGAAGTCGACTCTGGAGACGTTTCGTCGCCATGCTGTGTAGATGGTGATGGGAATACTATGCCTTGAAGTGAAGGGTATTCACATTCAACTCCGCGACGACGACAAGCACGGCATTCTGGCCGCTCCTCAGTGCACTGCAGCATCAATCAGTTCCAGAATTGGATTGACAGTGGCACCGCCACATTCAAGCCACGCAGGCAGGCACGCACCTTGACGCGCCGTCTTCTGCAGTCAAGACAGCCTGTCTTTGCTTTCTTGTGTGGCCTTCTGGGCTTCGATCCACTCCTCACAGTAACGACGTCATGAACCTCGGCGTCCATGGCGACCAATAAGAGCACAGCGAGGCAAGTCTGGGAGCTGAACGAGATTGCCCAGTTCAGATTAAGATTTCGGATATCGTTTGTGTAGGTAAACGAAGGGGAAAAAGAAAAATCTGTTGGTGAAGGATGGAACGAAGGTACTGTACGATCACTGTACAGAGCCGAGATTGAAGATCAAGCTTGGCCTTGAACGAGGTTTGAACGAGACCTAAACGAAGACGAGGACTTGAACGAGGTGCCTAGCTCATGAAATTTCTGCTGATTGGAGACCAAGGTGAGACTGCTCCACTGACTTGACCAAGAATGGTTACTACCAGGAAGCACCGAACACATCAAGTCCGCTTCTCCTCAGCCATGACATTTCCGAGGCCGAAGCGCAAAGAATGAATCGCATAAATTAAGTTTCAAAGGAGATCTGACTCTTTGAAGTGAATCGTGTTAAAACTCAATCGTAATACGAAAAAGATATCCCCCTCCCAGTCTCAGGAGCAAAAGATGATACGGCATTGGCAAATACGCCTGGGCAGCGATATGAATCCATATCAGATAACAAAGAGATAGTCAACAGTTATTTCGTTTTATCCATGAAAGGTATTTTCGGAGATACAAGCCAGATCCGCTGAATTGAGACTCAGCCCTGTCAAAAGTGGCCAAGGATGAATTCGCTCTCGTTTATTCTCCGACCTCGTTAAGCTCGTTCCCGATACGCGCCCCCCTACTCATGCATTCCGCGCAAGCCTACTGCGGCTCGCCATAGCCTAGTGTCCCCAGCTTTTGGTATGTATATAGTTTTAGAGCGCTCCCTTCCTGACATGAATCTCCATCCATTGGGTCTTTAATCTCTAAACCGTTTACTTTCCTTTCCTTTCTCCTCACCATGTCCTCCGCCGACTCAGGCTTCGACTTCAAGCTTTATCGCTATGATCCTTCTCTCCCAGCAGCAGTTGTCAGCACCGTTGTTTTCGCTGTTCTTTCGGTGCTACATACTTGGCGATTGATTCGAGTTCGCGCTTATTACTTTACGCCTTTCGTCATTGGGGGTTTTTGTATGTCTACTGATTCTCTAGACTATCCTGTCGACATCGCTAACTAATCTTTTCTTCAGTCGAGACTATCGGATATGCTGGAAGAATATGGAGTCACTTTGACAAGCTCTCTGTTGGTGCCTTTGTGCTACAAGCCATTCCCATCCTCGTCGCACCCGCACTTTTCGCCGCCTCGATTTACATGATCCTCGGTCGCCTGATTCGGACCGTCGGAGCTGCTCACCTATCTCTTATACCCGTCAAGTGGGTGACACGCATTTTCGTCACCGGTGACGTTGTCGCATTCAGTCTACAGGCCGGCGGCGGAGGTATTCAGTCAGCTGGTACCTTGGATCTCTACAATCTGGGCGAGAAGATCATCATTGCCGGTCTATTCGTCCAAATTGTCGTCTTTGGCTTCTTCGTCGTCACCTCGATCCTCTTCCATACCCGGCTACTCAAATCCCCGACACACGAGTCACGACGAGGCGACGCACCCTGGGCGAGATACCTCTACGTCCTTTATGCCACGAGTTTCCTTATTCTTGTCCGAAGTATCTTCAGGGTGGTGGAGTACCTCCAAGGGAATGACGGATACTTGATCTCTCATGAGTTCTACTTATATATCTTCGATGCCATTCTGATGGTCCTGGTTATGCTTATTTTCATGATTTGGTATGTTAAGCATTTGCAGAAGGAGACCAAGCCGGCAGATATCGAGGACAGGGAGCTCTCTTCTTATGAGAGCCCCGAGGAGTACCGACACAGGAAGTAAAGGTAAAAGCATGCGACGGATAGACTGGTTTAATTTTTAGCGTATGAATTATGTTTTCCCATTACATAGAACGAATGCCATTAATTAGTACACTTAGAACACTCACCGATGCTCCCCGTCCGTGACTGTATGGCGAACAAGCGACGGTCGTACATTATGAGATCTCAGATGCAATAGTAGAGACACCTCAACTCTGGCTGGGTGTAACATAGGAGAGGTCGTATCTGGTGAGATCTTACCATACCGGGGAGCAAGAAAACATCGGACCTAGATATAGAATGTCAGAATAAACTTGGCAAAGGGTATCCTAAAGCTACACTAAACTTATCCTAAACTTGTACTAAATTACCTAAGTCTTCTCGTCACTTATGATCAAGGTCCGATGCTTTCTTTCCTCCCCTAGCCATATTGAATGTAAAAGTTCAATTGACGCAACCCCATTTGCAGGCGATGTCGATCTTGCTGCAACCCCTCTTTCAACTCTGGAATAGCCATTGAGCTTACGGAGTACCCGCGGGCCATCGGCTATCGGAGACAACCCAGATTATGATACCTCATTTCCAGACCAAGCAAGATCAGAATTGTATGTAAACTTGCAAACTCAATTCGCCGAAATTGTTCAACGCCCACGTGCTCCCCAAAGCAATTGATCCCCCGATAATAAAACGTGACGATTCCCGAAAATGCCATGGCCACACAAGCATTGGCGTTCTCGGCGCGTGATTAATTTCTCGTCTGTCATTGGACATAATCATGTCTTGGTACGATCTTAATGTAGCTAGAGGCATGGAATTAGCAGGTTTCCGGAAGGTTACCTGCCTGTAACTCAACACTGACCATGCTCTATTCGTCCAGGATCATCGGGTCTCTGAGATAAAGCCCACGCGACTTTCTTTTCTCATCATCGTCTTGCGCTTTTTATCATACCTCTTCTTAATTATTCAGTTCTTCAGCCAAGTTCACAATAATGTCTTCTGTGAAAAAGAGTCAGGATGTGGAGGAGCAGAATGGACCCAACTATGGGACTGTCGATGTCAAGGTTGGCACTCAGCAGGATCTCCTTGACTTGCAAGATCTGGACCCTGCTTTCAATCAGAAAATGAGACTCGTCAACGACGTGAGAATCATCACCAAACTACCACGAACAATGAGAAGCTGACTCGAACCAGGCTATTGACGAAATTGGTTGGACGCCATATCACCTCAAGTTATTCTTCTTGAACGGTTTTGGGTATGATCTTTTGGAGAAGCACGACTTGCTTTCAATCACCCTTCCAATTAAAACACCCGCTGACAGCTGACCATTATTTCTCTAAAGCTATGCTGTTGATTCAATGATCCTTCTTTTCCAGTCCATCATTGCAACGCAGTCCTTCCGTGAATTCGGAGAAAAGGGCTATGCCAACGCCATGACCATCGCAGCATATGTCGGCATGCTGACAGGCGCTCTCTTCTGGGGTTTTGGCGCCGACATCATAGGGAGAAAATATGCCTTCAACATCACCCTCTTCCTCTGTGCGGTCAGCTGCATTATCGCTGGCGGAATGCCAAACTGGCCATCCCTTGGGTTTTTCGTTGCGCTCCTTAGTTTTGGCGCCGGCGGCAACCTCGTCATGGATACAGCTGTTTTTCTGGAGTATCTTCCAAGCAACAAGCAATGGCTTCTAACCCTCATGGCATGTTGGTGGGGTTTCGGGCAGGCTATTGCAGGTTTCATCGCTTGGGGATTCATGGTTCCCGATCGATGGAACTGCGTTGATGTTGAGACTTGTACGAAAGGGAACAACATGGGTTGGCGCTATGTCATGTTCACAGGCGGCGCCCTTGTCTTCGTCCTATCGCTTCTTCGAGTCACCGTCATCAGACTTCGTGAAACACCCAAGTACCTCCTCGGTGTCGGAAAGGAGGAAGAAGTCATTGAGACATTCCAGTACCTAGCAACCAAGTACAATCGTACTTGCTCTCTTACTTTGCAGGATCTCGCTGCCTGCGGAACTATAACTACAGCTCACAGCAAGAACCGGTTCTCGATAAGCGAGACGATGATCCACATCCGAGGTCTGTTCGGCACCAAGAAGATGACCATCTCAACTGCCAGCATCTTTCTGTCCTGGACACTGATCGGTCTTGCGTATCCTCTGTTCTACGTCTTCCTACCGTGAGTTGTCATCTTGATTCATGCACTTGAAGCATCTCCCCCCCAGTGTCATTAAAAAGGCGCTAACATTATCGTAGGTCGTATCTGGCAAGCAGAGGCGCAGTCTTCAACCGCTCAAAGTTCGAAATCTGGCGCAACTATGCTCTGACAAATATCAGCGGTATCCCAGGTCCCGTTGTCGCTGGCTTCATGTGCAACACCAAGCTTGGTCGCAAGTATACCATGGTCATCGGCGCTTTGATAAGTATGGCCTTCTTCTTCGCCTACACATCTGTGAAGACTTCTGTGCAGGACATCACGTTCACCTGTCTGATCGCATTCTGCATCAACATCTACTACGGCACTCTCTATGCCTACACCCCTGAGGTCTTGCCGAGTGCTCATCGTGCTACGGGAAGTGCTATTGCTGTCGCGTGCAATCGAGTGATGGGAATCGTATCAGCTGTTGTCGCGAGTGAAGCTAACACAGATACACCGGCTCCTCTGTATGTCTGTGCTGCGTTGTTTCTTGCGATGGCAGGCGTCTCGGCTTCGTTCCCATTTGAACCATATGGACACCGAAGCTCATAAAACATTGCCACCCTCGTGTCGCAAGCTCCTGACGATGTGATGAGAAACGCAACAGCCTGCTTCAAGCTTCATCATGGCAAAACAGGAACTGAGTGCTATGCAGGTAAGTCACTCCTCAGGTGAGGAGGCGCGTCGTGACTGACACCGACAAAGAAGACTATTGAAATACAGGAAAATGAATGCTATAATCTCACAATGAGGGTTACTTCTCTATCTTTAGCTGACCAGGAGAAAGTATTCTAGAGTTAAGCAATGAAATGATATGATCAAAGGCCTAGTACGACTCGTCACTACTTACAAGTAGTCGGCAGTTATTGAAACATGACAGTGTCTGGTTTGATAGGTGACAGTGAATCCCTTAGCTTACTTCTCCGTAGAAATAAAGCAGTATTGCCAGTAACCAATTGCCGAGTGAGATTGAAGAGCCGCATGGTGCCTAATGGTCATCCTAAGTATGTCGTGCTTAGTATCACAAACTAATAACAACGTTCCAACGTCTCATCTTAAGACTGGATTTTCACAGGAAACAAATAGCGCTTCCTCTGGTGATAAGGTGGTCCATTCATGCACTATTTTTGCGAATCACGGCTGTTTCCACGAATTCGATCCACCTTCACATTTCTTGCGCCCTCAAAGTGTGCGCTCATTCATCTCTTCTCTCCATGGCACAGGCTTTAGCGCGTTGGCATCGCATCCTTCCCTCCTTGATGACCCCTTATCCCATCGACCGTCCCCTTCCAACTTTTGCAACTCACTTTCAGCCCCTGCAGACGGTGTGTCCCCCAGCCAAACCACTCCTTCATCGTTTCTCAACTAACAGAACTTCAGTCCCAGTATCAGTTATCAGAGGCAGGGACTTCAACCCATGCATTGAAGCCTACACATCCAAACAAAGGCGTCAATCACCTCCAGCAACGCATCATGTCTTCAGCCATGTCGGAAAAGTCGAGCTCTCGATCGAAGCGCAACTCCCCGAAACGCAGTCTTACGTCCGGCTCAGCAACAAGCGACGCGAAACGCCGCAAGAGCGAGCATGTCAAGAAATTCACCGAAATGAAACTCGATGACGTCGAGCAGATCTTTCAGAAGTCCCGAGACGCTCTCAACAAAGCAGAGGAACTGTACCAAGACGCTGAAAAAGCACGCACTGAGAAGCTAGAGACCTACATGGATGCCACAATGGCCATGACAGGTGCGCACCAGATATTATCGAGTGCCATGATTCGGAAGGCCAATGCGACAAAGGACGTTGCGAGACTGGAGATGATTAAGGATGCTCGGGAGGCGATCGAGAAACGAGGTAATCTGCAAACTCAAGTCGAGAAGCAGAAAAAGGAACTATTTGCGCTTGAAACCAAGCTCTTGATGTGGGACAACATCGCCAACATGGCGGTGGAGAACCTTAAAGAAGACGATTTGGAACATCTTTTTCAGTTTCAGGGGTAGAGGTTGCTATCAAAACGTGGTATCAGGTACATCGTGATGGACTACATCCACTACCGACTTCATTTTTGTTGTTTTGGGTGCATTGCAGCGACACGATGAATTATTATTGCACGGTCTTCGGTCTTTGGTTGGGAAATTTGCTAAAATAAATTGCTTGAAGGGTAGCTAGCATTTTAATACAGGTCAGGCCATGCTCTCATGGTACCTAGGCAAAAAACGGAACCGATCGTTGTGTCATCTGATGTCGCCCTAAATGACAAGGCATGGGGTATCTAGCGGGTGCAGGTAACTTAGTGCGCTGGGCTGTGCTTGGTGGACACCTCGGCTACTAAAGGTACTGTAGTCAGTCAGCCCTGGAAGCTGCAATACACCGCTATGGAGATTTTGGTCAAACACGTGTTGGGAAACTGCCTTTCCATCCGGACGACTTATTTGTTGGGTATAATATTAAACACAAAACTAGTCAATCGGCTTATAGTCCGCCTTGTACCAATTTCAATCCAGTATTTCATCGTTGTTTTGTGTCAAACGGTGGCGGAGTGGTCCTTTGGACTCAGCCTTGAGGCTTAGCGGATAAAACGGAACGAATCCTCCAAAGTGAAGACTTCATAAACACGTCCAACACAACTCGTCCCCTGCTATGGCAGATATCACAAGACTCAATCATTCAGCAGAACATTCGCATCAATTTCACAAACGACAAAGAATCTAGAATCATGTCTTTGTTCACTTTGTTCGTCGAATTCTGTATTTTCTCCATGGGCCTCACTAGTCTCGCTGGCGGAGTCCTCGCCCTCTGTAACCCACAAAACCAATACCAGCTCAAAGGCATTCCAGACTTGAGATCTTCAGACAATCCCGCCAGCTTCGCGCCTATATATATGCTGGCAGCGAGAGATATATCATTCGGCATTTTTATCCTAGCACATCAACTCCACGACAACCATATCGCTATCGCTACCATCCTGGCTGTCATGAGCTTCATGAAATTTGGCGATCTTCTTACTGTTCTTACAGTTGGGGACGGAAAAAGATCGCTCCCGGGTATCTTGCACTTTTCAATAGGGATTGGTTATCTAGGCTGGGTGCTATACCTGTGCAAAAACTAGTTCTTTACTCCGTGTTGATTGGGATTTTTTATGTGTTGGCTTGATATGTCTCGTTGAGACGTCATAAGCTTTCGGTATCAATCTGTTTCCGTGTTAAGAAAGAATAAGTGCTGAATCATCGTGTCATCGGCGCCGGGTTACATTCATTTGCTTATACGGAAGGTTAAACAACTAGTCGACGTCCCGATTCGGTCTTCCAACATCAAAATGTCATTAAAGGGGAAGGTTTGATATAAACTACTACCTGTAGATGAATCCGTTAGCCATCCGGACTCCGTACCGACTAGCGGTTAACCAGCGCCGCCAATGGTGCGACATTGGTGGATAAAAGTCGACGCAAGACACCGAATCCGGGGTTAATCGTGAACCACAAGCTCGGAACCAGGCGGGATGACGGATTAGGGGCATAAATAGACTTTGGCGGGTGGTGCTTTTAGGTGGCATTGCTTGATCGTAATTAAACCTTGTTCGACTACCAATATGTCAACACCAAGTGCCGAGGGCATAACAGCCAAGGTTGTTTGGGTAAATGCGAGTGCAAAATATGCTGGCATGATTCAAAATCATTGAATAGAGAATAAATCATCGTTTAAATGACTAAACAAACAGTTTTTCTCTTTCTTTGCCAGATGATTACCTGCGCACAAACCAACGTGCTTTGAGGGTCATCTTCTCTGAGACCTAGCGCCAAACTAGCTACAATAATCGAGCGCTGACGGTCCAACTGCCGACAACATGGGTCCCAAGACTTGCGGGCAAAATTAACACCAAATCGAGCATCCTAAGATGAGGAATCTCTGCACGGAACCTTCGGCACCCTAAGCAAGAAAGCTTATTCAGATACGCCATGGCTTGTGCTGTGTAACATGGTTATTCTCACCGGTCGTTAAAAGCCCGAGCTGCCCTACCACTATGATCTCACTCCTCTCTCCTCACCCACGCGCCACTCTCTTTCTCCTCGGTCCCTCTTTTTCACAATGAAGTTCTACACCTCTGCCCTCGCTTTGGCCTCATGTGCCTCCGCCATTGTCGTCCCTGCTGGCTCTGCACCAAAGTATGACGTTGATGTTGCTGTCATCGGCGGTGGATCCTCTGGTATTCATGCTGCCATCAACCTCAAGGATGATGGTTTGAGAGTTGCTGTTATCGAGAAGGAGAACCAGATTGGTGGCCATGCTCAGACATACATCAACCCTGTGACCAAGCGACCCACCAACATCGGTGTTACGCTCTTTGAGAACACCAAGACTGTACAGAAGTACATTGGTCGTCTTGGTGTTGCGCTTGCAAAGAACAATCCCTTCTCTGCTACCACCAGCACAAACAAGCAGTATGACTTCACTCTGGGCATTCCTATTCCTGCTCAGTCCAAGGCTCAGGCTACTGCTACCCAGGACGCTATGGCCGCTGCCATGCAGGCTTATGCTCAGAACGTCCTCCCCAAGTATCCCTGGATCGACCAAGGTTATTTGATGCCCAACCCTGTTCCCCAGGAACTCCTCCTGCCTTTCGGAGAGTTCGCTGCAAAGTACAACTTCAGCGCTATCCTTCCTCTCATCAGCCAGCTGAACTGGTACCCCGGCAACATCACTGCCATCCCCACCATCTACGGTATCAAGAAGTTTGGCCCTGGTCTTCTCCAGAGTGTTTCCAGCGAGTTCCTCGTTGCTGCCTCAGGCGACACCCGAAGCATTTACGAAGCTGCTGCCAAGGTGCTCGGTAACAGCATCTATCTCAACTCCGAGGTCGTCAGTGTTCGACGAAACGCTGCCGGTAAGGGCGTTGTTGTCGCCTTCAAGCAGAACGGCAAGACCATCACCCTCCGGGCCCGCAAGCTCGTCGTTGCCATGCCTCAGACACGCGCCAACACCAAGATGTTCGACCTCTGCGAGAAGGAGAGGAAGCTCATCACCAAGTTTGCTGCTTTCGGTTACGTCGCCGGTGTCGCTCACATCCCCGGTCTGGAGAACGGTCTCCAGAACGTCGGTGCTCTCACCCCCGCCAACGTGCCCATCGTCCCCGGTAACAACGGTTACTTCCAAACTGGTTCACCCGACGACTTTCTCATCGGCACCGGCTTCCCCAACACCGACTACACCCTCGAGGACGCCAAGGCTCTTATGCGCAAGGAGCTCACCACTCTGGCTCGTATTGGTGGTGCCCCTGCTGATGCTGCCGAGAAGTGTACGTTCCCTATGCTTGAGGATCATGCTCCTTACTACCTCCACGTCACTGGACACGACATTGCTCAGGGCTTTTACCGTGATTTCATTGCGCTTGAGGGATACCGCAACACTTACTGGACCGGTGCTGTGTTTGCTGGACACAACAGCGGTTTGATCTGGAACTGGAACGACGGTACAGTTCTGCCCGCCATCAAGAGGGATCTTGAGCTTGAGACTTCACTGTAAAGTTGGTCATATGATATTATGTATTACTTTCACTACAAATCTTTTCCTTTTGGTAAACTTCTATAGAAATACAATGATTTAATACCATGCGCTGCAATTGGCTCCCCGATGGATGTCGTGCCAAGTGATACTCTTGGTCAGACTCTTGCGATAGCCAGACCAATCAATGCATGTCAAATTGCGAACCAGTAAATGAGATATAGATTGCGTTCTTGACTCGCCCCAATTAGATCGCTTCACCTTCTGTGCCGTTCCACAACGTCTGTCTGCAAGTCGGGTACCATTGTGTGGGCGACCCATTGCAAAAAGAAATTTCACAACACCACAAAAAGATCGTGGATAGGCTATTACAGCTTTTGAATATCAGGGAATCGAACCCTGCTCCCCGACGCTGCTCGAATGGCAACGGAGAATTTTACCACTAAACCAATTACGCGGTGCGATTGTTGAAGTGTGACAGTCTCCACGGTGTTCAAGACCTTTTTGGTGGAGTTGAGAGAACTCCGAATGGGCGAGCACCTACGGCTCGGGTCCCTTTACCTTTTCCATCCTAGTTCAATTGACTACCGAGCCAATGCGCAGCCACAGTTCGTCAACAGTGGGCTATCAATTTACCTGTTGTGGTTTAGCTCTCAACAGCGGCACGTCATATTGAGTGTCACTAAAAGCTACTGGAAGCAGACACTCTGTATATCAGTGTGCGGATGCCCCTCCGCTCCATCGACAACTTCCCCTCTCAACTGTCAAACTTCAGTAAAAGAGAATGGATGACTATACTATTCTGTCAATTGCTTTGAGCGTCTTCGCTATCCTCGCAGGTCTCTACCTGCTTATGTCCAGTAGCAAGGCGCAGGAAACTGGATTAGAAGTCACTCAAGTACGTGAGCTCATACAAAGGAAGTTCCGGCTAACAAATTCCCCAAGCTATATGTCTACCCCGTCAAAGGTATCCGAGGGACTTCTCTGAAAAAAGCGCGTCTCGGTCCATATGGCTTCGAGGGAGACAGGACCTTTTCTCTGCAAAAGGTCAACCGAGATGAAAACGGCAATGTTTCCCATGAGACAATGTTGATCGGATATCATTTGAAGCTTGCTCTCTTTTCAGCTTCAGTCGACTACGATAAGGGCCAGGTCACGGTGAGGTGGACTGGAGATACAGGCGACGACAGCGTCGAGTTCCCTCTGAAGCCTGCTGTTCAAGGTCGAACGACGATCGAAACCAGTCTGCATAACAGCATGGCCCAGGCTTATGACATGGGAGATGAGCTGTCGCAATGGTTCTCTGACCGCCTTGGTGACGAAGTCCGACTTGTCTACATCGGAGACGAGTCAAGAGCCGTCCTGGGTTCCTTAGCTCCTCACAGCTCAGACGCTCTGAAGAAAGCCTCTTTCACCGAGCGTATCAAGAACATTCTCCCTCCTTTGTCTCACCCACCTGAGCGTCTAGCCTTCAACGATCTCGCCCACTACCTAGTCGTCACCGAAGAGTCCAACAACGAAGCTTCATCCCGTCTTGACGAAGGCTACTCAATGGACATTACCAAATTCCGTCCCAACATCGTTGTCCGCGGCGCCTCCAAATCGTTCGCCGAAGATTTCTGGGGCGAGCTCACTTTTGCAGGTGGAATACGCATGCCCTTGACAGCGAATTGTTACAGATGCCAGAGTATCACTGTTGACTACAATACTGGAAAGACTGCTACTGATGATCGCGGTACGGTCTGGAAGAAACTCAACAAGGATCGAAGAGTGGACAAGGGAGCGAAATGGAGTCCTGTCTTTGGGCGCTATGGCTTTTGTTATGGTGATGCGACGAGCAAGTCTTTGACGGTTGGCCAGCGAGTTGATGTCACGCGAATTAATTCTCAAAGAACTACATTTGGTGAGTCTCATACCTCAAGATGTATAGACAGCACTAACCAGAGTAGATTGGCCTCATTTAACTACGTTCGGAGTTTCACAAAAAAAGTAATTCAGGCATGGGCACTAGATTGGGCGGAAATTGATAATTGAAGGATTGCTATGATAATTTATCCAATCTTTAATAGACCTAAGTTCTCCTGCTATGATACTGATCTTCATGCTGTTTATCCTTCAAAGGCTTTTCATATATTCTCGAGAGATCTCTTAGTAAAGCCCCGAGACATATGTGCGGTCTTCGAGTTCATCCATGATGTCTTCCCTTGAGTAATGCAAAGAATGGCGGAGGGGTCAAAATACCGATATGAGTCTCCCCATCTACTAGTATTTCTTTGGCCGTGGTATCATCATTCGGGTCGTATCTCCTTAGAGGGGACTTGTACCGAGGAGGGTTGGGTCTTTTCTTGTCAAAGTACTCATCCCATTGCTTCTTCGTGTTCATTTTGCGTTCGTCTTTCAGTCTCGCCTCCTCTGTCTTGACCTCCTCTTCTGTCGGGAAGTGGGCTTCTTGTCCAGGACACAATCTCGCGTCGTCGAAGAATACCGAAGCTCTCTGTTGGTGTATGGTGCGATGCGCTCTCTTGACTCGGATTGCTTCTTTTTCCTCGGGGCTCTGATATCGTACGGAACGATTCCGGTCCTCCACATATGATTTCTCCTTGATTCTGCGAACAATATGCTCATGCCAGTCGTAGCTCTTCTGATCATACCTCGAACACATCTTCGCCATCCACATGGGTTCGTGTTTGCCCTTCGCCTCCTTCATCAGGTGCGACAACACATCAAACCCACACCAAGGTAGTGCATTGGGGAAATCGGCTGCGTACTTGGGAAACTTGTCCCGAAGGAAGGGATATCGGGGATCGTAACACATCGTTTCGACAAAGAATGAGTCCTCGCGCTCGATCCTTCTCTGATAACAAAGCTTCTTGTAGTCCTCGAACGTCTGTGTATCTGTACATTGGACAAACATTGCGCTATAGGAGGCTTTTATGTATTCATATACGCACATCAAAGCCTCATTCTCCCAGCTGCTCAGTTCGAGCGCTTGGTGCGATCGAACCGTAGTCAGTGCGTGGTGGGCTACTCGGCCGCTGAACTTGCAGAGGACCTCGAACTTGATAAACGCTTTAAAGAGACGAGAGCGCTCTTGAAGGTTCAAGTCATGCAGAGTGATGCGCTGCGAGTCAACGGTATCGATATATGTAAGGCGCGGGGGCTGAAGGTACGCCTCAACAGTATTCTGAGCCGTTGCCTTGCTGAGGTAGTCGTCGATGAACTCGCTCATACGTTCAAACAGAAGCCGGAGCTTTGTGATCGAGTCGTTGTCACCCCGGTGGAAAGGTAATGGGAGAGTCTTGGCTTCCCATTTGCGCGCAAGATCGCAGATTTCGTCGAAGTCGTCGAAGTCGTCGAAGCCGTAGTTCTCGCCCAAGTAGATGATCGCCAGAGCGTCTTGGAGAAGCTCATGATCATGTACATCGGTACCGGAGAGTTGCGACAAGTATTCTCGCAAGTTAATCGACTCGGTAGTTGTATACTGGGTCAGCATGATCGGCGAGGCTCGGATCAATCGAGCGGTGGTTGCATAAGAAGGAATAGATCCAAGGATCTTGATACGAACCTCAGCAGGGAGGCCGTTGAAGGGATCCATCCTGCTTGAGGATGGAGATAGGTAGCACTGGTGTGACAGATGTTGTGTAGTGCTCATGCAGCTGGAAAGTAAGCGGAAGGGTGTGAATGCTTGGGGGAATGCGAGGGAAGAAAGGAAAGCCGAGGTCTTTCGTACAGAATAACGAAAAGCGCTAGGAACCTTGATGCCTGTTAGCAGTTACCATTGACACTGTGTTTATACGTTAGGAATTTGCTTTACTACCAGTGGCAAGTGTATGGCTAACTTGCTCGACCACAAGTTCAGACTTTAGGCTGGTCAGACAGGTGATTGGTACACGGCTTTGCTTTTCACAATACAAGCTTCTGCTTTGCAAATCTTAGTCGATACCCGATAGACCTTCTCTTGATATCAACCCTTTAAAGTTTGCAAAAGGAAGAGACTAAAAGTTAGTATATCACCTAAACTTTCATCTCTGGTCAAGGGGCGGGAAGGAGAGTTTTCAACCGACTAGGGTTCAAGGACTATTAGTACTTGCCTTTGCTGTCCGCTCATCGAACTGATTCGGCACCATTGTCAAGTTGTTCTGGCTGGGTTCAAAGGGACATGTTTTTCGCAGACTGAACAAAAGAGGCGAGAACATAGACGGAACACTCTTGGCTAAACTGTTCAGCATGACGAAGACATTTTCATCCTCATTTCTCCAAACGTAGGCTGGCTCATGGTTGTTCAGATGAGACACAGTGGAAGAGGGCGATAGTAGATCAAGGTTTGAGGGTTAATTACGGTCGATTAAACTCACACTAAAGTATCCTTTTCCATCGGCACAAAGGGCACTCGTATCCAGCGTGAGAGGCACGCTCTATACCTAGGTCTTGACATTTTCAAGGAAACCTCCCCGTCGTCCTCATGCCCTCTCTCCTAGGCTTGAGATGTCAACACTCCGTCTACAGCCTTTTGCTACATCTGCTCCATGTAAGACCCGAGCATCTCCGTCGCGATACGATGCGGAAAGGTCAGCCAAGGGTCGAAGGCTACTTTCGTGTGTTTAACCTGTGGCCATGTGACTCCATCCAGGTTGAATCTCGGCTCGTGGAGCGCTTTGAGGATGCGAGCATCAATCTCAGCCTGGAAGACATGGGCGAACATCCTGTCCCCGTCAACAGCCACGAGGAGTCGCACCTTTTTAGAGTCAGTAAATTATCAGCGACAGAGCGGATAAACGTACAGGGAAAGATTTTGGCATTGGTCCTTTCTGTTTGCTCAATTGCGCTTGTGCCAGCGACAACAGCAGACAGACGATGTAGGGGTCCTCCGCCCAGTTCTCTGGGGTGACTCTGCGTAAGACGATCTTGCAGATCTTCTCGACGGGGAGATTTTTTCCGCGTCCGGGGCGTGTTCGAGCAGTGTACTGTCTCTTTCGCTCTCGTTCGAATTCTCGGTAATAGGTACTAAGTTCTGTCTGCTGATTTAAGTTCTCAGCCATAAGCTGCAACTGTAAATAACACATCTAGCTAATAACTTAGACATTATACCATAATAACTAACTAATTACTATAGCTAAAGGCTAATATTAGGAAAACCTAAAAGATAACTCTTTAGCTAGCCTTAAAGGTATATAAGATACTCTAATCTATTAGCTAAAAAAGGTTAGCTTAATACTATAAAACCCTAGATCTTTAAAATAGTAGCTTTAATAAGACTAGTTATTAGTATAGATTTACCCTATATATATAATACCTATAGATATAGTAACTAATTCCTTATTAAGCTATAGGAAATTAATAATAAAAGCTATAGGCTTTATATAGCAGAAAGCTTTAATAATCTCTAAAGTATATAGACTAAAGTTACTAGATATAGTACTAATAGGGAATATAATAAGATAAGCAGTAATATTTTAATCTAGCTTACTATTCTTAGTACCTATAGCCTTACCTATATAGTAATAGCCCTAGGTATCCCTCTAAAGGTTATTAAAGTTATTTGGCAAGAAAGGAGAGTATAGGGAGCCTTTAATATAGACCTTAAGAAGGACAAGGAAAGGAAGAAGAAGATCAAGCTTATAAGAGAAAATACAGCTTGGATCCAGTCACTGATCGACCTATGGCTCGCAATCGACCCGTGAAGTCTCTGACAACGGTAATAGGTACAACCCACGACTGGGGGCTGTGCATGGAGGGACGGCTTGGCTACATGAAGGACGTGGCATAATGCTACATGAACGGGGCGTCCTGCGTAGAAGAAGTACGCGATGGACCTATTCAAATAAACCAAGTTAGTTCTTCGATGTCCGGCAAGGGGAATGAAAGTCAACTTACTGCTCGGGCTTGGGTTCAAGAGGGCTTCCTGGAGTACAAAGAAGATAAAGGGCAGATTTGATCTTGTCTTCTGTACTCTGAACCATGGCAAGGCGCATGACATTGAAACCAACTCTGAGTACGTCAAGCTCGGCAGCATCATCTCCACGAGGCTGTGGTGCATGGAGGGGGCCATCAAAGTGCTGGAAGCGAACGCCCAGGAGATCGAGATGTTTGGATGTCCACAAAATTGGGCGCGTTGCAAACCAAGAGTTCTCTACACTCAGTTGGTGAAGAGACTGATGCGGAGAGGAGGGCATCGTGGGCGGTGCTGCATCACGGGGGAGGCTTGTGAGGTTTGGTCAAGATGAAGTTTGCGTTGGTGTTGACGCAGAGGGGGAGATCTCCGCCAGCAAGACTTCGTGGACGATTAGATGATCCATCTCTTGTCAGCCCCACTACCCAGTGATTCAAGGGCCTCTCCATAGACCATAAAGCAACGCAGACCAACCTCGGGGAGCAAGAAACATCAGACCATGGTACAGGGCCCCAAAGGAAAATTAGCAAAAGGTATTCTAAACTTAGCAAAGGTCTCCTCAGTTTAACAAAGATATCCTAAACTTATGCTAAGTTGCCTCAGTCATTCTCTTATTTAGGATCAAGGTCCTGAGCTTTCTTCCTCCCCTAGACCAGTAGGAACAGCAGAGAACAACAGTGTCAAGCAGGCTTTAGATGTAAACCCCCGAACACAAAACAGCACCAGAGGAAGAATACCTCTTCTACCCTTAGTTTTCCCGATGCTGCCGATTTCCTGTTTCCATGCCATCTCTTCTAACTCGCCGTTGAAAGCTGTCAACCACAAACAACAACCAATTCCACACTCCGACCTTCGCGAGCCCCGATGCCCAAGCCAGCCAATGGCAGATGTCTGCCAAAACCATCTCATCAACAGTCCAACGTTGGCACGATGGCTACGACGACGATACACTCACAGATAAATCCCACTCTGCCAGAACTTGCAGCGTTCTGGAACAGTCTCGTCTGTGGCGATACCGAAGCCCTCGTTACCGATATAAAGCATACGCCTCTCTTCCCCGTACACCGGCGCCCCCTGAGGAATGGCCAGCGAAGTCGCGTTCCCGGTCGCCGCAAAACTCGTCAGAAGCTCTTGAAACCCAACATCGATATCTTCATCGACCTCCGGGTTCCTTTCCGGGCCATTGTAGAACGTATAGTGCATCTCGCTACCATGGAGACCGGGGTAGACGTTGAAGCGGTAGCTCTTGGCTCTGTTTCCATACGCGGCCTGTAGGAATCCGTACTTGCAGGTGAACTCTGACTCGGCCTTGGTGATAGAGGCACGGCCTGTTTGGTTGGTGTACCCGTGGCTTCCGTCAAACACTGGTGGGTAGAGCTTTGTCTCGATGTGGTCAAGTGTCTCAGGACTAGCATTCGAGTATGTCGACTCCAGGAACTTGCGGTACCCAACATCGTCGTTTGCCTCAGGAGATGTGAAGATCAGTCCTTCATCTTCGTTGAAGCCAATCAACAGATCTACATCCTGGATATGCCTCCCTTCTGCAAATAGCTTATCTGGGTTTTCTGGTACGTATAGTCCATCCACAAATGGACCTGTAGTACTTGTTCCCCAATCAGAGTTTGAGATCAGAAGTCGGTTAGCCTCTTAGACCTCTTCAGTTGACAGTTTCCTAGCCGCTTCCAGATCGGGGACTTTTGCAAGAGCGAGGAATTTGTCGATAACATCATTCTCGAGTTTGTCATTGGCGATATGAACCCTAAGGTGCGTCAGCCAAGTATGGCATGGGTCCTCGCGTGGCTTACCAGCCAGTGCTCTGAGGGATTGCCCGCTGGAAGATTGTTCTCTTATCTTTGCCTCCGAAAGCGGTCAGGTGGTGATAAATACTGGCGCCTGTCAAGACCAGTCAGTGTTGAAGCTCGCTTATATGGGCTAGAAAAGGAACGAACCTCCAGCTGACTTGCCCATGATGGTCACACGAGTTGGATCGCCACCAAACTGATGGATATTCTCTTGAATCCATTCAAGTGCCAGTCTCTGGTCGTAAAGTGCCGCATTGGCTACCATCGTCTCTGAACTGTTCATCAGCTAACATCACAGCGCAGGGTTGCTTCGCATCCTTACCGCGGTCGAGTTTCGAGCCAGCAAGCCATCCAAGAGCACCAAGCTTTGAGCCTTCAGCCTTCTGATCTCCTCGAACCCAGCTGACAATAACATACTCGATAGTTTGCAGAAACAAAGACCAAGCCTTCCGAACTCGACGCGTAGCTCGCCTTGATGAGCCCCACGGGGTCGAACCAACCCTTTTCGCCAGTCGTATATCCACCTCCTGAAAGCCAGAATACCACCGGTGCCAGTTTCCTCAATGGACTTTCGAAGGTCTCAATGGGTGTGACAACGTCGAGAAAGAGGCAATCTTCTGTCTCCCTAGGGTCTTTCGGTATCTCCAGATCTGAGGGCTCTTTGAGGGCCTGCTTTTGGTCTTCTGTAAGAGTTGAGATCTTGCCACTTAGAAAGTCTGGTCATGTAAACTAAGTGTATACTTCCCAAGCGGCCATCGCCTGGGGACAAATACGGCCAACGTCGCCTTTGTCTATTGTGACGTTACGGCCTTTGGGAGCAACAGGTTTCGCGCTACCAAGTCAGTCGGCAGAGGACACTTGAGGGTAGTAGACTCATTTTGGGTAGCGCGGTACGTACAATCGAAGATCACCCACCGGCGGCTCGCCATACCTGATGTTGGAGAAGTTGTACAGGGACGAAGATCCCTTCACGCCAGTCATGTCAGCGGTGTCACGTCATCAACGGTGTGCGTTCTCACCTCATGCACAGATCCTTGGTAAACCGCATAGCCTAGATCTACAATAGGAACTTCAGAAGCGATAGCTCTCTGGAAAGTGAGGAGAAGTGCAATAATGCGGCTTGCCATGATCGTACTATCGACCCCACGAGATGATGCGGAGACAACTCAAATTATAAAGAACGATCTTTTCTGGAAAACTCAAGACTTATCCCACGATCTTTTATAAAGTTCAAAATACGGAATCAAGGTTATCTCGGCATCTTAGGGCTGACAGGATTCCGGGCAATGGTCATTAGCCAATCCTTCATACAAGCCAACGGACAATGGGAGTCTTACGAAATCGCAGCATCTTAGTTTTCAATATCATGCGAAAGAGGAAGAGAGAGCACAGTCCATTCAATATTGACTTTGGTCGGAATACCCAGAATATGCTTCTTTTAGAGTGATCAATTGACCCCTTACAAACCGACTTGGTTCTACAAGTTCCTCTTCGATCCCTACACTAGCTCCCTGCGTTTGCTTTAGCGGGCTTACCTTAGCACACTGATGGCCTGTGCCGCCGATAGCGGCGCCTGAAACGGCTAGCGGATTGGGGTGGCTTCCATTTCGCCCTGCAGTTCTTTGCTTTTTCTTGGAATGCATACGGCATACTCTCCCAAACTAAAGTGTGTACTTGTACAACGGACTTCGCTCTCCCATAACATCCAGTTACTCCTGAGAATACTTCTGACGTATCTCCACCTCAGAAAGCTGAGCCCTGGCTTTGTTCGACTTCCAGAGACAAAACTCCATGAGCAGAGCGCAAGAAGCAGCCAAACAGATAATCCCGAGCGAAACCCCATACCCAGTCGGATATTGAGGGCCTTCTCTATCGAGAAAGATGTTATTTCCGATGGGGCCTATTTCTGTGTTAGAGGTGATACTGATAATGAGACTCCCATAGGTAGACTTACTGCCAATATTTCCTGCAGCCAAAAGCCAAGCCAGGCCAATAGATCTCTTCCATGACGGTGCAAGGTTGTTACCTGTCCATGCACTGATACCCGGGAGAAGTGGATAAATACCGATCTGGGCCAGCATCACACCAACATACATGGCTGGAACATTATCCGCCACGTTCTTGGAGTAGTTGAACAGCACAGCCAGGGCGACAAGGAGTACCGACATGGGCCCAACGATAAAAGGCATACGCCATGACAGACGGTCCGAGAATCTTCCAGATAACCATGCAGCAATACCACCGCATACATATGGAGGCATCGTTAGAAGCTGTGATTGTGCGGTCGTGAATCCAAGCTGCTTGATGATCTGGGGCATGGTGAATTTGAAGGCAGCATTGGGGACAGAGTTAGCCCAAGCGAGAATAATCCCCAGCAACACCTTCCAGTCAACCATGGTCTTGAAGAGCAGCTTCCATGAGAACCTATCACCCTCTTCGGTATTGGATCTGACTCCGGAGAGGCGTAAACGAAGGTCCACAAAGCGCTTCTCATCATCTGAAAGCCACTTGGCTCTTTCGGGAGTGTCAATGATGAGTAGCGGCATCACCAGACCAGCTGCGACAGTCACGGCTCCTTCAATGAGAAAGATCCAGCGCCATCCAGCAATACCTCTAGCACCATCGAGACGGGCGATTCCGAAAGCCAGAAGCCCACTGAGTGCACCAGAAAATGCCGAAGCTGTGTAGAAAATGGCGAGTCGTTGCTGAAGTTCATGACGGGGGTACCAGCTCGACACAATAAAGACAGCACCGGGAAAGAAACCTGCCTGGCCTACGAGTCAATGTGGTAGAGCAGAAGAAGGAATTGCCACTTACTTCGAATACTCCGAGAATTACTCGACAGGCGACGAGGCCTTGAAAGTTCTGCACTACTCCCATGCACGTCATGACGATTCCCCAGCATATAATCAAGAACGACAACCAGATACTCGCTCTGACCTTCTTGAGGATAATATTGGAAGGCACCTCTAAAGTTTGTTAGTAGACTACTCTCGTTTCTCTTGTAGAACCTACCGAAAATAATGTATGGCACGAAGAAGATGGTGCTGGCGATGTTGTACTGATTTCCAACAAGGCCAAGATCCTTTTCCATCCCTTCGATTTTCGCGTTTTCAATATTTCCTCGATCGATATACGCAAGTAGATGCGGGTGAGGATGCCCACTTCATCGTCATGGGCATGCTTCACGGGAGCCTTATTGATCAATCTCAGATCAAGGTTCTTGCGAGCAAACTTGGGGTATGAAGCTCCCTTCATTGACCAGCTTCATCGTGAGTTAGTGCCAGCGTGCTGTAATTGTATCACAGCCTCACTTACTTCAATGAAACCCTGATCCCAGTCTTGATGTTCTCTCTTGCTGCTTGTTCAACTACCTCATCTGTCAAATGATTCAGAGTCCCCAGCTGGTCGTCTCTTCCCCAAAGTCCCCATGCATTACCCCCAGGGCCAGTCTTGTCTAGCGGAAGTTCGTCAAAGTCGGGATGTTGAGTGGCCATGTTGTTCAGTCGCACGCACTCAACTATTGTCGACTTTCAGCCATGAAGTTGGCTCTTGAGCTATGCATAAATAGTGATTCTGGGAACCTTGCCGAGATCCGATCACAAGCCATGGGCTGCGGGATAACTAACTAACTGACACGGAAGTCTTCCAAAGCATGCACGGGAAAAGCCCGAATGGTACTTGATGCTCGGGCTGCATCCGGCGACGACGCTACTTCCAGGTCAGCCTGTCAGTTCATGACCTTGCCGAGTTTTACACCCTCGTCAAGACTTGTTCGGTAAACATGAACCCAGCGCCTTTGACAAGACCCTTCTGTACCATGATAGCTTCTCAAAATTGATGTGTGGTTCACTAAGTTACATGTTTTATAAAATCTTCATTGACTTCAGATTGTGAAGAAACTGTAGGCTTCTTACATCAGAGCGAAATTGCCTTCTCTTTGGAGCGTTCGGCATCGTTATACCTTGATAACAATTTCCCCTTCGCCACTTGGTGGTTTAAACCCGCCCCAATACATAGCAAAGGTCTCATCATCGATGTTAAAGGCTGAGTCACCATTTCTTTCAGGGTCCATCGCGTCTAATGAGTCCCTCTTGGCTCTTCGTTGTTGAATCCGATTCCACAAAACATCTTGGTCAGCATCTAGGTATACCAGTACCCAGCGACCGCCGTTACGTTCCACAATATCTTTGTACTCGTCCCGATACTCTTTATCGTAGAATGATAAGTCTAGTACTAAATCGTTTGACTTCTCTAACAAAATATGTTCAAGTTCTGCTATAAGCTTCTGGCTTGCTTCTTGCTGGTATGCTTCATACTGTGCTGCGGGATAGTTAATCTTGTAAAGACTATGAGACTCGTAGATTATTTGGTCGTTTGAAAGTCGTTTAAAGTTTGGAAGTTGAGTCACGATAGCTTTGGCGAGAGTTGACTTTCCGGCGCCTGTCCATCTTGATCAGCAGCTGTAACTCTTATTGGATATTTTAGTAGTTTGGTTCATCTGCTTACCGGCAATTCCGCAAGTCATCACTACGACAGGGCTACTTTCTTGTCTTGTTCGAGAGAGGTGAGGCCAAAGCTGAGGTCGAGGTCAGCCTTGCAAAACCTGAAAATCTCTTTGACTTGCCTGATCAGGTATGTCCTCAGATGAGCCACGATCAGCTCTGTTCGTTGATGCCATTGTTCCTATGTTAGAGTTAGAAGCGCCCAGACTCGATGGTTAGAGGCGCTTTGGTAAGAGATTGAAACTTGGATACGGTCTGAAGGTGAGAACAGGGCTGATGAGTCACATCATCACATCACACATGACACCCATGAGCCCTTAGTCATCGACACAGTACAATTTACCCAACACATTCAAACATTAATAATAGTGCATTATTAGGTTATTTAATCAGATTAGGTGACATTATTAGAATAAAGAAATGTAAACTATTGCCAATACATAGTAATCCCAGCTAGACCAATGACTAAACTAAGCTTGTCTTGCGTATGTCTCATCTGAAACACGAGATCCTATCGACTCCGCATTGTTCTCCAATGTATGCATCTCCACGTCCACGGTAACTATAATCCCTCTTCTAGACGAGCCATCATCAAGACCTTCCCAGTGGTCCTTGCCGTCGTTCTCAACGTCTCGCGATATGTTGTACCCTTTCACGCGGCTTCCGGTTCCGATGTGGCTAGTAATACCCAACCCATGCGATCCCCCGTATGGCTTAGGGGGCGAGTATTGGCGAGCTGAGCTGTCAAATGTGATCCAACGTTTGACAAACTTCCTCAACGCCGGGAGAGAACCAGCTATGATGCCGATTCCTGCTTCGACGGTGCTCCATAGAGCAACATGGCTATGCCGATCTTGAGTCATGTTAGAGATACATACGATGAATTGTTTCAGTAGCAAGAGGAATGACTCACAAAGATAGTCCGGATTAGGGTGGAAGTAAAACAGGACATATGGCATCCGAATAATTGTAGCAACCGATGCACTACACCAGTTAGTGAAACAAGCGTATGTCTCAAAAGTTTGACCTACAGGGCACCGAGTCCAAGCACCAAACTGATGGAGACCTTTGTCGCTAGTTTCATCTGCGATTTGTATAACATCAATGCTGGTAGCGCTGCACAGATAATGTCGGTCAATATCGAGGAGGCCGAGACAAAACAAGCCAGAATGGCCAAAGTCGAAGGTGGTGAGCATTTTCCATCACCATTCCAAGTTGCTGACAATGGCTTGCAGAGCACGAAAAGGCCGATGAAGACAATCATGGCGCAAATGACAGCCATAGCAAGTGTCATCCACGCAACTACGCGATGCCATGGTATAACTGCGATTCTAAGTAGGGCATCGCAAATAGAGGCTTTTATAAAGACGAGGGATGCGCAGTAGAATATTTGGAAGAGCCAGACATACTGAGCGCCGACCGTTAGCCGGACACAAAGAGATAGAGGAGGTAGGGACAACATACAAACCTTCCATGAGGGTAAATACCCTCTGGAAGAACCGCATCTCGTTGGCCTGCCCCATAGTACGTACCCTTAGAGCTTACGCCGACAAGGATAGCAAAAAGGATCTTGTGTCTGTGTTAACTGCATGGTTATTATAGACAAGCTGGGGGGTGAAACCAACATATCCAATGACCATCAACATGTCATCAGCTCCAAAAACACGGTTCTTTAGACGAATAAACGTCCGTAGAAACACAACGACAGTAGTAAGGATGCCGAACAGGATAGAGGTGATGAGCTGAGCCAAACCGAGCCCGCGCGGCTCAATTGTCGGTACAGTAGACATTCTCAGTGGGTCGAGGTCATGCAAGGGCACACCAAGCGAATTGAGAATCTTTAAACGGATATAACTACAGATGCGGGGCCGGTCTTTATTATACGCTGTTGCTATCAAGTTGGTTGCTGGCTTCCTGTTTTCCGTATCAAACGTAAAGGAGACGCACAGACGCCGGGTAACAGTCTTCCAGACGAGAGTCCGCCACTCACTCTTACCGAGCATCAGGCTTTACCCAAATTCGTCAAAGTCTTACGCCACGGGAACGGAAGACTGTCTCCTTTTTTAGGGCAACCTATCGGAAGTTGCGCATTGTGGATTATTGTGTCGTAAGGTTTAAGCCTCGATTTTCAGGGCTGAGACTGAATGAGTCGCGTGAGCCCTGGTCTAATGGGTGTTGATCAAAATTCGCTATCAGCTCTTGGTTTTCCACTTTTGGTTTAAATGGCAACTGCAGTCACTCCGACAATCTTTACTGGAAGAATAAGCTTAAATTTCCTTATGGTGTGTCTCCACATTCTGTCAAGCAATTAATTCTGGTTCTATTCGATGCGTGGAAATGCTATCAATGTATCTTATCTTATCTTATCTACATCAATACGCCTCACGTCGTTCTCGTCGCAGACAGTGGAGGGTCTCTTCACCTGTAAGGCTGCCTATTTTACCGAGTCTATATTGTATTGTGGTACACATGACTTGCTTGGCAGGCCGTATTGGTCATCGCTGAAATGCCTCAAGCATTTATAATAATGTGTGACCAAGTCGTTCCGAATAATCGTTGCCATTAGAGTGAAGTTATATCATCTGGCTCGTTATATCCTTGCAATTATCGTAGCCCTATGGCTTAGAATGAAAATCTTCTCCGGGCGATGAAAAGGGCTGTCGATCATATCAGCACGTCACATCGAACATATCTCCTTCAAGTTATCTATTGATCCTTGGACTTATTCGTTGTTGAAACAAAGGGAGACGACATTGGCGCCGCCTAATTCCCCAGTAAACGGCAGATTCATCTCGACTTGCAGAAACATGATCCGCAATTCAGGCCAGCAATTGCTGTGCCATACACCTGATACAAACAGAATTCTTGGCACAAGCAGGTCCACAATCATGCTAGGGTTTCGTGGAGTTGAACGACGTAAGTAAGCCAATGAGACTCAAAAACGCCCCCAGAAGCGCGTATTCTCGCTCCAGATCCGAAGTTATCGATAGAGCAGTATTCAGTCGAACAGTTTCTCAAAAAAAATATGTTTAATTTGGTAAGGAAGTTCTCGTGGTGAAATGGAGGGAGCTGTCAATTGTTTCATCAGTGTTTATATAGCCTTTTCCACGAATAAAACACAGACCTCGAAACTAAACTTCTTCCCAAATAAGCTTGGGCAATAAGCATATCTTTTCCGTCACCGTTTCAAGATCATCTTGGCGCCAGCCGTTTGGGTCACTACAACATGGGCATGAGACACTTCGCGTCGGACAATCGGCTCAACATACCATCTCGGCCTAGCCCGTTTTCAATAGCAAGACATCTAAAAGGATCCAACATCGTCAACTATTATCACTCTCTCTCACTTCTTTGGCACTGCTCTTTACTTTCCTTCATTCAGCTCTCATTCATTCGTTACATCTTAGGCCGGCCTAAGTCATTCGTTTATTCCTTTTTCACGGCTTGTCATTCATTTCTCTATTCAATATGCGTCTGCAAAGCATCGCTGCCATTTTGGCTGCTGCCGCTACGGCTTCTGCTCAGAGTGTTTCGGGCAAGGCTTACGGTTTTGCTGCTGGTGTTACTGGTGGCGAGGGAGAGGCTGTTACGCCTTCTTCTGCTGAGGAGCTTGCCACGCTTCTTGCTGATGACACGCCTCGTGTTATCTACCTCGATAAGGAGTTTGACTTTACTGGGGATGTCAAGACTGGTGCGGGTTGTGATCGCAAGAGCTGCAGTGCCAGCAACGGTGGTCAGCTTTACCTCGGTGATCTTTCTTGCGGCGGTGATGACAATGTCGCTGTTAGCTCCATCACCTACGATGCTGCTGGTCCTGAGCCCCTTCCCGTTGGTAGCAACAAGAGTATCATTGGTAACGGAAAGGCTGTTCTGAAGGGCAAGGGTCTCTCAATCAAGAAGGGATCCAAGAACGTCATTGTCCAGGGCATTGAGTTCACCGACATCAACCCCGGTGTTGTATGGGGCGGTGACGCTCTCGAGCTCAAGGGTCTCAACGACGGTGTCTGGATTGATCACTGCAAGTTCTCCAAGGTCGGCCGCATGTTCATCGTCTCCCACTACGACGGCTCCCGCCTCACCATCTCCAACTCCGAATTCGACGGTGTTACCGACACTTCTGCTTCTTGCAACGGCAACCATTACTGGACCATGATGTTCTACGGTGAGGGTGACCAGGTCACTCTTGACCGCAACCACTTCCACGACGTCGCTGGCCGAGCTCCCAAGCTTGGTGAGCCTGGTACCAACGGTTACTTCCACGCTACCAACAACTACTTCCAGAACATGAAGGGCCATGCCTTTGATGCCTACCAGGGAGCCAACGCCATCATTGAGGGTAACGTCTTTGATGGTGTTGACACTCCCATCACTAAGGAGGCTGCTTCCGTCAGCACTCTGTTCGTCGCTGATGAGAGCGGCGCTTCTACTTGCCAGTCCGCTCTTGGCCGTGCTTGCGTGCCCAACTCAGCTACTAGCAGTGGTGATCTTCCCTCTTTGAAGGGTGAGAGCGGCCTCAACGCTGTCGCCAAGAACAAGGACAACATCATCACCCCCGTCTCTGCCAGCGAAGTCACTGCTCTTGTCCTGGGTAGCGTCGGGCCCGCCAACGTTGGTTCCGGCTCCGACTCCGGATCTGGCTCTGGCTCTGGCTCTGGCTCTGATATCGCCCCATCTCAAAGCCCCGAGTCTGGCAATGATGCTACCGAGACCACTCCCGCTACGCCTGAGACTACCCCGGAGAGTACCCCCGGGGCTGCTCCTGAGACCACTCCTGAGACTGTCAACGAGCAAGAGGCCCTTCCCGATTACCCCGAGGAGACTGAGGCTGAGCCCGTTGCCGATGCTGATGCTGAGGTCAAGCCTGTCGCTTCCGACGACTGCGAGGAAACGGACGCTACTCCTTCCAAGACTGAGGAAAAGCCCGTCGCTACTGGCGACTGCGACGATGAGATTGAGGCTGCTGCTGATAGCCCTTCCGAGACAGAGCAGAAGCCCACTGCATCTGCGACTCCTTCCAAGCAGGCATCCTCATCTAGCGACGATTGTGATGATGAGCCCAAGGCCGAGGTGACGCCAGTTGCCACCGGAGCCTGTGACGAGGAAGAGACCTCTGAGGCTGCCGCCGACTCTTCCTCATCCGCTGGTTCCTCCACTGCTCAGATGTACGGTCAGTGCGGAGGCAAGAACTGGACTGGTGCTACCACGTGCCCCTCTGGATCTTCTTGCAAGAAGATGAACGACTATTACTCCCAGTGCATTGGCTCCAACAGCCGCGTTCGTCGTCGCTATGTCCAGTAAAGAGCGTTGACTGTGGCAAAGTCGCGACGTGATGTGACGTGACGCGATTTAACCCTTCTTGTAATTATTATCATTTATTCACTCACCTCGATGCCGAGCAATGAAGAGTATATAGCAATTCAATGGGCACAGAACCCAATTTCACTCTATTCTTTTTCCCCAATCATAAATTACCAAACCCGATAGGGATCAAGCATTTGAGCGACGTCTGGGAGTCGCTCAGGACTCGTTCCCAGGAGCTGGACGCTAGCGTGACGCGTCGCGTTTGTTCACTGGCGAAGCTACCCTGCAGAGAAACAGATTTTGCAATTATACACCTGAAGCGTCGAGGTAATAGTCAAAATGCCATCGCTTGAGTCAAGCGGTGTTAGTTTCCTATTTAAAAAATGTGGTATACAGGAAAATCTGCAGAAGAAGTTGTGGTTCAGAGGGCTAAACGATGAATTCGACATTTGCTTTGGAAATTGAACCAACTCCTGCTCAGCAGTGCAGCACCGACGCCTGCCAACACGTCTACCAGAGAACACCCGGGACATTCCACTTCCCCAATGCTCGCGTGTTCGAATCCCAAAAGTGACAGTGCTGTTTTGATTTTTGGAATGATTGCAATAAGCCACTGGAACTCGATCAGTCCTCGCATGGATGTCCAGGTCTGTCTGTCTCTCGCTCACTGCTGCCCCAACGGCTCCTTCAAGCACCCGCTGTGGATAAGTCTGTGCAAGCTTGCATATGCACGGCATAAACGGGTGTTCACTTCTGGAAGCTAAAGTTGGCATTCACCAATGACGATGGACGGTTCATGCGACCACTGATCAACAGAGACGCTGCAAGTTGTCACGAGTCTCAATCATGCATATATCGAACCATTTACCTTGTTTCATTGAGTTGATGCTACAGAATTTGTCTCATGCATGCATGCTGCTTCGAGTCTGCTGCATATCCTCTAACTGGGGCACACTCCAACAGTCCAACTCTCTCCCGTAGAACTGAGTCACCCCCCTCTTGTTGATGTGTCTCGTCCAGAGTCATAACATGGTGTTATTTACTTAGAGGCATGAACAACAAAGCAACAATCTGAAACAGCTGTCGTCAACATTTGGTGAGGGATTATTTAGTTTAGACTCACCTCGGCTCGGAGCTAAACGGGATCTAACCCGTCCGTTACCGTTGTCTCCACCGCCAAGTTTAGCTCAGATCTAGCAGCCTATGGAAGATGGCGATGTGGCTTGACACGTACATGATCCAAAACTTCACCAGCGCATGACCCCAGTATGAGTCACTCAACAAGTTTGGCGACTCTTTTCTCGAGTAGTATAAGAGTCTCTGTATCAGTTTCTTAGTTTTCGCCTCTTTTCTCTCTCAGATATCAGGCAAAGACACGAGAATAACACGAGAATTGTTCACGTTAGACAGTTTAAATTGCGCAATCTCCCCAGCCACACACCCTCTCCCTCAGATATCACCAGCCACACTCCCCCAACCCTCCAGTCAA